GAAAATCACAGTTATACAGACTTTTTTTTCTAAAGGCCTTCATTGATATTGGGCTGATTTTTGGTATGTGAGTTAACCATGATGAGTTACAGATCAAGTTTGAGTTTTGTCCTGCTCTACTATTTTTGCAGAAATTACGGGCTTTGGACTTCGATAAATTGTTGAAAATCACAGTTATACAGGTTTTTTTCTAAACGCCTTCAGATATTGGGCTGATTTCTGGTATGTGAGTTAACCATGATGAGTTACAGATCAAGTTTATGTTTAGTTCCGCTTTGCTAATTTTCCCCAAAATTACAGGCTTTGAACTTTGATAAATGGTCGAAAATCACAGTTAAATGGAGTTTTTTAAAGCCTGAAGATTTTGAGCAGAATTTTGATATGTGAGACTACCATCATGTTTGTGTTCACATGTGTTGTTGAAATTGCAGATTTTTCAACTTTTTGAGACGGGGCCATTTGTGTCGTTTGGACAAATCTAGTCTTTTTTTGCAACATGTTTTTTTATCAACACAACCAAAACATTTCAAAATTAAATATACACATTTGACATTCATAATTATCAATTATTTTCAAATTTACATTAAATAATTAAATAACTTTAGTATAAGTAAATAGAAATGTATGAAATTTGAACACAAGGTTTATAACCACACAAGAAAGGTTGGGGTTGATTTAAGGGGTTGTGGTCCCAACAGTTTAGGTATTTAAGGAGGCAAAAAGGGGCCCAAAAAAACATTTTTCTAGTTTCCAGACAATAACTTGTGGAACATTGTATGGATCTCTCTGAAATTATACCACGATTTTCCATTCCTCAAAAGGATGGTTAGGATTGGCTTTTGAGGGTTATAGCTTAAACCAATTAGGAATTAGGGGGAAAACAATGATTTCCTGTTTGATGGACTATTACTTATTTAAGTACATGAATGTTACGTTTGAATTACATCCCTTACACTACTTTTAAATCATGTATAACGAAATGTATTGTCTTGAGGTGATTTGCTGCCAATTTGTTTTTAGAAAAAAGTAAAATCACAAAAATACTAAACTCTGAGAAAAATTCAAAACGGAAAGTCTCTAATCAAATGGCAAAATCAAAAGCACAAACACATCAAATGAATGGATAACAACTATCATATTCTGACTTGGTACAGGCACTTTCTTATGTAGAAAATGGTGGATTGAGCCTGCTTTTATAACTAGCTAAACCTCTCACTTGTATGACAGTCACATCAAATTCCATTATATTGACAACGATGTGTGAACAAATCAAACAGACATAACAGGTGAAAATGTCAAAAATACAGCCATCAAGAGAGAACTAACTGTTTTAAAAAAGAATTTTAGGATGTATTTAAATGGGTAATTATGGTTGCAAATTCTATTTGGAATTTTAAATTTTAAATTTTAGATTACAGAAATTTCAGAAATTAAAAAGACATTTTCTTTAAATATAATTTATTTTTGCCAAAAAAAAGGGGAGGTGTCAATAAACAACAGCATAATAGTGTATTGCACAAGAGCAAAAAAAAATGAGGGGTCAATACGCAACAGCATAGTGTATTGCACAAAAGCAAAGCTTAAGGGGTGCATTTTTTGGGGTAGGGGGGTCAATTTGCAACAGCATAGTGTATTGCATATAAGCCAAAAAAATTAATATAAATTGAAACATAACCAATTCTAAGTTCCTTGACTACAGTTATTCTCTGTCAGAATCCTATTATGTGTCAAATATTTAATTACAATCCATATTCAGACCCAAGCGCGAATATTGTTTCCATTTTTGCCCCAACTGTTTATGGTAGGACCTCCGCAGTTGTATCTAGCTGCGCTCGGCGAAGCAATTTATTATTTTTGAAATGTTTTGTAGGAATTCTGCTTCACAGAAATACAAAACAAGTCGGTCATTAGGGATGACCAATAAGTACCCATAAGTGAGACTATAAAACATAACAAGGTTGAGAAAATTAAATTTAATTGGTACATTATAAACCTATAATAATGTAAACTCTGTACAGCTTTTTACCAACGAACAAATAAAAGGCGTATACAATTCATGTAAACAATTTAAGACATGCAAATAAAATAAAATGCATATCAATGTGAAAGCATTATTAAGTGAAACAAGATGTCACAGTGCTCATGATTATAAGCAACACTGAAAAAAGCACAGTTAAATTGAGCGCAGAGCCGGAATATAAAAGTAAAAACAAAGCAAAGGAGAAAAATATAAGGTAACGATGATAAAAGTATGTATGCAGTACCAGTGCAGATCCAGAAATTTTGATAAAGGGGGTAGTAGTGGCCAAGAGGGGGCCCACTCCAGTCATGCTTCAATGACCCCTTAATAACTTAGTCAGACAAATTTTCCTACAAAGGGGACCGGGACCCCTGTCCCCCACTTAATACGCCTCTGAGTACAAGTCATATTTTATGCCCATTATAGAATGACACGATTTCCCCGCTATAAATAACATTATCTTTAGTTTAGAATAAACAGTGTTTTCACAAGGTTCAGTTACAATTCATATTACATATAGATTTTTCTTTTAAATAATCATAACAGATATAAGTTTTAAGAATGTTCTAGTTTACGAAAACAGGTTTGGTATTTGAATGTTAAATAAAACTATTATTATAATAATTTCCCAAAATAAAACCTTCCTCATTCAAAATATCTCTGATCATTGGCTATCGAACGGAGCAACTGGAGTACTTCTGTTTATTAAACAAAACCAACCGGAAGTTAGGTTGTTGTCGTGACTTTTCTACCAAAGTGCAATATTGTTGTGTGATTTTACTTTATTCACGTGCTTTAGATAGATGACAACACAAATTACTATCAAGATAGATAAACAGAAGTTAAATTTAATTTACAATTTCAGTATTCAAATATTGTATGCTTTGTCATTACATAATTCAACCGACTTGATCTACAACAACCTTTTATCGGGAACCAGGTTCTGTATAAACCAACATCCTACAGACACTTGGCTGGCCAACACTAGCAAAACGCAGACAAGGAGTCAGGCTCATACTCCTGTATAAGATCCTGCATGGAGAAGCATCAGTCATTATCCCAGATTACATCAGGAGACCAACTCTAACAACCAGACTATAGTCAATACCACAGGCACAGAGACCGGTTTTCCAGAGTCAGCACTTCAACGGATGCCTATAAATACAGTTGCATCCCCAGAACAAATTTTTGACTGGAACCAATTACATGAAAGTGCCATCCAAGCCCCCACAACAGACGCCTTCCGGGTCTGTGTGTGACAGTTCCTGGCGTAACTATTGATACCTGATTTTAACCCTGTATAGTTGTTGCAAACTCACATAATTTTATTTGATTTTGTTCCTGTAAATACACAAGTTTTTGTTTCTTTTTAACTTGGCGAGTACTGGTTGACACACCCGCACAGTATATCTGTGTTATGGAAATTTCAACTGCAGATTAACCACAAAATATAGAAGAAGAAGTACAATAAACACTAGACAACAGGAATGACAGGATATATCTTTTGGGGGGTAAATGGTTAAAACTAGATATAAACAGATTAACTTACTAATGTTCTATTATATACTGGTAAAGTACTAGGGTATCAGGTTGTTCTGGCCCAAAATCAATCTGGCCCCAAAACAATTTGGTTAATAATACACTGTGACCAATATTTACGACGGAAGCTCGATCAAATGTCGACAGCCCATTTATGGTATTCAACAGCTCATTGGTCAGAGTTCTAGTCAAATCAGTATCCGGTCAAATCGGCACCCGTTATAGTCAAATCAGCACCTAGTCAAATTGGCACCTAGTTAAATGGCACCTGATGTAGTCTTTAGGCACACATGATAAATATATTTAACTGCAAACATTTTTTTTGGACTGTATAATGGTATGATGTCGTCGTCTGCGTTGTCCGATAACACATTTGGTTTCTGGACAATAACTTTAGTTTACATGAATGGATCTCTTTGAAATTTAATAAGAAGGTTCAATACCACAAAAGAAAGGTTGGTGTAGATGGTCCCTCCGGTTTAGTAATAAGAGGCCCAAAAAGGCCCCAAAACAAGCATTTTTCTACTTTCAGGATAATAACTTGTGTATAAGTATTTCAATTGCTCTGAAATTGTACCATAATGTTTAATACCACAAGTAAAAGGTTTGGATTCATTTTGCGGTCTATGGTGTCAACAGTTAAGAATTAAGGGCCCAAAAGGGGCCAAAAACAAGCATTTTTGTAGTTTCTGGACAATAACTTGTGTGTAAGTGTATAGATCTCTCTTATATTGTACCACAAAGTTCCATATCACAAAAAGGGAGACTTAGATTGAGTTTGGGCGTTATTGTCCCATTCATGCAAGAATTAGGGGCCATAAAAGGGCCAAAAATAAGCATTTTTCTAGTTTCCAGACAATAACTTGTTGTAGTTTACAGTCAATAACTTGTGTTTACGTGTATAAATCTCTCTGAAATTATACCACAAGATTCCATACTACAAAGGGATAGTTATTGGGGTTATGGCTTAAATCATTTAGCAATAAGGGGCCAAAAAAAGGGGGAAAACAAGTGTTTTTCTGGTTAAAGGACAATTTAGAAAATTTAAAAGCTGTGTTAGGGAGGTAATCCAATTCAAATTTAAAGAATACTGTTATATATATGTTTGATTACCTCCCTTACACTGTTTGAAAATTATGTATTAAGAAATGATGATTGTCTTGAGATGATAAGCTGTAATTTTTTTTTTTTAGAAGTAATACTATTCATTTATATTAATTTTAACCATGACTATGTCATTTTATATTTTTATATATTACGATGTATTTATTAAATGAGTAGTTATTGTTAAAAAAGGGGGGGGGGGGGGGGGGGGGGTACAATTTTTCTCATTTCAGATTTCTTTAAATATTTTTTTTTGAGGGGATTAATATTCAACAGCATAGTGTATTTTTTTAAAGTTCATTAGACTACCAGAAACCTATGCTGTGTCAACTATTTAATCACAATCCAAATTCAGAGCTGTATCAAGCTTGAATGTTGTGTCCATACTTGTCCCAACTGTTCAGGGTTCGACCTCTGCAGTCGTATAAAGCTGCACCCTGAGGAGCATCTGGTTACTTTATGTTTACATTAATATTTGAAGATTTGAACAAATCAAAGGGGAAACCAGGCATTATCTTGCATAATATGAAAAAGAAGATGTGGTACGATTGCCAATGAGACAACGAGCCACAAGAGACCAAATGACACAGAAATTAACAGCTACGGGTCACCTTACGACCTTTAACAATGAGCAAAGCCAATACATATAAGTTCTTTCAGTAATTTAACATGGCCTAAATACCTGTGCTTACCATGATAAAAAGTTGAATAATGGAGATAAAGGGTATAATATATATCAATGAGACAGCAACTTAATGACACAAAAAGTAAGAAGACATTTAAATATCAACACCAAAGCATCAAAGTCCATTTGGATTGTATCTAAAAACCACAGGGTTAAGATTTTAAATACCTGGTTAAACTGTTGTATAACATTTCAAATACTGTTAATACAGAAATTATTGTATGGTTTTTATATTGTGAATGACATGTTTTTTTTTACTGACCCTGGTTATCCATGAGGGTCTTTCATGGTCGTAAATGTGAATAATGTATCTGGGTGGGTATCACCAGGTGTATATGTATACACAATATATTGTGAGATGAAGCATAGCCAGACAACTGCCAGGGGCGTAGCTAAGTATCCAATAAACTGTAGGCACAAATTGCGGCAGGGGGTCTGGGGCCGCATAAGGCCCCTGGTAAGGGGTTCTGGGGGCATAGCCCTCCGACGGAAAACGGTTTTCAGCATTTAAGTTGCAAAATTTTGTGTACAAAAAAACATAAAAAAACGTCATTTTATCATGATAATATACATGAAAACAATGTCGAAAAAATAAACATAATTCTACAATTACATCTGACTGATGAATTAACCGGCAGTACAATCGGAAATATAAAAAAAAACAATATTTCCAATATGCATTGCCCAGCGTGGATCAGCGTAGCCCTTTATTAAGCAGCACAACTTGTTTCTGATTGAGTATAATTGATATATACGTCAATTGATAGTACATATTGACGATCCTTCATTAAAAAAAAAAAAATAGGCACGTAAACACTGAGACTACTACATAATAATACTAACTTTTGGAATACGGTGCATCGACCATTCATATTTTGATTCTTAAACCTTCACCCTCCCCCGGCCACACAAACACATACACACACACAGTCAATACGTCATGCAGAAGTTCTGTTCTGTTCATACTACCGGTGTCTAACAAAATTCAAGAAATTCATATTTTCTTATATCATGTACTGTAAAATCCCTACCTGCTTAGGAATATGAATAATTATCATCATTACATGTAGATCTGAGAGTACTCGAAGTTACTGAAAGCTAGTTGATTGATTGATTGATTGATTGATTGATTGATTGATTGATTGATTGATTGATTGATTGATTGGTTGATTGATTGATTGATTGATTGATTGATTGATTGATCGATCGATTGATTGATTGATTGATTGATTGATTGATTGATTGATTGATTGATTGATTGATTGATTGATTGATAGACGTCCAGTGGCAAATATTCATGCATGTTCAGGACTAAAACGGATAGAGGTCGTCCAGGATGAAAGTCTGGAAATTTGGAAATGCCATGCATTGGAAAATGAGGGTTTATTAAATAGGAACAGAAATTTGCCTTTCAGTAGATGACTACTAACCCCTCAAAGAGTTGTTTCAAGTGTCTTAACGTGCAGAGAGCATGGCATTCTCTCTTCACTAGGCATCAGATTGAACTTGGGCCAACAACAACTAATTAAAAAAAATCATTATCTAAGTTGAGGTTCATTCAAGTATTTGTTGATTGAAGTGAATGATCTGAACCAAAGTTCTAGTTTATAGTTTCTATATTAGGTGGAATATAATGACATACAGTTCCAATACGCCACTGATTCAATAAGGATGATAGACTAGAAGGATTGATGACACCACTCTTCATAAATCAGGGAAAAACATAGAAAATATACATGATGATGTTCAAGAAGATTTATACAGGGTTGAAGAGTGGTGCAAAATGAATAACATGTTCATTAATGCAAATAAAACAAAATGTTTGGTTACTGGAACAAAGCAGAAACTATCAATTCAGACTTATCAACCAAACTTAATAATAGATTCAAAAGTATTACAAAATTCTTCATGTGAAAAATTATTAGGTGTTAAAATTGACAGCACACTTAACTGGAGAAATCAAATTGACCAAGTTTGTGCTAATATATCATCCAGAATATACCTCCTTTCTAAAATAAAGAAATTTTTAGATATAAATGCAAGGAAAACATATTACAATGGGTATATTCTGCCCCTGATTGACTACTGCTGTATTATTTGGGGTGAATGTAAAAATGAAGGGATAGCAAGAATTTTAAAACTCCAAAAAAGGGCAGCAAGATTAATTCTAGATGCAGTTCCTTTATCCCCCTCAGCCCCCTTATTTAAAGAACTTGGGTGGATAACAGTTGACAATAGAATAAAATACCACAAATATTTACTTCTATATAAATGTATGCGTATGGAAGCACCAATGTACCTAGTTCAAAAGTTTAAACTGAAATCAGATAATAATCCTTACTCCCTGAGAGGCGTCACTCAAGGTAATCTGATAGTTCCTAAGCCAAAAGCTGAGCTATTTAAGAAATCTTTTGTTTATTCTGGATCAGTGTTATGGAATGGACTACCAAACAAAATGCGTAAAGCTCAAAACACTTATACTTTTAAACAAAGTATCAAGAAGTACTTAACACAGTCCTGATAAGATTATGTTTTCTACAATGTATTTGTATATTCTTTTTTTTATATTTGTATTTGATTTTTTGACTACATGTACATCTTGAACAGCCTTATATCTTATCATGTTAGTAATATTACATTGAACTAATTGACTGTAAATTAACTATGTGTAAATATCTGTTTTTTGATTGTATTGTAATTTGTATGTGAGGGCCTCAGGGAAGATTAGTTTATTGTAACTAACTGAGTTTACCCTCTTTAAATAAAGAATTTATTATTATTATTATTATTATTATTATTACTAGTGTACGCATGACATTTGATAATTGAAGAGTTTTGACGAATTCGCATGCATCTACAGATAACATTGTTTATTACTTTTTTAAATAAAAAAATTATTTGTGAAAAAATTATGTGTAGGCTCATGCCTAAAGTGCCTAACGGCAGCTACGCCCCTGACTGCAGTTTATTACGTTTATTATATGCATTAAATTATAATTACTTTTTCATGTGATAGAAAAACTTTATAAAGTCATAAAGTAAAGATTATGTGAAATTATCTAATTGGTTTTTTCAGGAAAGTAACTAAAGTTAACTTTAAGTGCAGTAGATCTGTGGACATTTTTTGTTCTGATAGTAATATTTTCTTTCTCTTTCACAATAGATGGATGGTAACTGAATCAATACGAATAGCCTCATTGAATTTGAAAAAAGCTGCAAATGATATCAGTAATAAAAGATTGTTAGTGTGCAGTGTGCAGTGTGCAGACAGTGGTTAAACAGAAGTTAACATTCTATTAGTTTTGGGATTTTACAATCAATGCCAAAATGAATGATAATGCTAGAGGAAATAATAGGAGAAAAAGGGACCTGTGTGGTAAAAACTTCCTAAAAGTCGTCCTTTATGTGTTCAACTTTTTCTTTTGGGTAAGTGTATTTTAAATATATAATTTATATATATGTTTATAGTTATAGAAAAGGCAACTTAAAAAGATATTACAATTTAAATGATTTATTGATTATTGGTTGCTTAGAATCATCCATTGGCAAATATTATATATGCATATTCAGAACTAACTATATAAAGTATAGAATTTGTAAATGTATAATATAAGACATAAGAGAAGATATAGATACATGTTAATTGAATAATCTCCCTTTGTTCTTTGTTCAAATTAAATGAAATTCTTTGTTCATTGTTAACTGTATTCTGTTGCTAGTAAGATTTTATAACCATGCTAACAGGATAAAAGATCCTAATATAAAATTATTTCTAATTTTTCAGCTAACATTGCTAACTTCAAATTACAAAAATATTCCGTTTCCTAACTTTTCTTTATCATGTTCTGTCAATTAATTAAATGTTCTTTAAATTCAATAGTGTTTTTATGCATGATAAATTCTATATTTCTTTTCCAGCTGACAGCCCGGTTAGCTTTCCTAGCATTAGGGTTATATATCAAGTTCCAGAAGCATTCCTATTTCAATCTGCTAGGGAACAGTACTTTCCCTTTGGCAACATACTAATGCTACTAGGAACAGGAGCCTTTATTATCTTGTCAGGAATCATTTGTTGTACTGGGACATGTATAGAAAATAGATGTTTTATGGTTATGGTGAGTTATTTCTCTTTGAACACATTGTCTACTAAGAATGTATACCAAAATTAAGTTTTTTAACTTTTCACAAGCAAAGCCAACAATAAATTGAAAAAAAAATCATTTCAGCTAATTCCAATTACATGTTATTTTTTGTTCGTCTGTCAGTCCAAATAGATTTTTAGGTTGTTTACATTGACATTGTGGTCTTATCAACATGAAAATAAGGCCACATGATGTGAAATTACTATGGTATTAGGCCTATTCCACGGTTCACTAAACATTGAAATTATTACATTCTCAAGTTTAAAGTCATATGAAACGAGTGACTAATGAAAAATAATGTTTATCCAATTCTTGAACCAATATCATAAACTTAGTCTTCTGTGCACGATTTTATCATTTTTTACGCAAAGATATCGTTTTTAAATTGTCAATTTTTTTTCTCTCTGTCTGTTATGATCTAACAAATATGGTAGCTCATTAATTGCCGTGTTATGAAGCCGAAGTTTACCGATTGTTACTTTATAGTAAACTATCAACAAAAAAGGATGCAATCTATTGGCGGTTTTATCATAAACATGCTGCTAATAAATGCCTCTTTAATAAGCTAGGTGCATTTTTCTATATTATTTTTATCTTAGGAAATTACTATTGAAACATTGTTTATCTGTTATCTTGAAATTATCGTTTGAAAAGGATGTTTTTTTATAGAGATGACTTAAGCCAATCAGAAAGTCAGACTAGAGGTCACATGTCTGGCATTTCATTCTCCTGTATCATATTCTAAAATGTTATGGATAATTAAAACATTGTTGTGATGTCATTCTATTGTTTTACCCGTTCTTTATTTCAGTGATTGGACTATCATTAACCTGTAAGAAACCATTATGTTACCTTTAGCTGTCCAATATTTTTAAGAATAGACCTCCTCTTTCTTAAAAATATTGGACAGCTATAAAGGTAGCATTACTGATTCTTACAGGTAAATGATAGTTCAATCACTGAAATAAAAAAAAAACTATTAATTACCCCAATTGTTTTCATCATGTAAACAAAAATAAAACCAAAGATCAAATGACAATTAAAAAAACATTTTATTAAAGTCACCTTCCAATACAATAATTTTGTCACTCATCAAAACGGTTTCTTGAGGAAAAAAATCACTTTCAAATTGATTTTTGTCTCGCTTGACGTAGTCAAAAAGTGAGACATAGGTATGCTGTTTCCGGCGACGACGGCGGCGTCAACAATGTATTAGTTTGTGATTATGTCTAGTTTATGGTGAACCACTAGTGGTAAGTCAAAGATATTTGGTATGCAGTTGTATTAGTATTGGCACATCTCATTACCATGGAGATTATTTGGCCTCACCCCCTCAGTCATGGTCTATTGACTTTGAAACTTTGCTTAGTTTTCATGTATTAGTTTGTGATTAGGTCATTTTATGGGGAACCACTAGTGGTAAGTTAATGATTATTGGTATGCAGTTGTATAAGCATTGGCATATCTCATTTCCATGGAGATTATTTGGCCCCTCCCCCTCAGTCATGGTCTAATAACTTTGAAATTTTTGCTTAGTTTTCATGTATTAGTTTGTGATTAGGTCAGTTTATGGGGAACCACTAGTGATAAGTAAATGATAATTGGTATGCAGTTGTATAAGCATTGGCATATCTCATTTCCATGGAAATTATTTGGCCCCGCCCCCTCAGTCATGGTCTATTGACTTTGAAATTTTGCTTTATTTAAATGTATTAACTTGTGTTTGAAATTTTGCTTTATTTAAATGTATGAGCTTGTGTTTAGGTATGTTTAAAGGGAACTACTTATGATAAGTCAATGGTATTTAGTATGCAGTTGTATTAGCATTGGTACATCTCATTTCCATGGAGATTGTTTAGCCATGTACCTTCAGTCATGGTTCAATGACTTTGAGTATTTGCAAAACGTACATGTTAAATAAAGTGTTGCTATTTTAATTTCAACATTTGCATTATCGAAATTACAAAAAAGCGAGACATATCTCTGTGATAACAGTTTATTAACACTACCAATACTTATATCACAGCTATTTTTCTCATGTTTTTGGGTTGTCTCTTTTAGCACTAATTCAATAAGTTGATTATGCTCGTTGTAAGTCTTGTTTTTGTTGCTTTTATGAATTTCTTTTTCCAAAAGATTTATCCTCGTCCGTCTTTAGGTTATCAAAATTGACCTCTGGTGATGCTCTTCCTAACATCATTTTTAACTGCAACTGAAATGAAAAAGGCAATAAAGTAATGCTTCTAAAATTTGATACATCATGCCGCAATACAAGGGTCATGAACATAAAATGGAAATAATTGTTTACAGTGTTAAACGATATAACCAAAGAAAAGGCTGTTTCATGTAACATAAGTCCAAATAAAGACATATGTTTGGTTCAAGTTTCCCAACTGACTCTATTTTGACCCCAGATCTTAGCATTTCTATTCCCCTTCTGATAAAAATATAAAGTTATCAACTTTCTATTTCCTTCCTAGTTGTGTGTCAAAGATAATTACCCATGTGCTCATGTATATTTTAGAAGATGTTCCACCTAATCATCAATCTAGCTATAGATAGTTTCTCCAAATTGAATATTTAGTCTTATTTAATTGCATTACTTTCTATAAATACTATATAAAACTTGACAGTGCTTTGAATTGTAAATAAAAGATTGAAATTACTTTAAAGTATGTAAATATTATGTTGAAAAAGTGTTTTGTTTTTGTTTTTCAGTCCTTTGTGTGAAGAGTGTGTAAAGATAGCTACAAGAAGAATTGCACTAAAACAGTCAAAGTCTGTAGCTGTTTTCAGTCGTTTAAACTCCACATTTCCTTACAATCCAACATACATTAGAAGTAAAGCATATAAGAATGACAATCTACAACAATTCACATATGGAAGTGGTATATATATAGTAAAGTTTCTAAAACATTCTTACCACAAATTCTTTTAGTTCATAATGTGATACCCAGACCATTAAAACATTAAATATAACAGGAGCACCCGTTATTGTGTTAAATCATAGACAAATCGGAAAATTAGCTAGGGTTGTTGGTAGAGTACTGAAGATCAGATATTTTGTACTTGGTACAGTGGCTGGTGGTGGAATGGTATTGAACCAGGTATATATGAAAGCTAGAACTGTAACACATGTCAACAGCATTTACTGTAAATATTAAATTATTCAAGAAAAGATATTATAATTATTTATAAATATAGCAATGTCTCAAATTTAACTCTTTTCTTCCCTATCATGTCTATTCCATGGCCTTTTAATAGTGCTTCTCTTTGAAATGCTGTTTGTATGAACTATAAAGTGACTTAGAAAGAAAAACTATGTGGAAACACAGTTTAAAAGATATTTGTAAATAAATCTTTGTTAATTTTCAACATGTTTTGTAATTTTGTTTTGAAATTCATGATTTTGTTTTCATTTTGTCTCTTATCATTGCATCTTTCGAATGAAGATTTGTAATTTTATTTTATTACAAATATGAAGAATTGAAGCAGTATATTCCAGATATAGAATGGATGAAGGATTATCTGCCAGAGTCAGAAACATTGGATCATGTCAAAAATAATGTCCTGAGAACATTAAGGAGTATTCATCTTCCAGAAAAGGTTACTTATTATACATTTTACCCAGACAAAATAGAATTTTAATTATTCAATGATGAAATTCACAGTTGACAAAATGGTTTACATTGTTTACAAATCTACCATACTAGTCATGCTAGTGGGCCTTGCACATTTCTCCAAACAATAAGTGTGTGCATGCTGCTATACATAAAATTACACAAATAAACCTATATGATACCACAAACTTAATACATGTACAAACATTTAAGACAAAATAATGAGATTTGAACATTTTCAGCTAAAGAATTCTTAGTTTCATACTTTTTAAGCTCACATCACTCATTAGCCAGGATGTAATTATGTAACTTATGTTACTCAGTCCATCATTCTATCCCTCTGATACCCATCAGTGTGACAGGCCCTTTTTCTCCACTTGTAGATATTGAGCAGATTTTTATCTTAAAGTGTACAATATTGACTATTGAGGGTGTTTTGTTTCAAATGTCATTCAGTTGATTGGGTTACAGCCCCTTGACACATATTAAAGTAACATCTGCAGGTAAAGGGCATTCTTAAGTTCATTGGGTTACAGCCCCTTGACACATATTAAAGTAACATCTGCAGGTAAAGGGCATTCTTAAGTTCATTGGGTTACAGCCCCTTGACACATATTAAAGTAACATCTGCAGGTAAAGGGCATTCTTAAGTTCATTGGGTTACAGCCCCTTGACACATATTAAAGTAACATCTGCAGGTAAAGGGCATTCTTAAGTTCATTGGGTTACAGCCCCTTGACACATATTAAAGTAACATCTGCAGGTAAAGGGCATTCTTAAGTTCATTGGGTTACAGCCCCTTGACACATATTAAAGTAACATCTGCAGGTAAAGGGCATTCTTATTTACAACTACATTGATCTAGTTCTGTTCTAAAATCAGCAAAGCAACTCTGAAAATCACTGGCTTGATGTTCACATGAGAAAGACATATGTCATTGTAAATGTGATATACATGGATTGTTATTGGTTAACTTTATGTTTCTCTACTTTACAAATGTATTATAATATAAATCTATCAAAATTTCAGAATATTCAACATATTCTTTTATAATCCTTTTATAAATTTTTTTTTTATTTGAAAGAAAAATATTAAACAAATGATTTTAATAGTCAATAAAAGAATAATTTTTATTGAATTTTTACTTTATTTTGCTATAAACATGTATTTTCAGGGGTGGTTTACAAGTCACCTACCAGATCTAAAAGGTTACAAAGATTTACTCAGTAAAAGTTCCCTAGCAGTCACAAGTAAGTTCATCTTAAGTTGTAGCTATAAGCTTGTCAATATTTGTTTTCTCAGACAGCACATGCTTATTGAAAAATTAAGGTCACTGTTAGGGAAAGTTTGGCCTTTTTCTGCCAAGATGGGGGCAGGCTTAAATTGACAAACACTATCTTATTTTAAATTGCTGGTGATGTGGAAAGTGGTGCTGCCATACCCAATTCTTAAATCACTGAATTAAGATGTGAAAATATTGTAACTTAGCAGAACTTTTTATTTGATTAGATCAGTTACATATAGAAAAATAAAATCAATAGTATAAAACTAAGAAGTAATGCGAAAGTATTATTAGGCATAGAAAGTATAGTGTTAAAATAATTAACCATCCATTAGTTGACATGAAGGTTTTCCTACCATTACATGTTTACTTCTTGGGGACAAATAGATAAATGTTCCAGGGGTAGCTCTATGGTCTTCATATTTAGAGGACAAGTACACAAATAACTGCCAATTAGAATGACAGGGGTTTATCTCAACATATATAGGGAATGATCCTTGTTTGGCTTTTGAAGATTTTTTATGCCGTAGTGGAGGGGGCATTAAGTTTTATCCTTGTCCGTCCGTGTGTACGTCCCCATTTATTTATTTTAAAAACATGTTTATTTAAAGTTAGAATTGGAGATAAGTTCATAATTGCATGACTTAAAAGAACTCATTTGGAATATGTCATTTATTGGACCCTGCAAACTAATAGAAAATACAGAGAAATTGTGAAAAAAAATCATGTTGAGTTCTGAAATTTGTTTTTTATGGCAGGTAATTCACTTCTCTGTGAATAGTTTTATTTATAACTTGATATCAATTATTATGGATGTTGATGACTTGTACAGCTGAAACAAAAAATTAAAAACACAAACTAAAGCCTAAATTTTACTTATAGTTTATATTATTTCATACTTGATATACTCAACCAAAGTACTAAGTAGAAAGTGAAATGAATCGCACATTTTGCAAACTATCAGAGTTCTGTTAAGATTTCAGACAAACCAAGTTCACAAAATTATAAATTTTTATTGACTATGAAGATCTGTTTATTGTCAAAATTATTATTTGCTAATCTGAAGATCTGTTTCCTGAACAAACAGAACCCTTTGAAGAATTTGGTAATATAATTGTTGTACTTATTTTTTTAGTTTGTTTTAAAAAGGTTATTAAATTGATCTTTTTTATGTCATTATTGTGATAAAATTATTGTAATACAATATGCATAATGTGCAGTATACACTTACAAATATAATATAACACATATATGTGTATTTGTTTGCTTGTACTTACTAGAATACATAACTTTAATTTTAAATGAGATTTCATATACTGGTATATTTTTTTTCACTAAAAACAAAGCAACTGACAGACCATATTCATATTGGAAACATTGTTCACCAAAGCACCATGGAGAAGGTCATGCATACTATCATTCTTTTATTAAGATTGTTATTTGGACTTTATTCCATAGTTTATCATATATAGGTATAGGAAGATGTGGTATGAGTGCCAATGAGACAACTCTCCATCCAAGTTACAATTTATAAAAGTAAACCATTATAGGTCAAGGTACGGCCTTCAACACGGAGCATTGGCTCACACCGAACAGCAAGCTATAAAGGGCCCCAAAAAATTACTAGTGTAAAACCATTCAAACCGAAAAACCAACGGTCTAATCTATATAAAAACGAGAAACGAGAAACACGTATGAACTACATAAACAGACGGCAACTACTGTAATCAGATTCCTGACTTAGGACAGGTGCAAACTTTTGCACTTCTTTGGTTTCCTTCAGTACTAAGGACAATTGATAGTCTTCCCTAAGTTACATTACTGACTGATTTGTCTCATTAACTTTTAAATACTGTTATTTAAAAAAGATGAATAACTCAAATACAAATAATGGACCTAGTAATTACTTTATTCTTGATAAGCAATTCAACTATTTACTATGAATTTATCCTGATAAATCAAATGCCATAAACATTTGATGTGAAATGAAATGTTCCTTTAGATTTTTCCTGATAGGTGACATTTCATTTGAAATTCAGCATACTGTGGATTCATTATTATTCGTTGAATACCAATTTTTGTGGATTTCCTGGGTTCAGGGAAAATTTAAATTTTCAACGAATTACAAATTTTCCATAGGCTTGTATGCAGACTTTAGCAAAACCATGAAATTAAACATCCACGAAAGTGTAATGTTTCCTCAATCAACAAAAATTGATACCCACGAAAATAAATGAATCCACAGTATTAAAAAAAATTGACTGATTGTAGGGTAATTAGGAATACCGGTATATTGCCACTACATCAGTCTTGTTATGAGAAAATCTTTCATTCTTTACTTAGTTACTTGTTTAGGAAGAAATTTTTCTCCAACCACAAAAATGAATATTACTCCTATTACTGACTATTCATCTAGCAATCTGAAATCCTGATAATTTTATGATCATTTATGGCTTGCAAAGACTGCATATCATTATGATGGTTCCCTGTATGTGCATTCTTAATAGTAACTGTTGTATTTTGTCAGGTTCAAGTGGTGCTTTGCTTCATCCATCTCAAGATCTCACAGGTATGTAGAATAAAACTCCATTTCATTTTGAAAAGTACATAAGGGTATACACATCTTGTAACTGATCAAATCTTTTAGATGTTACAAGAGATATTTGAAAAAGTTTAAAGAAGTTAAGATTTTAGTTTCTTCTTCAATGGTTCACAAATTCCACGAAAGGTTTTGATATTATCTAAAGTATTCTGAATACAGTGAAATTTTTTTTACTCTTAATTTTGAAGATTTCAATTTTGTCAGGAACCATTGGTTAGTAGGTCTTTGAATTCATGGTTTTAGGCTTTGCTTATCTCACAAAATTTGAAAATTTGTATTTCATATCATTTCGTTGTTCTGATTCCCCATGAAATAATAGATATGTGGTTCCACTCAAATTCAAGTACTTTCAAGTGACATTTGTTATGTTGCAGGGAAAAAACAAGTGTATAATCTAATGGTTTTCATGATTAAACTTTACATATTTAATTGTTTGTTAAATCTTATATCCAATCTTTTACATCTTTGATTTCTTTTTATATTTTTTCTTTATACTCATTTTTAACTTTTAGTTTATTCTATTCAGTGCTTAGTATTACTAGAAAATTTAAAACATTTTTGCAACTTTTTAATCAAGTTTATTTTATTTTTATCAAACCTATTTTTTAAAATTTTGAATATGTTTACTTCTGCCTCAAAATTCTTTTTTTTTTCATTTATATGCAAATTTTGAAAAGAAATCAAGTTTGGACAATAAAGAAAACCAAAAGTTTCCCTGAAATTAATTCTGCACACAAGTGATATCTTGACTCTGCATGTTTACTGCATGTTCATAGACATTGTATTCTTAAGCAAATAGAATAAGCCAAAACAAGCATGAAGAATGCATCAAGATATACTGTAAATTCAGAAAATTTTGCATTCATTTATTATTGCGATTGTAGAACAATGGACAAAAATCTTGATTGATTCTTACAATTACAGAAAATGATGCATACAAAACAATGCTATAAAAATTTTAAATAAGAGATTTATTTTTTCAAAACTTATCCTGTTGCAATTTTTTTTGCAATAATACAAAAATAGCAGAAATCCTGAATTTATAGTATTTGGATCATTGTCATTTAAGATTTTTTTAGGACAAATTATAGATTATCAGTTTTTTCACAGGTAAAAAAAATATGAATTAAGAAAGAAAAATAGAGGAAATTATAAATGTATGACATTCTTCGGTAAAAAAAAATTTGTAATTGAACACTGGCTTACAATAAGTATAGCAGAAGTATTGGATCTGTGCATTTTATTTCATGGATCATATGCATTCCGTAATACCCATGACAGTCAATAGAATAGATAGTTAAATATGACCTAATTTGAGTTGGAATGATCATCCTTGGCAGCAATGTTACATAGAGATCCTTAATAGATCAAAGTGATGATCAATACAAGGCTTAAACAAATGAAGATTGTTGAATAAAAAAAACTTTTTCAAAGTCTGGCAACTTTTAACAAGTTATATTTGGTTGATTTAAATGATTTGTGCATGTTGACCTCCAATATGGCGTCATTAGAAAATAACTCTTTTTTCAAATTAAGTCATTAAAAAACCAAATATTACCTCCTTCTAATATATGACCCCTTAATATTCATGACATATCACCAACTGTGCTTGACTGGTTGCTTAATTAACACATATATGCTGTATCAGTTCAAAAATATAGTTACTGCTTTTATATATTTTTAAATCTCTTTCTATTAATGAAATGAGATTAGGGGTATTTTTATCAATAATTGTTCTTTAATCATCTGTGTGCTGATATTGGAATTCTATGGATATATAAACTTCTTGTACATTACTTAAAGTAGAGCCAATATACACTGGTTGTCATATTGAAATCATATATCATTGTGTCTTAGACTGAAAGAGAAAATTTTTAATCTCAAACCAGGTAAAGACTTGATAAACATGTAAACCTAAAATCTATATTTTAGAAATCATTATTACAAAAAACATTGTCACACATAGTTGCCTACCTCTGAAATACTTTGATTATTATTGACTTACAAATAAGGAATCTAATATTTGATCTTGATGTGAAATATTATTTTTGGGATATTGAATACTTTTCATACTATTTTAATGTATTATATATAACATTTTTTGAAGATAAACAACTACATATTTCTTCTGTTTTCCCTTGACAATCATTTTAATCAATTTAGGATTTAAAAAGCCTGTCTAATCAAGGCACATTTTTCTTATCAAAGAAAAGTAAGATTCATTCAGTAGATTATGAATGAGTCAATTTTTAGAGGAGAAGCAGTCCAGTAGGCAGGTCCACTTTACCAGTTGGTAAATTGGCATCTATAATGACACTGTATAAGGAGTAATTTAAGTGGGCATATGTTATAAAACATTATCTATGTTTTCAGATTTAGATCTTAGGCGATCTGTACCAATCATAGGATTTGGAAGGTCTTCTGATGATGAAAATGCTAAAAAAGTAAATAAATATTTCAATGCTTTATAAAAGAGTATGAGTCTTGAAATTCTCTTTGTTATTTTAGTATTTCAGTAAATATTGTGTAATGAGACTTACTCACCAATTTAAAATCTTATTTAACAGTAAATGTGATTTTTGCTATGTTTTGCAGACCCTAACGAAGTGCAAAAAACATTTCCTAAAAGGATTAATTTATTGTAGGAAAAAAAAATCATGGAAATTTAATAACACAAAAACTAATGAATTATATACAGTTGAATTACAAAGTTTTTTGTCATTTTTGAATTGTTTATTATTTATGACAAAAGTTAAAGTGGCATACTTCGATTTTCTTAATAAGATCTATTTACAACAGACATTTTGTCGCTTTTTAGATACTGATAAATCAAATTTTCTTAGATTGACCATCTTGACGCCGATGGGCAGACAAGGTTTAATTTAATTCTAATTCTACCTGGGTTTGATTCGGTTAACCTTTCTTTCATTTTACTGTGTTCTACTTTGATTATTTTGATGTCAACAGCAATGTCATGTTTTAAACACCTTCTTTAAAATGAAGTTTTAAGAAATATATGAATGCATTTATTGACATTTGGGCCCTTTAAGACTTACCATACACATAAAAGACCAAACCATACAATATTTACCAAACAACAAACAACACCCTTATATCAATATGAGAATGGTGGCAACAGAAGAACATCAAATTACAATAACAATCACCAATACAGAAATGATGACACTAGATCAACATCAGATTACAATAGATATAGGAAGATGTGGTATGAGTGCCAATGAGACAACTCTCCATCCAAGTTACAATTTATAAAAGTAAACCATTATAGGTCAAGGTACGGCCTTCTCTTACAGGCATGATACAGATAGAGACTTGAGTCACAGTCAGATATCAGACTTAGCATGTGACATTGCCTCTAATATTGCTAATGTACTGAAGCAATACTAATTTCTATTGATTAAAATTTACTAAAATATTAGAAAAATAATACAATGAAGGTATTGCCATACAGATAACTCAAGCATAATGTGACTTTATGTCTTCAGCTATGTGCAAGTGGCCACACCATTTGGCAAACTCTTAATCAGCACAAGTGTAGACAAGGTATGAATTGATTCAACAAAGACCAAATATGGCACTACCAAACTCTTAGTTGACAAAAAAACATCTCATATAGACACTTGAAAGGTGGATCTGGTTTCTGGCATACATCTTGCTTTCAATGAGTTTGGAACCATAGTCATCAATTAATTTTTATGCCTACAAAAGTATGGAGCCTTTTATTTCATGGAAATGTGAAAATGTGAGCAAGGTATGATGTCCCATCTTCTGGGTAAAGGGATTTGTGTTAAACATCCACTTTTAATAGAAGTTGTTTGTAAATCAGTGTTTCAGAGGGCCATATATATTTACATACATTTATATGTCTTACAGAATCCAGAAAAAGAAAAAAATTGAAGAAATACAAGAAGAGATGATGAACATTCAGGTACAATCTGCTTTCTATGACTTTGTAATTTATTCTACTGTGGATTCGATTATTTTTTGTGGGTACCAATTTTTATGGATTAAGGAAATATTGTGTTTTCGTCAATATTGAATTTTGTTGTTTTGTCATATTCAGCTGACAAGCCTTTAGAAAATTTACATTTCGTTGAATATTTTAATTCATGGTTTACCTATATCTTTAAAATCTATGAAATTTTATACCCGACAAATGATATTGACTCCACAGTAAACGTTGTTGATGATGTTTGTATACAACACAGCAACATTGTATCATTTATTATGCCAAAAAATTAGACGGGAAATTGTTGACTCACACCTTAAACTTTTGGATATTACTTCTACCATGTAATGTTCTAGAGTTATGCCACACAAACTTTCTCAAAATGGTCAAAATGATTTTCAGACAATTACTTAAGTTCCCTTTTGGGTAGGACCTTATAATTTTACTACCTTCTATAAAATGAAGGCCATTTCAATTTTCACTGAACCACTGTTTCAGAATCATACCATTTGAATTATTCGAAGAAGGTAAAAACTTTTATTGATATTTTGAATGTTCACTTTAGAGTAAGACAATAACTTTTCTACATTTCTACAAATGTACCTAGGATATAATACCAGAAAAATGGATAATTACTATTGCTGTAATGACCTTTACCAGTAATGCACTTAAGTCTCAATATATAGGTAGTCAAAATTATTTAAATATGTTTTTATTGTTGAATATTCTAGTACAACCATCTTCATTTGCTAAAAATGTTGGTCATTCTTTTCTGGAACATTAAAGACTACTTTAATCTACTACTTCATTTTTCAGCGACTGAAGTTTATTTTGTAGTTTATGGTTTTATCATTTTATTCTTATTGTAAACAAATATTTATGGTTTAAAGATTTACCGGTACAAAATATTTTAGAATTTTATATATATGCCAAAAAACTTAACAAAACGATGTTTTATAATCTCATAATTATGAAAATATTGTTAGTTAACTTATTACTGTACAAATAATATGGCTTTTAACATATCATGTTTTAATTGTTATATAGATGAGATACCAAAAAGAGGTAGAGAGACTAGAAGCCGAGAATAAAGACTTAAGGAAACAGTTGTTAATTAAGGAAGAAAAAACAGGAAAGAAAGTCAATTGAGGGTGAGTTTCAAGAAAAAAATGTCAGATGCTAATATTGAATTGATAAACAAGAAAGACCATTTACAAAAAGTCTTATGTTTCCACACACTGAAAGGAGAAAAGACGTTTAAAATAACATTGATTGTAAAGTTTGCAGATGTTGAGTTTGAAGGACAAAGCAAGGGCATAATATTTCAACCAAACGAGAGGCAAATAAGTTAAGCAGAAATTGTATGCTATCAAAAGGAAATTGAACCTTTTAAAAACAACATAAAATTGAAAAATACTTAGTAAAAGAACTCAGACATGCATGAATGTTCAATGAAATATAAGTAAAGGTATGGTTCTGCTTGTCATTTATCAAATCAGAACATTGTTCAATTATAATTTTCCAGACGATTCCTGACACCAACATTTCCATGTGTTTTAATACCTAAACACTATAAACTGAAAAGATTGTTGATTAAGGTGGTACCTAACACTACAGGGAGATAACTCTGTAAAAATTAGCTAAACGTTTTAATTACGTTGTATTGTTAAGGAAATATTAAGCTTCTCAATGATCAAAATTAGTGTTTGTCAAACTGCTATATAACCAATGAAATTTTTCTGATAAAGTGGTTGGTTCAAATTTTTTGAAATTTTTATATTTTTGTCAGAGGGTCAAAGTAAACATTTTGTCAAAATTTTATGAAAATTAAACGAGCCAAATTAATATTAGTCAAGGTGTTGGGTACCACCTTAAGTTGACTAAATCACATTTTCTTCCAGGTTCCATTTAAATTTGTAAGTTAAGAAATTTTTTCAAATTTCCTATTCTAGTGAATGACACAACAGACCTCATATTTAAAATAAAGTACAAATGTATATATCTTCTGAATGTGAACACAGACCTGCTACCTGTGCATAAGTTGGCTAGTTTGCACTTATTTCCTTCTTGATTTTGTATAAAAGGGAAACAGTTATGCATTAAACTGCTCTTTGTCTTTTAAATATCTTACACAGATTATATTGAAATATACTATGAAAGTCTTAGAGTTATGAAATGATATGAGTTTTGAAGATTATCTAAACCATTGATTTTATTAATTAAATTCAAGATTTTGTTTTGACATTAACTTTTAGATTTAAAAATTCACGATGTTAAGAACCTCCAAATAAGCCAAACAAGACTTAAGACTGCATAACCACAAGTAAAAACTACTCTTGCAACAGTTTTGAGCTACATTCTTTACAGTGAATATAATATATTTTGGTGTAGATAGACAATTTTGATATATAAACTCTACATTAGACATTTACAGACATTCATATATTTTTTTAAATTTTATTTGTTTAATGTTTGAGAAGTAATAAGTTTGAATTGAATTTTACAACTTATTTTAGATCGAGGGTAAAATTATAACTACTTATCATTCCTTTAATCACTACTTTGTGTCTGGAAATTAGATAAAAACTAATTGATATTTTTGGGATAGACTTCAACAGTGTACATAGCTTTTGATATGAACATGCTGGATATAAAGTTTTGTTATCTCCCTTGTCTTGAAAGACATTTTTTAACTGAAACTGCAAAAACAAAACAAAACTTTTAGTGTTTCATATCCTAGTCCTGGAATGGTTTGTGCTTTTGTTCTCAGGATTTAATTAAAAAAAAAAGTTTTTAGTGATTAAACTATGTAAGTCCATGATGTTATCTTTATAAAATCATTGATATAAGTCAGAAAAAATAAGTTGAGAAAAAAATACTAATCATACTTTGTAATATGGAAATTTCAGAATATTTGGTGTTCATATCTTTGTTTTTCAGAAATACCTTTTTAGTCAAATTAAATTTATTTTGTGATTTTCTTTATTTTTGCAGAAGTCCTTAATAGATATGTACTCCGATGTATTAGATGAACTATCAGGATATGATTCAACATACAATACACAAGATTACTTACCTAGGGTAGGTACATGTAGATATTATTCCACATACAAAACACAAGATTACTTACCTAGGGTAGGTAGATATGATTCCACATACAATACACAAGATTACTTACCTAGGGTAGGTAGATATGATTCCACATACAATACTCAGGATTACTTACCTAGGGTAGGTAGATATGATTCTACATACAAAACACAAGATTACTTACCTAGGGTAGGTAGATATGATTCCACATACAATACACAAGATTACTTACCTAGGTTAGGTACATGTAGATATTATTCCACATACAAAACGCAAGATTACTTACCTAGGGTAGGTAGATATGATTCCACATACAATACACAAGATTACTTACCATGGGTAGGTAATTATGATTCCACATACAATACACAAGATTACTTACCTAGGGTAGGTAGATATGATTCCAAATACAATACTCAGGATTACTTACCTAGGGTAGGTACATGTAGATATGATTCCACATACAATACTCAGGATTACTTACCAGGGTAGGTACATGTAGATATGATTCCACATACAATACTCAGGATTACTTACCAGGGTAGGTACATGTAGTTATGATTCCACATACAATACTCCGGATTACTTACCTAGGGTAGGTACATGTACATGTAGATATGATTCAACTTGCAATACACAAGATTACTTACTTAGGGTAGGTACATGAAGATATGATTCCACATACAATACACAAGATTACTTACCTAAGGCAGGTACATGTAGATATGATTCCACATACAATACACAAGATTACTTACTTAGGGTAGGTACATGCAGATATGATTCCACATACAATACACAAGATTACTTACCTAGGGTAGGTATGATTAATGTGCACAATAATGTCCTTTTAATTTGCTGATTGTAAGGGGGACATAAGTAACACAATTTGTTTCTGGTGACTGTATTTGTTCACATGGATTCATTTAACTTCGAATCCGAATCCAGAATGACTCGAAGCAAAAAAAAAACAACTAAAAGCATATTAAATGATTGTATGAATTTTTAAATTATCAGTACAAACACCTTTCTTGTGTAGCAAAGAAAAGAAACCTATTAATGTTAATTGAATCAACCTATCAACTGTTCTTAGTGACAATCATGTATGGTCAACAGTCCACAAAAGTATAAAACTTTAAAAGTGAGGAGTAAGTGTATTGTTTTTATAAATTTGTTTTTGAAATACAGAATTAACTGTATAATACAGACAGAGAGTTCATTATGCTCCAGTTTAGGTATCAATTGAATTTAAATGATTTTTTTAGAAGAAAAAGGATATAGTGCAACATGAACTAACTTATTAATACAAATTTACAAATACAAAATAGTCAGCCAGCCTTATAAGGCTTATGATGCACTTTCTAACCATGTTAGTCTGTTCTGAATCATTAAAGATGAGTTGAAATCAAATAAATTATTGTTATCAAAATCGGATAAAAAGAAACACATTTACAAACTGATTGATTGATTGATTGATTATTGATGTTTAACACCACTTTCAGCAGTATTGGCTATATTGTGGCAGTCAGTTTTTATTAGTAAAGGAAGCCAGAGTGGCTGGAGAGAACCATTAAATTTCGACAGGAAAATTGACAATCCTTCATTAAAGATTGGAGTTGAACACACCTGCCACGTGCAAGTTTTGAACTCACAACTTCAGTGTTGACAGGCTAGTGAAACAGTAGATGAACTATTTAGACCTTTTGGCCAACTAGGCCCCTCTTTATATGATTGAAAGGTTGTTTGTAGTGTAAAATTCTGTTTACAGGTTGTAGTTGTAGGAGACCAGAGTTCTGGGAAAACAAGTACTTTAGAAATGATAGCTGGTGCAAGAATATTTCCAAGGTAAATAGAAAATTTCTGTATCTTATAATCCAATCAGAGCTCTTTATTGTTCTGATGATGTGTTATTCCACCAAAAAACTAAATCAGAGAGGATTAATTTCACAGGTTTTTTTTGGAGTTAAAATTTCGTGATTTTATTGCGAACCAAATGAAACTTTGCCACAGATTTGTCTCCTATTGGTCAATCTATTTAAACTTTTGTCAGTTCTATTGTCCCATTGAATAAATACAATAACTATTGTTCTCTGTGTAGTTTATTCACTGGGACCTTTAATTTCTTTTAAGAGAAATTCATCACTCATTGATCAATTTACCTGAGAAAAAAAAAAATATTTTCTAAAAGGTGAAATTCCATGTTTTACGCTCACAAAACTGCTTGTGCTGTTGTTTTTATTTCATATCAATAACATATTTTTAATCAGTTGAATGTAAAGAGTGATTCAAATATTAATGAAAGCTGATTTCTGACAAAATTTTTAACCATTGTTCCTTTTTAAATTTGTTTTTTTCTTGTGTTTGACAAATAAAACGGGACGTATTATGGTATACCTCTGTCCGTCCGTCTGTCCGTCGTCAACATGTCGGACATTAACTCAAAAACTCTTTAACCAATTTGCATAAAACTTTGGTGAATTGTTTATATCTATTGACGTGAGCTCCCTTTCATTTTTTATAAATTTTAGATTTTACGTTTCTGAGTCATGGGGTTTTATTCATTAAAAAAAGGGGGATTTTCCAGTTTTCGGACAATAACTCAAGAATGCTTTCACCAACTTGCAAGAAAATTTGGTTAATTGTTTATATCTATTGACATGATCTCCCTTTTGATCTTTATAAATTTTAGATTTTACGTTTCCAAGTCACTGGGTTTTATTCATAAAAAAAAGGTGGATTTTTCAGTTTTTGGACAATAACTCAAAAATGCTTTCAGCAGTTCTCATGAAACTTAGATGAATTGTTGATATCTATTGACGTAAGCTCCCTTTAGAATTTTATAAATTTTAGATTTTACATTTCCGAGTTATGGGATAACTCAAAAATGCTTTCAGCAATTCTTATGAAACTTTGGTGAATTGATTATATCTATTGATGTAAGCTCCCTTTAGAATTTTATAAATTTTATTTTTTTATAGTCTGACAACAGATTTACTAAGTATTGCGCAACAGCATAGTGTATTGCACAACAGCAAGAAATCTTTAATTGAATATAAATTCAATTCATATAACCAATTTCAAGTTCTTTGACTACATTTATTCAGAAACCTATAATATGTCAAATATTTAATTACAATCCAAATTCAGACCTGTATCAAGCTTGAATATTGTGTCCATTTTTGCCCCAACTGTTCAGGGTTGGACCTCTGTGGGCGTATCCAGCTCCGCTCAGGGAAGCAGTTTATTTTATTTGAAACATGTTTGATCCACACAGTAAATCAAAAACTAAGTCAAGTATGTGTATCAAATCAGTTCTTTAATTATGTTGAATACGATGTATACAATATGATTCTCTTTAAATACATAAATTATAAATCATAAATAACAGTAAAACTAAATTCCTTTAATCATAAAAAGAATAAACAGTGCATTAATTACTTCTCAATCATAATAAAAGATAAAGAAACATGTTTTCTAATAAAGTACAAAGTTTGCACAAAAGATTAAATCAAAAATGAATATATTTCATTTATGGAACATAGTTACAATTCTTTCTAAAGAAATAAATGCTAATATGCTTACCAATTATGCTCTCTTATAAAATCTTGTGTGTCCAAATACAATCTAATAATAAACTGCCGTAATCAAATTAAAATAACATCGTCATAGTAAAACTTAACGTCATAAAGACGGGCTGCAAAGACGGCAAATATATTTAGCGCCATAAATGTCAATAATTTTATAGAAAATATAGCTTTTACAAAAAGCTTACCTGTAAATTAAATAGTGACAGCCAAGTGACAATGTATACACTATTACTGTTTATATAAATGTATCTTCTACCAAATATTTAAAATAAAAAATAAGAATAGATATAATTCTTACAAAATGTATTTTCATCTATTTAGAAGATAATTTTTTTACTCCGGTAAATTAATCAAAGAGTGATGAATTTCTCTTTGAAGAAATTTAATGGTCCCAGTGAATAAACTACACAGAGAACAAAAGCTATTGTATTTATTCACTGGGACAATAGAACTGACAAAAGTTTAAATAGATTGACCGACCAATAGGATATGAATTTATGGAAAAGTTTCATTTGGTTCGCAACAGGGCTTCCAAAATTATTTTTTGCCAGCCGGACATTTTATATATTATCCCGAGTTTAATCCCTTAAGACTAAATAAACAAAAGGCAATTATGGTAATCAGTTGCCGAGTTGGACATCCCAATGATTGACATTAAAAAAAAACAATATTAAACTTTCTTTGATTCAAATTCTAAGTTCTGACGTAAACTGTTAAATTGGCAGTGCATCATTCGAAGTGTGCAACATCAGCGTACTTATATCTGCCTTAGACTCTTTATTTGTGCAAAATAACGTTGTCAAAAACTTTACTTTCGTTTTTAAACCGGATGTTATCTTGACAATGGTAAAACATGGACCAGAGACGGATATGTAAATTCTGTGTACGTTTGCAAAGCATGAATGAGTGTAAGTAGCTCTTTCTACGTTATTTCTTCAAGAAAATATTCAAAATAAACGCGAGAAAAAGGTATCAATGACAATTTAAGCATTTTTTGAAGAAATTAGGCTGCATAATTAAATTTCACACCTGCAAACATGCGCACTAGTGTACTAGTTCAAACATGTCTCTGGTTCAAACAACGTGGTTATGACGATTTTTCATTTTCACCTTTTTAATTTTTTCATCAAATCATATTTGTAAACGTATTTCTGATAATTTAAATCTTTTTGACTAAATTAATTAGATGCAAACCGCTGAAATGTAAGAAAATAATTTTGAATAGACCGATCAATGTCTGGTTCAAAATAGTTTACATGTCACCTGAACAGGTAAATTTCAGCTGTTCGACAACTAATTAGCCTTGATTAAAATGAGAAGGTATTAAAGTAGGGGTTGTTTTAATAGTACTTAATGATCATGTCACTTTTATGACCGGAAATGTGTGGCTGTTAAAGGCAAAAGGTTGGGTCAAAAAGATCGCGAATTATGTTAAAATGACTGTCTCTTAACAGCTTAAGAAAGCCTTTAAAACTAAAAAGTAGATGTCCGTTTCATGCTTTGCCCAGCCGGACTTTTACCGTACATAATACAAATGTCCGGAATATATGACCGTTTTGGAAGCCTTGGTTCGCAATAATAACAATATAAATAAGAAGATGTGGTATGAGTACCAATGAGACAACTCTCCATCCAAGTCACAATGTATAAAAAGTTTACAATTATAGGTCAAAGTACGGCCTTCAACACAGAGCCTTGGCTCAGACCGAACAGCAAGCTATAAAGGGCCCCAAAATGACTAGTGTAAAACAATTCAAACAGGAAAACCAACGGTCTAATCTATATAAAAAACGAGAAACAATAAACACCAATGAACCACACCAACAAACGACAACCACTGAACAACAGGCACCTGACTTAGGACAGGAGCAAAAATCTTTTTGAGTGGTTCTAATTTTGTGTTTTCCTTGTCTAAAATTTTGAAATTAGCTTCCAGAAAAAATATATTCAAGGGAATATTTTCATGATTTTATCTAAATCGCAAAATGTAAGTATGAAATAATCTTGTTCTAAAAATTTCCCATTTTGTAGTATTGTGTAGTAAAATTATCCTTTCAATTGTCTTTATTTTCCACAGAGGATCAGGAGAAATGATGACACGAGCTCCAGGTAAAGTTACTTTGAGTGAAGGACCATACCATATAGCAGGATTTAAAGACGGTAACACAGAATATGATCTCGCTAAAGAATATCAGAAGTAAATAGACAGAGAATTTAATTTTTAATTTAACATAATATAAAAAATTAACTGAATTGTATTAAATAATTAAGATAATTTGAAATAATTTTTTTACAACTTTTCAGGATTACTTCATACTTGATCAGCAGCTTGACAGTAATGAGTTGTAATGGTTTACACTCTACATTTGTGTTAGAAACCTACTTCCTGTTTGAAGATACTTTGAATCTTTCAATATTTTGAATAAAAACAGATATTTTTGTCACACTTTTAAGTTTTATCAGAAATTACTACACAGAATAACTTAAAAGTGATGAGTTGTAATGAGTGAACGCTTTTCAGATGTGACAGAAACCTAATTACTTACGAAAACTTGAATTATAAATTGGGTATGCCTAGCATGACAACACATGCAACTTCTTTTGTTCCAATTGGTCATTGCATAATACTTAAATTTATTTTTCTTTGACAGTTGGCAGAATTACGCAGTGAAGTAGAAAAGTAAATGAAAAAAAGTGTTCAGGAAGGACAAACTGTCAGTAAGGAGGTACGTTAAATATATGTATTCTACTTATGTTTGGACATTCAGTCAGCGATCTTTCCTTTTTGGACAGGATACTGTACATTTTTTAGTAGTTGTTTATTTGGTTAGGTTTGCATTTTTATACAAAAATTTATAGTCAATATATGTTCATGTGAGGGACTAGATAACAATAAAACATTTTGAAAATTTGAATTACCTACTGGTAAACCAGATAAACAGACTTTGTATTGGTGTTTCTTGTTGTGACTGATATTGGAAATTCTTTTAACAATAAGCTTAAAAATTTAATCCTTCATCAAGATAATACAATCCTGATATTTACTTATACTTAGGTGATACACAGTGATAATCACTTCATATGGTCTTTTTTTAGTCAAACATTTTGTGAGCCTTTTTATATGACCCCAATTTTGTGGTCGTATAATGTTATGACGTTGTCAGCGTCATCGTCATGCGAAGACATTTGGTTTCCAGACAGTAGCTTGTGAATAAGTGTATGAATCTCTATCATAAATTTTACCACAAGGTTCCATATCACAAAAGGAAGATTGGGATTGATTTTGGGGGTTATGGCACAAACTGTTTAGGAATTAGGGGCAAAAAAAAAGGATTTTCTGGTTTCCCGACAATAACTTGAATATAAGTCTATGGATCTCTATGAAATTGTACCACAGGCTTCCATAGCAAAAAAGGAAGCTTTTGATTGATTTTGGTTGTTATGGCCCTAACTGTTTTGGAAAATGGGGCCAGAAACAATACTTTTCTAAGATTTCATCAAAAGTTGAATTATTGGTATTCTTTGATATGCTGATTTTGGATATTGGACCATATTAGATAAATGTCCAATTTCAAATTTTTAAGTTCTTAGTCCACATGCATTCTGTGTCAGAAACTATGCTATGTCAAATATATAATCACAATCCAAATGCAGAGCTGTATTGCACAATTAAAAGAAATTGTAAGAAGAGTAATGGAAAAAATAGATATAGTACCCAATCTAATTTAGAGAAGATATTATATATAGATATAGTTTGAAATTTACTGCTTATTATTAGATATTTTGAATATTATTCAAGGTAAGTTTTATAGATTTTTTACAGACTTTATATTAATGAGGAGTGATATTTTGGAAATTGTTCTTTTTTTCATTTTTTTGGTAAATTTTTTGAAGAACTTCGTGATAGGTTTGTTTGTTATTCTGTATAAATTAATTTTCTGAATGCTATATATATATATTTTTTTTTTCTATGAAGCTACCCCTTTAAAAACTTAGCTAATATTTAGCAAAACATAAAGATACAATATTTGCCCACACCCAAAATCTAAACAGTTGGATGCGATCCCCTGAAACTTATAAATGGCCTAATCAATATTTTTCAGTGTATATCAATGACAGTGAAAGGTCCAGGTATACAGAGAATGGTACTAGTTGACTTACCTGGGATTATCTCTGTAAGTAGCCATTATGTTAATTTGAAATGAAAGATTCATTGTATTTTGGAAGGCTATTTGTATGCTTGGTTGTTGAAAAGATAAAGTAAATGTTATTACAGTCGACTCTCGTTATCTGAAAGTCAGTCGGAGCAAAGAAATATTTCAAGATGCCCGTAGTTGGACTCAAACAAAAACCGGAAGTTTGACAAACCAAGGGACACAACTCTTGCTTAGCTTGGTAAGGCTAAAATAAATCCAGATGAATATGGGTAGATGATCGATATTCTGGTCTCAGATCGATGTATTTGTACGTTATGGTCTGTGGTCAGTGACCAGAAATTTAATTACACATGTATTGTCAGGTTAACTCTTCAATCAATTTAAATCCCCAAGGTCATGTTTTGACATTTGTGTATTATTTCGAGATAAATAATGAATTTTGAATGCTTTTGTTAACATTGGGACTGTAAATTTAGTTCTAGTCAATCGTAATTTTGACTCATCCAATTTCCACACATTAGGAGTCGAAGTACATATATTTATATGGAACAAAGGTCAGGACCACGAGAAAACTTCGACTCATCCAAAATTTTTAGTCAACCGAGTGCGAGACAACTGTAGTTAAACTTGTTATGCTCATTCAATACGTTAAGTCTAATGTTCATGTAAAATTAAGACAATACATGTATAAGATAGATTGAAAGATTTGAAGAGTCAGAGAGTGAAGCAACATGATTGAAAACATAGAATATTCTCAACAAGGATTTTCTGCTGTCCTGCAGAAGGTTAAAGATTCCTCCACCAATAAAAACTGGCAGCCATGATAATGATATAAATGTTATATTGTTGAAGCCTCTGTTCAACCTCTTGTGTGTGTATATTATTCATATTCAATTATTCTTTATTTTATATGCTTGTTTTCCTTCAGACTGAGACTTCTGTTATGGCAAAAGACACAAGAGAAGATACCAAAGACATGGTGAGGACCTATATGGAAAATCTTAATGCCATTATTCTGTGTATACAAGGTATGGTCATTATATATATGGAAAACATTAGTACTGTGTGTATGTTACAGTGAGTTTTTTTTACAAAATCCAATAATATTTTGAGATTTTGTAAAATCACAGGCAGTTTTTGTGATTTTGTAAAATCTCTGCAATTGTTACGAGTTCTTCAAAGTCACTCAAAATATTGCTCCGTTTTTTGTAAAATTTCTTATTATTAAACGATATACATTTATCAGAAATCTATTTTTTTCTAGAATAGTTACAACATGTTTCAATTGTTAATTATGTGTTTACTAACACATCTGCACTTTTAGAATGTTTTTTCTTGATCTAGCTTGACATCGTGTTTTTCCTTGTCCTAGCTTGACATCGTGTTTTTCCTTGTCCTAGCTTGACATCGTGTTTTTCCTTGTCCTAGCTTGACATCGTGTTTTTCCTTGTCCTAGCTAATGACATCGTGTTTTTCCATTATATTAATACATCAAATTTGCCAATTGTATTTCCCTCAATTTTAATTCATTTCAATGTTTAAAGTTTTTAAATCTCCTTTAACAGAGAGGCGAAAGATACCAAAGGGACACTCGGGACATTCAAACTCAAAAGTTGACAATAAACTGACATCGCCATGGCAAAAAACGAAAATAGACCAAAACACAAACAACAGTATACAAACACAACATAATAAACTAAAGACTGAGCAACAAAAACCCTACCAAATTATATCTTTTATAGTACAATTACTTATTTCAAGAGCTTCCAGTATCTGTTTAGGATTTGATTCCAACAAATTATAATTTTGCTGGCTGGGCTTTACTACTCAACTGAAACTGCATTTGAGACAGACATTAGTATTTGATTTTCAAACTTAAGGTATTTGCCCTGCCACTGCTGCACATAAATTCTATTGCTTTGTGTAATTAATCAAAAGTTACAGATATTGTAGGATTTTTCTTACATTTACAGCTGGGTCTTTAGATGCTGCTAGAAGTAATGTTACTGACATTGTGAGAGAGACAGATCCACAAGGAAAACGTACAATATTTGTTCTTACCAAGGCTGATATGGTGGAAAATAACTTAGTTAAGCCAGAAAGGGTAAGACACATGATTTTCATAATGACAGCCTTTGTTCAGATGTCAAACATAATATTTTTATTCTTTGTATTTACCATGTTTAGTTGTTTTGCTTCAAAATTATTTTGAACCATTGAGTATGATTATTTTGGACCATTGAGTATGATTATTTTGAACCATTGAGTATGATTATTTTGGACCATTGAGTATGATTATTTTGAACCATTGAGTATGATTATTTTGAACCATTGAGTATGATTATTTTGGACCATTGAGTATGATTATTTTGAACCATTGAGTATGATTATTTTGAACCATTGAGTATGATTATTTTGGACCATTGAGTATGATTATTTTGGGAAGCAAAAATATATACTGTGAGTCAATAACTTTCCTGGTTCCGAATTTTTTTGGATTGAGAAAAAAATGCATTTTTTTAATACTTGATTAGGTTGGTTTCCCAATTTTTGCATTTGTTAAACATTTATATTTGTGGATTGCATTTACCAGTAAAATCCATGAAAATTAGTATCCAACGAGGGATAATGAATCTACAGTGGTATTCATGTTGATAATTAGTACCGTGTTTGACTTTTTGCAGATTAAACAAATACTGGCAGGACAATTGTTCCCTATGAATGCGTTGGCTTATTTTGCAGTAGTTACTGGAAAGGGTAAGTTTATTTTAAAATTATATTGAATTTATTTTAAAGCTATGATGTGTCCAAAAGAGCAATATAAAAATAAAAGATGTATTATTGCCAATAAGCAATCATCCACCAGAGACCAACTGATGTAGATGTTAGCAACTACAGGTCACAGTATTGCCTTTAACAATGAGCAAAACCCATACCTCATTGCAAGCTAAAAAGAAGACCAACGTCCTGATTTATGTACAAAACAAGAAACAAAAAAACAGATATAACATACAGTAACAAAAGACAACCACAAGTTTTCTTTTAGATATGGCCTTTTCATTCCAAATTTTACAAAATGTGCAACAGTAAGAAATATGGCTGATGACTCAAAGACTATAAGAAAACACACAAAAATTGAATCTTTCACTTGCCCTACTGTAGACAAATAATTTTGGTTTGATGAAATTTGTTGAGATAGATCTGTGAATTGAAGAGGATGAATTTCATATGCATGCTGTTCAGAATAAATAGTATCAAGGATATTAGCATGATTTATAAAAGTTTGATAACTTCAAATTGATTGAAATTTCTAAAAGCCATTTAATAAGATCTGCCAAATATTTAATTTTTGTCTCGTTGGCGTCAACAATTGTTTTCTGCAAAAGTTTGATAGGAACTATTTGTGATAGATCAATAATATTTTCTATAAAGTTGCAATACATTCAGTACATCTCAGTTTGACAATCATGTTGAGGTGCCGCCCTCTATGTTATGGTCCTGCAACTTTGAATTAAATAGCAATGTTTCTGTCCATCAGATTGTCTTCTTCTGAATTATCTGCTGACAGGCACGAAATATCTCTGTGTAAACAGTTTATTTATGTAAATGGTTGGTTCTTTTTTATAGGTAACAGTAATGACAGTATACAGACTATAAAGGAATACGAGAAACAGTTCTTCCAAAAATCTAAATTATTCAAGTAAGTACAAATGGGATTTTCACATTATTTGTATGTAGAAGATATCGCTATAGTTTGCCTTAGTAAGGTTAAGGGTTATTAAGTAGGACCCAAAACATCCATATCTATGTGCAAAGACAATTTAGCATGCACTTTCAGATTGATAAATCAAAAAATTGATATGACATAATCATCTTATTTACATTGATATGTGACTTTCGAATGAAATTGCTATCTTTTTTGAAATTATTCATCATATCATGAAGTTTTTTTCACTTCAAGTAGTTTCAAGAAAAAAATTCATGCTTTACTTACACTTACTAATTCCATTTGATGGTAGGAAGTAGCTGCCATAATCTCACACAAGCAACATACTTTCTATGGGTAATTTTTTATACTTCAAATAACCATCACACATTAAATTTTATAGAATTGACCTGAAGAAAGGAGCATTAAGGCCTTTTTTGGACCAAGAAAATTAAGTTTTTGAGAATTATTTTAAAATTTGCACATAATGTTTGTAAATGCATACGATCAAGAAAAATAAATTGATTACACATGCATTTTGATGTTATGATGTTCAAAACAAGGATATTTGACAAAGATACAAATTCTAACATAGTTTGTTGCTTTGGTTATTCTTTTAATGCGAAAATAAACTTTAATTTCTAAACATCCTTGTACCTAAGTATAGTTAGGAAAAATTAAGGAATATGTATGGCAACTTTAAAATATGCACTTATATTTGGGCCATATAAGGGCCTTATTGCCCTGACTACTTTTACTTCCATGACAAAAATTCTGTATACTTTCAATAGAATCTATTTTCATTTAAAAATGTCAGACTGCATATTTTTCAAAAAACATCTCCAAATAAAATATACATCATTTGCAAGTTGGACATACAGAAAAATGGCTTAAAATAACATAAATCTTTTCAAAATCCAATTGATTTAACTCATGAAGGAACTAAACTAAAGTCAACCCTGTATATAAAGGTCATCTTCAGGACCAGGAAAACTGGCAATATAAGAGAGGTGACCTTTGATGCATAAATTTAACTCTTATTGGACAAGAAGAGGTAGACAAGACAGATTTTGCTTTAAAGAGGTGACTTTTAAAGCCAGTTTGACATATAATTACAATAATAATCAGCACACTTGTTTATTTTACAGAGATGGTGTGCTAAAACCAAGTACAACAAATACACAAAACCTTAGTATGTCTGTGTCAGAGTTATTCTGGAAAATGGTTAAAGAAACTGTGGAACAACAAGCTGATGCTTTTAAAGGTCAGTAATTACTATAAAGGGGTTTCAATTGGAGGAGTTTAAATTTCATGATTTTTAATGCATAATCTGACTACAATGTTTTATTTTCATGTTTTTCTTGTTACTGTCTCTCATTTTCCTTATACATGAAATTTACAGGAAGGGGATATTTTTGCAATATTATCTTGATCATGAAATTAGTTAAAAAACTATCCTGAAAATTCTGCTTTACAGAATTAAATTGCATCATTCATGCATTACAATTTGCTTGAAGATTTCATATCTATTTTGAATTAATCAAGATAGATGTAGGGTATATTTTACTGAGACAACCCAACCAGAATACAAATAAAAAAATTATGTCTTGATAATTCTTGAATTTGGTGTAAGAGTATCCCAGCGGGCACATCAACGTCGCTTCAACGTTGAAACAACGTCATGCTGAAACGTTGAATCAACGTTGAATTATAGGTTGAAAATGAAAAGTCATCTCAATGTTGAAAATACAACGTTGCATCAACGTTTAGACATCAACGTTGATTCAACGTTGAAAATTCATAGTTGATACAACGTTGAGAATGTTGATAATTAGTTTCTCTAATGTTTGTGCTATTTTCACATTTTTTGATCAGTGTGAGAAAAAATATTTAGTGAAATATCTGTTCTCTGCAAATGATTGGTTGAAATTTAATTATTACCTCAAAATTTCTTGGTTTCTTTTGAATTTTCCTAGTGTCGCGACATGAAAAAAGGCGACCACACACTTTTTAGAGAAAAAGAAGATTGAAGGACATTTACTAAAATATTTGATTAGGATGAAAGTCAAATGCATATTCAGGACAAACATGAGAGCAGACATGCCGAGCAGGATTTTTAATGTACTAGCTCACTAACAGTTCACACATGTCACCTTACCCAGAGACATTATTCTGGGCTAACCACTCCTAAATGCTATATGTTTGGCGGAAAAGCGGCAAATACCAATTTTAAAATCTTTGGTGTGACCTAACCTGCCATACAATTATTTAGTCAATATAAGTCATTAAAAACAAGATGAATAGAGCATTTATTTATTTTGAGCATCTGGAATGAAATTTGAAATGTCCTCATCCTGTCTCTTTCTTTTTTCTTTCCTCCCTCCACCTCCGTGCCTTTCAGGGGCATATTTCAGGAACCTGGACATTTCGCTCTTCATCCTAGTTTCTGTTGCTTCAACCGACTCAGGAAAGGACTCTGAGACACAATCTGTTTATAAAAAAACATAGTAACAATTAAAACACAGAAAGCCAAAAATTATTCATTTCACATAAAAGTTCATACAGCTACTGAGGATAATTAAAAATTAATGTAGTCTTGGAGTTGGTAAGGATGAACATAGTTTCAAATTTATTTTCCAGTGAATTTTGCGAGTTACTTGCTAATATAGAATTTAAAATAATGCAACTTACCAAGAATTATTGTGAACAACTTTGAGGCACCAAATGAAATTTTGCCATTTTTCCAGCTGATATTCAGTTTGGCCATCAAAGAATTATGGAGGACCCTGAAAAAAATATATGCATCTAAATAAAAAAAAATCACAATCAGATGTAAGATGTTTTTTATTTTACAGTTTACAATATGAAAATGCATCGAGTTTATCAAATAATTTTTACCAGACATCTTGGATGTTTTTGCTGTTAAAATTTGCTCGTTAATTTCAATTTCTACATGTTCTTTTCTTGCATTTGTAGTGTTAACTCTTTTCTAGGCTTGTAGTCTTTCCCTCATAATTTTTTGTTACCTGTTTCAAAATCATAGTTTCCTTAACTTATTTTTTTTAAGAAAATATAAAAAGGGTATAATCAGGATGATACAAGTACAATTGTTGAAAATGTTGTGTTTCCAAATCCATAGTTGTGATTAAATACGATACATTACTTTTAATATGATACTATTTACATATCCCTTTTAATTTTGGTAAAGTACAATAGAAAGGAGAAATTTACAGGAATGACATATGTGGAAAACAAATGACAAATTAAACGGAACAAATATTAGAAATCAAATTATATCGCAAACCTACGGATAACTTCCAATATTTAGATAAATCATCAGCTCATCCCGCCTCTGTATTTAAGGGATTTAAAATTGGCGAAGTTACACGGTTCATTCGATCATGTAATAACAAAGATGACCTCGACACACAAATCAAACTATTTAAACACAAGCTTCTAATCAGGGGACAAAAGGAAAATGAAATTAATCCACTAGTTAATACAGGACTACGAAAAAGTAGGCAAAACACATTATGTTATAAAACAAAAAACAAACAGAAAAGTCCACCACTAGTCATAGCAACAAAATTTAATCCTTTATTTAAGCAGTTGGGAAGACGAATAAGAAAACACTGGCATTTGATTGAAGATGACGAGACCGCTAAACATCTATTTCCAAGACCGCCTATCATTGCTTATCGTAAACACAAGAATGTGAAGGAGTACTTGATCTCGGCAAAATTATAAAGTAATTAAATAAAGAATGGACATTAAACTATAAGTGTATTACAGATTCACCAGGTGTAGTGCCCCCAAAATGTAACTGCATTTGATACATTACACGATAGAAACATATTGATAACAATTAAAAAGTAATTATGATCAAATGTTATAGTAAATAAAAATAAATTAGGCCAGGGCACCTGACAAGGATGAACGGCCTTGGTCGAACTTGACCTAAATGATATCCGAAACACCAGGTGTAATATCATCAAATTAAAGAAATTCATAGACGACCAGTTGATTACCACAGATCATTTACGTTGGGGAAAATCCTTTAAAAAATAAATAGATGTGTAAAAGTTTATAATTAACCACAGAACAATCTACCGAGAAAAGGTCAAATCAGGTTATAACAGTTAAAGATAATATATATAATTTAAAGTAAATATACATAAGCAAAACATGCTATATATATGTATCACCAAATCATGCACAAACAGAGCAATAACAGAATAAACCTGTAATTGAAGACAAACATTTAAATGCATATAAAATTGCATATAAAGTATAAACAGCGATACATGGAAAATCATTATAGAAACTCGATACAGACAAGAAATAAAATCTCCTATAGACAATGGTATTAGTAAGTTTTGCTGGGATTGGTTCATGGACACGACTATTTATAAAAATAGGTACAACCAGAATGTCAGGGCCACCCTTTCATGGGAACATTTGGTTTATATACATATGGAGCAGCCTCCCCCCTTTTTAGCTCACCTGACCTAAAAGGTCAAGTGAGCTTTTCTCATCACTTTGCGTCCGTCGTCCGTCGTCCGTAAACTTTTACAAAAATCTTCTCCTCTGAAACTACTGGGTCAAATTTAATCAAACTTGGTCACAATCATCATTGGGGTGTCTAGTTTAAAAAATGTGTCCGGTGATCCGGTCAACCAACCAAGATGGCCGCCATGGCTAAAAATAGAACATAGGGGTAAAATGTAGATTTTGGCTTATATCTCTGAAACCAAAGCCTTTAGAGCAAATCTGACATGGGGTAAAATTGTTCATTAGGTCAAGATCTATCTGCCCTAAAATTTTCAGATGAATCGGACAAACCGTTGTTGGGTTGCTGCCCCTGAATTGGTAATTTTGAGGAAATTTTGCTGTTTTTGGTTATTATCTTGAATATTATTATAGATAGAGATAAACTGTAAACAGCAATAATGTTCAGCAAAGTAAGATCTACAAATAAGTCAACGTGACCAAAATGGTCAGTTGACCCCTTAAGGAGTTATTGCCCTTTATAGTCAATTTTTAACCATTTTTCATAAATTTTTGTAATCTTTTACAAAAATCTTCTCCTCTGAAACTACTTGGCCAAATTTAACCAAACTTGGCCACAATCATCATTGGGGTATCTAGTTTAAAAAATGTGTCCAGTGACCTGGCCAACCAACCAAGATGGCCGCCATGGCTAAAAATAGAACATAGGGGTAAAATGTAGATTTTGGCTTGTATCTCTGAAACCAAAGCATTTAGAGCAAATCTGACATGGGTAAAATTATTTATGAGGTCAAGATCTATCTGCCCTGAAATTTTCAGATGAATCGGACAACCTGTGTTGGGTTGCTGCCCCTGAATTGGTAATTTTAAGGAAATTTTTCCATTTTTGGTTTTTATCTTGAATATTATTATAGATAGAGATAAACTGTAAACAGCAATAATGTTCAGCAAAGTAAGATCTACAAATAAGTCAACGTGACCAAAATGGTCAATTGACCCCTTAAGGAGTTATTGCCCTTTATAGTCAATTTTTAACCATTTTTTCGTAAATTTTTGTAATCTTTTACAAAAATCTTCTCCTCTGAAACTACTTAGCAAAATTTAACCAAACTTGGCCACAATCATCATTGGGGTATCTAGTTTAAAATTGTGTCCGATGACCCCGCCCGATACAAGATGGCTGACATGGCTAAAAAATAGTACATAGGGTAAAATGCAGTTTTTGGCTCATATCTCTGAAACCAAAGCATTTAGAGCAAATCTGACGCGGATAAAATTGTTCATTAGGTCAAGATCTATCTGCCCTGAAATTTTCAGACCAATCAGGCAACACGTTGTTGGGTTGCTGCCCCTGAATTGGTCATTTTAAGAAAATTTTGCAGCTTTTGGTTATCTTGAATATTATTATAGATAGAGATAAACTGTAAACGGCAATAATGTACAGCAAAGTAAGATCTACAAATAAGTCAACATGATCAAAATTTTCAATTGTCCCCTTAAGGAGTTATTGCCCTTTATAGCCATTTTTTTACAATTTTCATAAATTTTGTAAATTTTTGTAAATTTTTACATAATATTTTCCACTGTAACTACTGGGCCAAGTTCATTATAGATAGAGATAATAGTAAGGAGCAAGAATGTTCAGTAAAGTAAGATCTACAAACACATCACCATCACCGAAACACAATTTTGTCATGAATCCATCTGTGTCCTTTGTTTGATATGCACATAGACCAAGGTGAGCGACACAGGCTCTTTAGAGCCTCTAGTTTTTTAAAAAATACTGGATACGACACTGGAAGTGAATGTCAGGCCTTCAACTGTTTTATATGCACCTGTCAATTATAAATAGCCTATAGGTATGTGCTCAGAATCAATTAGTAAATACTTTTTTATGTGTAAACCACGTGTTCATGTACCATGATGTGGGCACTGCATGGATTTATATTCATGTACGATCTGTTGATAGAAACACAAGTGCGTATGTACTTAAAAATTTGTAACAATAAAATAACGTACAGATTGTTCACTTCTGTGTTCTTGTCTCATGCTACCCTCTGCCATCGCTGTTAACGTTGTAGAATAGTTTTTTCTTGTTTCAGTTTCTCTCGAGTGGTAAACAAATGTTGTTTCTTTGAATAAGGCGCTAATCGACATGCACGAACTTTCGGAAGCATTTCCGTGATATTCCGAGTAGCAAAGTTTTAAGAGCGGGAAAAGTTTAAAATTATTATTTCAAATAAATATATATATATCTCCGTAAATTTGTTTTATTTTAAATTATTACAATGGTTTGGATATTGTTATAACCCTTTATATGGAAGAAATATATTTTATTTTGTAGAAATGATTATCAGAAAACGTGCAAGGTTCATTGGCGGATCAAAAAGGGGAAAGGGGAGGGGGAGGGTACGGTTCTGGTGGTATGACCTTTTCTGGGAAAAAATTGGTTGATTATATAGGGAATCTCTGAAGCTTAAACGGAGCGGGCCCCTCTTAGGCAGTCAGATGGCCCCCACTTATGAAAATTTCTGGATCCGCCACTGACAAATACATTTATCGTCCAAAAAAAAGGGGGGAGGGGGGTTCCAACCCCCCAATCCCCCCTCCCACTTGATCCCACTGCCTGCTTCAATTTCCAAACTTAATTCATTAGTAAAACAGATTTGAATAGTTGATTAATGCATATCATATATTTCATATATATATTGGTTCAACGTTGAAAAAGTGACGTTGAATCAACATCAACTTTCTGTTAAAATTTCAACGTTGAAAAATAAGACGTTGAATCAATATCAACTTTCTGTTGAAATTTCAACGTTGAATCAACATCAACTTTCTGTTGAAATTAAGACGTTGAACCAACCTTGAATTGTGGTTAAATAGTCGACGTTGAAAATAATTACGTTGAATCAACGTTGAACGTTGAAGTCAACCAAAATTCAACGATTTTTCAAAGTTGAAACAACGTCATGTGCCCGCTGGGATATGTTTTATGACCTGTATAAGTGTTAGTTGTTTTTAACTTTCAAGGTAACAAACTATTCAAAAGAGAAAATCTATAAAAAAGTTAAATCACAAAAATACTGAACTCAGTGGAAAATCCAAAACAGAAAGTCCCTAATCAAATAATTTATACTAATACAATAAAAGAAATTTAAGTACAACAGTCAGCAACTGGATTACAGGCTTCTGGCTGGGGCTCAACCCTCCTGATCTGGGACAGTGGTAAAACAACACAACATAACATAGAACTGTAAAAAACAGTTAGGGCTTGTCCTACCAGATTGGTACTTAGCACAAAAACAACTAACTAAAAGACGAAGTGATATAAAGACAAAAGTCACAAAGAACCTTTTGTTTGTTAGTTAAAATTACTACCAGGTAGTGAAAAATATTGATATGAAGTTTTATTTGTAGTCAATTTTCAAACTTTTAAAAACTTAAAAGAAAAAAAATAAAGTGTGAAACCATTGTCTGAAAAGGAACTCATACATCAATGGTAAAATAATGATTGCTTTCAAATGCCATTTATAAATATTTCATGAGTATACTTTGAATTGCAGCTCAAAGATTTAATTTAGAAACAGAATGGAAGAATACATTCCCAAGGTTACGAGAATTAGATAGGGTTAGTATTATTTCTGAATGAAATTGACTTAAATTACTGATAAAGACATCTCATGTTATTACTTAGGGAAAAAAAGTAAATCAAGACAAAAATGACACAACCACACAAACTAAAAAACAACTTTTGAATGAGTACAGTGTAATGGTCATCGCTTGAGATGCTATAAAAAATGATTCTCTGAATGTTCTTTTAGTGAAAATGTACTTGATGTGGAATCTTAAATTCATTGTTTAAGACCTACTTGATGAAAATTTTCATGTTTACAGTATTGGACAAATCAAATGCTTTGAATTATATGTATGTCTTTAAGCATACATCATTGGCCTCTGTGGCCGAGTGATCTAAGTAGTCTAACTACATTGTAACTATCCTGTCAATGCTGACTCCAATCTTAATTGACTAGGATTGTCAGTTTTCCTACTGAAGGTCGTGGTTCTCTCCAGGCACTATGGATTCCTCCACCAATAAAACTGACCGCCATGAAATAGCCAATAGTGCTGAAAGTGTTGTTATTCACCAATCAATCAATCATCAACAATGACTTAATCATCATTATTAGAAGAAATATTCTAAGTATTCAAATTGGGCTCCCATTCTTAGCCTCTGCATAATTGTATTATAAGAAGGTGCTATAATAATACATTGATTGAATTCTTTACTCCTTTTATATGTTGTAGAAAGATAAACATATAAATATTCCAAAATATTTGTTCATAACACTTGTATAATATCTACCTAAGTACCTGTGACATAGTTTATTGAATTATTTAACAAAAGTTAACAAATTATTTCTGGTATATATTAATGTTGTTTTGTTTTTGCAGGGAGGATGCATTTTCTAAGAAAATTTGGGATAAGAATGCACCTTACATATTTGAGAATATTTATCTACCTGCTGCACAGGCACAAAACTTAGGGTAATACTGGCTTTTACTTTTTAAGGCTATATAAAAAAAAAACATATTAAATCCACTGCAGCTATATAACAGATGGTGATAGCATTTGAAAGGTATAAATTCTACACAAAGAAATAAAAGACAAAAGAAAAGCACACATACTAGCTTATGAACTTGATTGTAATAAATGCTGGAATAGTTGTTTTACAAGAACATGCAATACAGTTTTTATAGACAAATCTTGAGTTTTTCCATAAAAATGTGTTACTTATTTGACTAGGATTGTCGGTTTTCCTATAGAAGGTCGGTGGTTTTTTCCGGGCACTCCAGCTTCCTCCACCAATAAAAACTGGCCGCCACGAAATAGTCCAAAAGCGGTGCTTAAAAGTGGGGTTAAAACACCAAAAATCAAAATCAAATCTTCAGAGAAGCACACATACCATCTTTAGGCTTGTACACATACTTCCTAAAACCATTAAATTAAATATCCTCGTAAATACAATTTCTCCTCAATTTATGAAAATTATTATGAATAATATGATAACTATCTGGTGTATGGGTTTTTGCCAGGTCTACATGTCCATCAGACAGGGTTCACCTGACCTCAACCTCATTTCATGGATTATTGGTCCAGGTTAAGTTTTTTTGGTCAAACCATATCTCAGATACTGTAAGAAATAGGTCAACCATATATGGTGTATGGAATGATTGTAAATTTGACCTAATTTTCATGGTTCATTGGTCAATGTTAAGTTTTTATGGTTTTGTTTGTATATCAGATAATATAAGCAATAGGTCAACTATATTTATTGTATGGAAGGATTGTAAGATGTACATGTCTTCCTGGCAAGGTTCTTCTGACCTTGGCCTCATTTTCATGATTCATTAGTCAATGTTGAGTTTCATTTGTTTACTCCATTAATCAGATACTATAAGGAAGACGTCAACTACATGTATATTTGGTTTATAGAATGATTGCATAGTGTTCATGTTGTCTAGCAGTGTACATCTGACCTTGACCTTGTTTAAATTGATCATTGATTATTTGAAGTTTATGTGATACTTGTAGTAAAACCTTCATATAACACACTTTCAACATAAATTCAATCATGATAAGTAAAGCAGGCTATACATTTCAGCGTTTGCACTTTTATTTTTAGTCCCCTACCTACCTAAGGGGACTTTAGGTTTGCACTCTGTCTGTCTGTCTGTCTGCCTGTCCATCCGTCAGTCCGGCAAATCAGTTTTCCACACTTTTTTGCTTTGTGCTTGAAGATATTGATTTGATATTTGGTTTATTGTTTTACCATGACAAGTTACAGATCATGTTCGAATTTTGTTCCGGTTTAATGATTTTGTGCAGAGTTATGGTCCTTGGACTTCGAAAATTCACTTAAATAATCAGTTTTCTTCACTTTTTTTCGTCATGCTTGAAGATATTGACATGATATTTGTTATATACTTAACACCATGACAAGTTATAGATCAAGTTAGCAGTTTGTTCCAGTACAATGAATTTTTAACCGGTAGGGGACTATGTATTGCCATGCTATACTCTCAGAATGCTTGTTTAAGTTTATTTATTGATATAATCCATTATATGTTAAAAACACAGTATAAAGATTTTTCCTATTCCAGAGAATTAAATACCAATATTGATGTAAAATTAGCAAAATGGGCATCTAATGTACTACCCAAGAAATGTGTTGAGGTAAATACTTTGTTTCACATATGTAATAGTTAATGTTATTAAGTTAACATTACCATTTTTCAGAGTAAGCCTGCAAACCATTTCAAAATACATTTTAGAAGATATCAATTTATATTTTGACAGATTTTGCAGTTTTTGCTTACATGTACAACCTTTAAGGATATAACATAAATACAAAAAATAAATCAATAGGTGAATAAATTATAACCATTGATTTTTTGTCTCTATTAAACCATGATATGTAAATCAGGCTAAATAATACTGTTAATTTTACTGGTATATGTTTGTTGTTTAAAGGTTGGATGGGATACACTTCATGACGAGTTCCAGAGAATTGTGGAAGAAGATAAGAAGCGTAAAGATCATGATGAAATATTTGACCAGTTAAAGTTGGCAGTGGTAGCTACCAGTAAAGCAAAACACCATTGGGAGGGCAAAGCAGAGGATAGTTTGGTAAGTCTGTGGCAATAGATATCTGTAAAGAAAACATCATTGGGAGGGCAAAGCAGAGGATAGTTTGGTAAGTCTGTGGCAAAAGATATCAGTAAAGAAAACATCATTGGGAGGGCAAAGCAGAAAATAGTTTGGTAAGTCTGTGGCAATAGATATCAGTAAAGAAAATCATCATTGGGAGGGCAAAGCAGAGGACAGTTTGGTAAGTCTGTGGCAATAGATATCAGTAAAGAAAATCATCATTGGGAGGGCAAAGCAGAGGACAGTTTGGTAAGTCTGTGGCAATAGACATCAGTAAAGAAAATCATCATTGGGAGGGCAAAACAGAGGACAGTTTGGTAAGTCTGTGGCAATAGATATCAGTAATGCAAAACACCATTGGAAGGGCAAAGCAGAGGATAGTTTGGTAAGTCTGTGGCAATAGATATCAGTAAAGAAAACACCATTGGAAGGGCAAAGCAGAGGACAGTTTGATAAGTCTGTGGCAATAGATATCAGTAAAGAAAACATCATTGGGAGGGCAAAGCAGAGGACAGTTTGATAAGTCTGTGGCAATAGATATCTGTAAAGAAAACATCATTGGGAGGGCAAAGCAGAGGACAGTTTGATAAGTCTGTGGCAATAGATATCTGTAAAGAAAACATCATTGGGAGGGCAAAGCAGAGGACAGTTTGATAAGTCTGTGGCAATAGATATCAGTAAAGAAAACATCATTGGGAGGGCAAAGCAGAGGACAGTTTGGTAAGTCTGTGGCAATAGATATCTGTAAAGAAAACATCATGGGAGGGCAAAGCAGAAGACAGTTTGATAAGTCTGTGGCAATATATATATATCACTAAGAAATTCATCATTGGGAGGGCAAAGCAGTGGACAGTTTGGTAAATTTGTGGCATAGATAGCAGTATTTCTAAACATCGAAGGGAAAACACTTTTGAATCTAACTTTGTAGTGAAAGGTATAAACCATAGTGTTAAGCTGAATATGTCATGGTTTGTTATTTGTTTTTGGTGTTTAACACCTCTAACAGTGCCTATGACTGTATTATGACAGTCAGATTTTAATGGTGATGGAAGCTGGAGTACACAGCAAGAACTGCCAACCTTTAACTTAGGAAAACTGACAATTCTTGTCAATTTAAGAACATATTAAAATGCAAATCTCCATGAGTTGGGTAGACAGGCAAGTGATCACTGAATATGAACAACTTAGACAATTTGGCCACCAATTCTCAACCATATATATATATATATATCATGTTGAGTTGTTAAATAGAAATCAATCTGTTAAGACAGTTTTAATCAAGTAAGCATCTTCTTTATGTGTGAGGATGGATTGTAGTCTAGTTTATACTGTTTAGCTGATTATATACCCTCTCTAAAGGAGTCGGGATATACTGTTTAACCTCTGTCCATCCCATGAAATATTTGTCACATTTTACTCAGGAACTAGATATCAGAGATTTCCAAAATTTGGTATCAAATTTGCTTTGCCATGTCAGGAGCCTGTAATTCAGTAATTGTTGTTAGTTGTTGTTCTTTCATGTTTGTTTATATACCACATCTCCTTATTTTTGTGTGTATGAAATTATCGTCACATTTTTCTCAGGAATCAAGCTTCAAGTGAGGTTTTTGTACTGTGTGATGTGTTTTCACATCCAGTGCTCATCAACTTCCTATTAAATAAATACTAAAATATTCTTTACACATAATGACCATGTATAAGATTTCCTTCACATTTTTCTCTCTAATTAAATATAAGAAGATGTGAAGTATGAATCAGAGTTTCTTCAAATTTGGTATCAAGTTTCATGTTTGTTTTCACTTTCACCACATATCAATTTTCTGTTTTCCTAATACGTATAGCTGGGATATTCATAAGTGAGCTATTGCTCACAGTACATTACGTTATTATTGACAAAAAATTGAATATTTAATTAAAAATTTGTATTCTCAAAGCTGTTTCTGTGGCAAAAACAACCATTTTTCTGAACATGCATCCTAACTGGGAAAAAAAGATATAAAGTGATTAGTAATTTAAAAAAAAAAACTATTCTTTGAAATTTTATTTCAGAGAGTAATGCAGAAAAATACACTAGACGACAAAACAATACCAGACAAACAACATAGGGGTATGGCTGTCAAATTTATGGAGGAAACTCACAGAGAAAAGTTACAACAAAGTAAGGATCAAACAATTTTAGTCTGTTTACCTCCCCTGTCATGCCACGGTTTTTTCAGTAACAAAATTATTTTAGAATATGACATGGATAATATTTGGCTAAGCAGCAACAGAAAACTTGATGCTACTGGTACAAAAAATCTACAATCTTCACCACTAAACATACATTTCAAATAGCAATATAGAATCACAAGATGAAAAGTAGGTTTACTAATGATATACACAAATGGATTTTTATATGTAAAGGTAAATTTCTGAAGATCTAATTAACTCTACCAACACTTTCATTTAGGTCAGTCCCTTTTAGTTTGTACCTTCAAAACTGTATAATATAAAACATATTTCTTAAAACAAATGATAATATGTCTCTGTCTATATAAGTCTTTTGATAAATTATTCAAAACAAATATTTTATTTTATTAGTCCCCTACCGACGAAGTCGAAGGGGACTTTAGGTTTGCACTCCGTCTGTCCGTCTGTCTGTCTGTCTGTCCATCTGGTAGTCTGGCAAATCAGTTTTCCAGATTTTTTTTCTTTGTGCTTGAAGATATTGATTTGATATTTGGTGTTTATTGATATATCATGACAAGTTACAGGTCAAGTTCAATTTTCAGGAATTTAGCTTTTCATTTAATCAGTTAAAGCCCTTTCCCTAGAATTAAATTTATGATGAAATACTTATTAATTAGTAGATTTCTGTTCAAAGGGAAATAACTTATTTTTTAAAAGATTAGATTTTTAAAAGACAAAATGACATTTTTGAATTTTTTTCCTTTTCTTTGCCGGTTTGGTAAATTGTTTGAAGAATTCAGTGGTAGGTTTGTTTGTCATTCTTGAAGATATTGATTTGATAATTAGTTTATAGTTTTATCATGACAAGTTACAGATCAAGTTGGAATTTTGTTCCAGTCTGATAATTTTGTGCAGAGTTATGGTCTTTGGACATAGAAAATTCACTTAAATAATCAGTTTACAACAGTTTTTTTCATCATGCTTGAAGATTTTGACTTGATATTTTTATGTAGTTTACACCATGACAAGTTATAGATCAAGTTAAAATTTCGTTCCATTACAATGAATTTGTAACCAGTAAGGGACTATGTATTGCAATGCAATACTCACAAAATGCTTGTTTTTTTATATTTTTCAGCTGAAAGTAAACTAAAAGAGCTGACAGGACCAAGCACAAGTGAACAATGGCTAAGTTGGCAGTACAAAACAGAACAACATAAACAGAGAGATCAAGCTAAGGCTGAACTGGATAAGATTCTTAGTATAGAACCTGTAAGTTACCCTTAAGGAGAAAACAAACACATTTAATTTCACACTACACAGGTACACATGTACAAAACAGAACAACATAAACAGAGAGACCATGCTAAGGTTGAACTGGATAAGATTCTGAGTAGTGAACCTTTAAGTTTCACCCTCAAATAGGCAGACTTCATTCAACAACAAAATCAAAGCTAGAAAAATTCTTAGAACAAGACCTGAAAAGTCCAATTAGAATTTAAAAAAAAAGGTTAACCCATAAATAAAATAGGGCCTATGTTAAACTCTAAACTCTGACCTAAAGAGTGCAACTTGTATATTAATGAGAGGTGGAGAGAAAAAAAATACACTGGATATATACACAAATATTTAACAAGAGATGATTCTTAGTGCAGAACATGTGATTTAACCAAGAAAACAAATACACACAATTGTTTACCAGACATACATCTATCTAAAGTAATTAAAGTAGGTAGTATTCTGAGATTGATTCAGATGGGTGCACCCCTTTGTTTTTTTAACCATAGATGACAATTATGTCCCTTTGCTCAAAGCTTGGATCCTCCCCTGGTAAAGTTTTGAATTAGAAAAACATATTCTCCCACTACAAAGATATTTGCAAATTTAAAATATGATCTATAGAATACCTTAACTATAAGAAATATTTAGCAGAGAACATACAATATTAACAACAAGCAGTAAACAAAATTTGAAACAATGCAAAACACTTAAAAGATATAGATCTCACCAGTCTTCAGGAGAGAGATGTACACCCATGTTCACCTTAGACTGTTTTGTCTTCAGGAGAGAGGTGTACACCCATGTTCACCTTAGACTGTTTTGTCTTCAGGAGAGAGGTGTACACCCATGTTCACCTTAGACTGTTTTGATGTATTCACTGGAACTTGCTTAAAATCAGATACAATGTAAGTTGCATTTTTTTAAAACATCTATGGGAGCACATGTATATCACAATGGAAAGTAAGCACATAAAACAATTAATCATTGTGAAAGTTGTAAAAAAACAATTTTTCTCAATTTATTTTGACAGACTTTTAAGCAGTCCATTTTATTTGCTTGATGCACTACTTAAAAAAATAATACACAATTTTTTTAAATAGCATAAGTTACATTTTAGAATTAATTGATTAGATCAAATAAATAACTCTTAGAATAATGACAGTTCAAAATGATGGAAACAGTCAGTAATATTATAAAAGTGCTTCGGATGCATGAAATTTATAACGGGTTGGTTTCATATTGTAATTGATAAGAAGAATTATATTCTATATAATTCATTTTTTAATGAATTTAAATACAAACTTTAGACTTTTATGTTTGAATTGATGTTTTATCTAATGAAGCTTTTTCTAGGTTAGATGCTTACTTTAACAAAGATTCATGTTTCATATGGTTTAGTGATGTATAAGCTTTTGTATATTTAACTGGATTTTCTAAGGAAAAATCGGTTATTGATTTGGGGATGTACGGCGGGCGGGCGGCTGCCAAACAGTGTTCGTTCATTATCATGCAAGCGCTTGGATGAAATTTTTTCAAATTTAGATATGTTGTTTCCTGTATTTTAATGTAGGTCAAGTTTAATTTTCACAATTTTAGCTTTTCTCATTGTTGAGTTGTAGACCTTTCAGTAGCAAAAATTGATACTTATTATGTGATTGAGTTATTTCCCTTTGAACAGAAATGGTGTAATTAATAAGTATATGTATAGATAGTCTATCAATGATTGTATCTGATCAATTGATTTTAGTCAGGAGTTGTCAAAAATTTCTTTATAACTATTTTTCTTTGAGACATGTGTGTTTTGAAGGTAGATGTCACAGTTGTTATGTGGTATTTTTATTTTTGTTGTGTGTGTTAATGTTTAATTTTTACTTGATATTATTTTCATTAGATAATAATCTATTTTCATTAAAGGATATATTTCATTACATTACATAGTGTAGATAAAGTTGTTGATATTGATAGATAATTTGCAGATCTATATAAGTTTGTGACAAATGAAAGAAAAAATATTGGGAACTATTAGTTATATATATAATGTTTGATTACACTAAGTGTTTTTAAATAATTTTCACCTGTTATCAGATAACAAAGCATGTGGTAAATATCAATCACACAATTATAATTGCATACCTGCCAACTTTTGAAAATGGCCATGGAGGTATTTGTGCACGACACCATTTTTAAGGGTCAAATTAATTTGCGGCATTTTTTCGTGTGTTGATTTGGCTCAAGAGATAGTGACTGGCATGCTTCTTTTTTTTGGGTTGATGGTGCAAGATGAGGTTATAAACCTTCTTTTTTGAACTTTTTGAATGTTGTACTCTTTTTATTGTGATAAACACCAGCAAGATTACTTTATGTTTGTCTGATACATTGTAAAGAAATAAAAAAGTAATCATTTTAATAATTTAATAACAAAAATACAACAATATATTATATAGATCAATATCACAAGTTGTAATGTCAAACACAAAAGGTACTCAGTAATGATTATTAAAAGTACATGCACACATACAGCACTTCAGTTAAAAGTGTTTCAAAGTTTTTAAAGTTCATAAAGTTTAAAATGTTCAATTTTAAAAGCAACTATTTAAGTATGTAGCACTACAGTTCAATATTTCACAAAGGTTGCACATTGGTTACTTAAATGTCACTTGTATGTTTTATGCACAGTCCTTGTTGTATGAAGAGCAAGCCTGCTTAGCTGTCTTGAGTTGTTCCTTTGTTGGCTAGAAAGTGTAGCATTTGCTGTTGGTGTTTAGCTTGACTGTCAGGAGGGCACATAATGTTGAATTGTCTAAGGATGACCTGGTGTCAGTCTGAATCTTCTTTAGCATTGAAAAGGTACGCTCACAGTCAGCATTTGAATTTGGAATGGTACACACTGCTGAGACAATCTTGGTGAGAAGAGGAAACCTGGGCGTTCCTGTGATTCTGTTGGTCATCTTTGACACCTGTCCCCAGTACTGGTCTACTCTGGTTGATCCTAGAGTGTATGTAGGCAGTTCTGATGCTGGTGTGACCTGGTAGGTTGTGAACTCTTCTTCCAGTTGTTGAAGTAGGTGTTCTGGTACAACTGATGGGAAACGTCTAGCAACAACTGTTACAACTGATGAAGGGTGGTCACCTCTGGTTGATGGGTTCAGAAAGGCTAAGCCACAAACAACTGGGTCCTTGAAAGAGAACTTTGTTAACATCTTGGCCACAACTACAGTGTAGAAGTTTCTGACAGACCTATAAAAAAGAAAATAATTAATTTTTTGAAACAATTTTATTTGAAATTCAGTAAACAAAATTAATGAAGAGAACAATTTCTGTGTTATATGGTCTCTTGTTGAGAGTTGTCTCATTTGCAATCATACCACATATTTTTATATTTATAATAATTTTTTTAGGTAAATTGTTTTTTATGTTGGCTGTCTCTCTAAGATATACTCTACATTTATTCTATTAATGTTTATTCAAACCTCTAGTTTATTTAAAATATCATTAACTTACTTGAAGAATCTTGCAAGGACTGATGGGCTGATGTCATCTGTGTGGTCTGCCATGTAAGTACGAGTATAAAGGCCAACTGCTAGGATGTTGTCTTGCAGCTGGTTGGCTACATCACTATAGGGAACTGTTGTCAGGTCTTGGTGTGACTGGATGACTCTGGCTTTCACAAACTTGCCAAGGAAGGTAGGCAATAGGACTGTCATCTCCTGGCTCAAGAAACCAATACGTGACTCATCAGCCTAAAAAAGTTAACAAGATTATAAATGCTGAAAGTAATCAAGATGAAAATGCATATATTTGACTGTAAAAAAGAGAATAAATCTATCATAAACATAAAGTCTTTTCTATACTCTGATAAAATATGTCTAATTGGCAATCATATCACATCTCCAACTCTGATAAAAATATGTCTAATTGGCAATCATATCACATCTCCATCTCCTTATTTTTGAATAAATGTTTCATGTACATGTACCAATTAATATTCTATTAAAGAATGTTATTTAAAAAAGTTCTTACTTGAAACATGGTGTTGAAGTGGTTCAGTGGTTCCAGTATAAAGCTGAGGAAGTGGTAGTAGAGGCACATCTCATGGTCACTGAGGTAGTTGGCACACTGCTTGATACGACCTGGCTTCTCCACCTTGTCATGGGAGTTGAAGTATGATGTAAGGGCTGACCAGTGGTGAAGAAGACAACCAACACACTTTTCCAAACTAAGCCATCTGGTGCTGCTGTGCTTGATGATCTTGCTAGGTTCTGTGTCTGTTAACTCTAGAAGCTCTTTATACTTTTCTTTTCTGTTGGAACTGAAATAATAATTCTTATTATAATCATATTATAAATTCAAAACATTTCAGAAAAAAATGTGTACCACATCTCCATATTTTATATTAAAATATATTAAATATAATTTCATTATAAATTAACAGGTGTTGATTCCATAAATATTTTTTGTTGGATTGCTGTCTCATTGATATATCAAATATAATTTTATTATAAATTAACAAGTGTTGATCCTATAAATATCATTTTTTGTTGGATTGCTGTCTAATTGATGTATCAAATATAATTTTATTATAAATAAACAAATGTTGATCCTATAAATATCATTTTTGTTGGATTGCTGTCTCATTGATATATATCTTTTTTTTATAAACAATTTTATCTAAATGTTACAATACCTGTGAAAGAAGTGGAAGTAAACTTCCACGAGGAGGTCTTCTACTGGCAGAGCAAGGGCCTTCACACCAGCAACAGTACAAAGGTTGGCAAGATGACACACACATCCAAAGTCAAACACAGCTGGACACTTTTCTTTGATGCGGGTTACTACTGAATTGTGTCTACCAGTCATCACACTACAGTTGTCGGACACAAATGACACCAGGTTCTCCCAGGGTATATTGTTGTCACTGAAAAAAGAAGAGATATTATATACTTTTAAATCACAATTTACATGAACTTGTAATAAAAAAAATACAATTTCAGACTTCTATGTCATTTGGTCTCTGGTACGGAGTTGTCTCATTGGCAATTTTGCCACATCTTCTTATTTTTATAAGTATTACTAAAATCAAAAATGAAAGTTAATAATTAGAAAAAACTTACACAAATACTTCTTGAAGATGGTCAAAGATGTTAGATGCTTTTCCTATATTACATATTGGCATGGCAAGGAATTTGGTTGTTGCTTGGTCAGTGAAGTAGCGAACTAGAATGGCAAGAGACTTGTCACAGATGTGGTCGTTGCTCTCATCTATGGCCATGGAAACTGGTTTGGTCTGCAGGTCTCGGACAACCTCTTGATGAAGAGTAGGTGCAAGTGACTTCTTGTCTTATTGGAGTGAAAGTTTTTATTGAAAAATTTTAAGTTTCCTAAGGGCTGTTGATGATAAGCTCTGTAGGACGGTATAAATATAGGTTCATTATTATACATTTTGAAGATAATTACAGATGAGTTCAGTGATTTTGCTAGCGCTCGTCATTTTCGTCATTTACGAAACAGTTTTCTAAATGATGAAAGTATTTCAAAACAATTTCGTCACTTAAATTTGGAAAGTATAAAGATATTTTTGCATGAAAATACTATGATTCTACCTGTCTTCATGTTTCTGACAAGTTTATGACCCTCAGCTAATTAAAGTTTACAACAGGTGTTAAAAGTTGTGATTACAGGTAATCCGCTGATCGCCATCAGATGGGTCACTAATCCAATAATTATTGATAAACCTCATAATTGACCATCATAATTATTTATCCCAGTAAAATCAGTCAGACCGCATTTCAATTTCAATATTTGTCAAACGACCACGATTTGCAGTTCGTTTATTGTAGTTTCGTCATTTGACAAAATTGTTTTCCCTCCGACAGTTCGCGTTTTAATTCCCAACGATCACATTTTGCAGTTCGTTTGTTGTAGTTTTGTCATATGAACATATTTTCGTCATATTTGATATAACTTTTCATCAAAACCTTTCGACTATTTGGATTAAAAAAATTGAACTTTATTCAAAAGTTAGGAAATATTTTCACGAGTCAAACAGGTGCTTCTTTTACTATGTACTGCACATGCGTGAAAGCATTCATATAAAATTATAGACACTAAAACGTAAAATACAAAACCATTTAGTATCAAATTAAATTAAGAGACAAATATATTCTTACTAAGCAACTTAATTTAAAAAAAATGATAATTTCCTGCCTTTTGTTAAAGGGGCACTAGCTGTCAAATTCATGTTCACCGATTTGACTCAGTTTTCATATTTGTTATATAACAATGTAAAACATTTATCCAAATTATAAAAAATCTAAAATAAACAATTTACAGGGCATGGGGGCGATAATATGTAAATTTAGCTTCGTTTTGTGTGTATTTTAGTCTAGACTCCATCTAGTTAACTGTCGAGTTGACCTCACGAAAACCACTGATGCCCATATAAGGGATATAAACACAAATAAAGATATAAATAGATAGTGCAACTCGTGCAATTGGATTCTTCTAGGTCTATTTAATTTCATTTATAGATTAAAAATATATGCTAATCATCATTTTTACCTGTATAAGAATGATTTTTTTGAGGATTGAATCAGTCAATTAAATGAATTACCTTTGTTTACTTTCAATGTTGACATTCTTTTCCTTTAAATAATCAAACATGCACACAATTCATGCGTTATCCAACTCTATCTAAGGAGTTAAATTGAAGTTCACATGAATACGGATTCAATGAGGTCGAATTATTCACTTGCAAGTGAATAATTCATCATCAATATTTATTTGCTTTTTTTGACTGGCTGCTAAAAGCGAATTTTTATTTCACTATTCCACTTTCATTAATGATTGAACAAAAAAAATCATATTTTATAATTTTTTATATCTCGTAGCTAGTGCCCCTTTAGAAACCATAACTAATCCGTAGATGAATCCCGACTCATTCTGAATTTATTAATCACTTGTCACTTCCCATTTTCATTTCGTTTAAAAATAGAAAGTACAAGTGATCTTTTCTCGATTAATTTACAATTTAGTCATTAGAATCGTTCCAAAAAGGATTGTTACAAATCCTTGTTTCCAACTTTAAAGAAATGAATTCCAAATATTGATTTAAATGTATTAACAAGGATAATGATTATGCAGTGAAATAGTCATTACAAGTTCAATTATGCTGTGGTTTTAAAAAAGAGGCACCCAACTTTTGTTGATCAGGAATGTCCCCTGAAAATAACTGAAGTGAAATTTGACAAAATTATTTTCCCTCCGACAGTTCGCGTTTTAATTTCCAAAGATCACATTTTGCAGTTCGTTTGTTGTAGTTTTGTCATATGAACATATTTTCGTCATATTTGATATAACTTTTCATCAAAACCTTTCGACAATTTGGATTAAAAAAATTGAACTTTATTCAAAACGTTAGGAAATATTTTCACGAGTCAAACAGGTGCTTGCTTTACTATGTACTGCACATGCGTGAAAGTATTCATATTAATTTATAGACACTAAAACGTAAAATACAAAACCATTTAGTATCAAATTAAACGAGAGAGACAAATATGCATAGCTAGTAATATACGTCCTTGATTCCTTGCTGTTACCCAAAACAAGGTTGATTTTCATCTCGCGCAAAAGTGACTAAAGCCCTCAAAATCCTAGCTGAAACCCTGGATAAGTTTTATAGATTTTTAAAAGACATTGTATTAATGGTAAATGATATCTTTTCTTTGGTAAATTGCTTGAAGAATTTTGTGTTAGGTTTGTTTGTTATTCTGTATAAACTAATTTTCTGAATGCTATATATTTTTTTTTGATGAATCGAACTCCTTTAAAAACTAAGCTTATATTGTCTAATAATAAACATTTTTTTTTTTATTTTCAAGTTGGTCCAAATCAGTGTCCAAAATTAAACTTGGTTTGATTTTAACAAAAAATTAATTCATGGGGTTCTTTGAAATGCTGAATCTAACCATGTATTTAGAGATTTTGGATTTTGGGCTCCCTTATCAAATTGGTCGTCATTGAGATTCAAAGGGTCCTGAATTAAACTTTTGTTTGATTTCATCAAAAATTGAATTCTTGGGGTTCTTTGATATGCTCATTCTAACAATGTACTTAGATTTTGGATATTGGACCATAATAGGTAAATGTCCAATTTCAAATTTTTCAGTTCTTTAACCACATTCATTTTGTGTCACAAACGTATGCAATCGTTTTAGATTTTAACGAGAGAAATTTATGTATTACTGAAAAATTATTACACCAGGGTTTTCGATATCACAAACTAGTCAAAACATTTACTAAATTTTATCATCGGTATAAGGACATCATTCGTAAATATAGCTCAACATGCAGACTTCTTATGCGTTCAGGTATTTCACATCCAATTTTTTATGGAAATATTCTTTATAAAGCACAAAAATGTCAGTATTCACCTCTGAAACTAACAAAACCTTTAAATAGACTTATTAAGAAGGGATATAGTTACGATACTGTTGTCAGGTCATTAAAGATTGCATATTTTGGCGTTAATATTGATTCACTTATAGGGTCTTTGCATCGGCACTAAACACATTTATTTAAAAACCAGTTGTTGGCATGACACGGGTTATGTTCTTCTCATATATGTTATGATGGTATGATACTAAACCCCTAACGGGAAGGATTGTGCCTGATATTCATATGATGAAGACATAATCTTTCAATCAGTTTAATTGAAGTCTGGAGCTGGCATGTCAGTTAACTGCTAGTAGTCTGTTGTTATTTATGTATTATTGTCATTTTGTTTATTTTCTTTGGTTACATCTTCTGACATCAGACTCGGACTTCTCTTGAACTGAATTTTAATGTGCGTATTGTTATGCGTTTACTTTTCTACATTGGCTAGAGGTATAGGGGGAGGGTTGAGATCTCATAAACATGTTTAACCCCGCCGCATTTTTGCGCCTGTCCCAAGTCAGGAGCCACTAGCCTTTGTTAGTCTTGTATTATTTTTAATTTTAGTTTCTTGTGTACAATTTGGAGTTTAGTATGGCGTTCATTATCACTGAACTAGTATATATATTTGTTTAGGGGCCAGCTGAAGGACGCCTCCGGGTGCGGGAATTTCTCGCTGCATTGAAGACCTGTTGGTGGCCTTCTGCTGTTGTCTGTTCTGTGGTCGGGTTGTTGTCTCTTTGACACATTCCCCATTTCCATTCCACATTCCACTCCCATATAATTGTTTATTCTCCTTTTGATAATTTTTTTCCTACTACTTAGATGATAATCTATGCTTTCCATAGTCTAATAAAGTATATTTAGAAATATAAAACGTTAAGTATAAATGTAATTCTGTTTCAATAACTATTTTATTGTTAATATTAAAGTCATATAATACTTCAAATTTTTAATTTGAAATACTGGAATTGCAAAGTTTTATAATAAAACAAATGTATGTGAAACCGGGAGGAAATAGGCATGAGTATAACAAGCACTCGTTTGTAAATGTATGTAGATTCTTTATTAAAGGTCTAAGGTGAACTCAACAAAATAATGTAGTCGCATATAAAGACCCTTCATCTTATCAAAATATTCAGAAATGTACTGCTATTGAATTATTGTCTTCCCATACTCGCCAATATTTTTCCTTTTGCAGAACATTATAACCACAAGAAACTCATTTCATATGACTTTAAGGTTTCGATCGCAAGGTTAATTTTTTACGAAAATTTGCATACAAGCTATTTTTCACCTAAGCAATTCAAATATGTAATAAAAAATATACCTTCATGTGCTACTTTAAGAGATAAATAGGGTCTAAATTTTAGACATTAACTTAAAATGTCCCTTTTTTGGACATTCCTATCCTTTGTATAGACATACCTAACTTTTTTGTTTCAAAAGATAAACACAAACATATTTTTGTAAAAACATTTGGAAAATCTTCTTTACATAAGTATGCTCTAAATTTGTATAACAATTCTTTGGAAATAATTTTTATCAAAGTTGTAGGATTTTAGAAAAAAACATCATTTTTTGCTGTATATTTATATAATTTAAAAAAATTTCATTCGTGACTTTTTCATAATAACTTGTACAAAAAATCTTCATACGTAATCAAACCTAATGTCATTTTAAAAAAGAGGGGTTAATGAACTAGTTTTCAAGTTAAATCAGTCAAAAATGCATCTTTTCCTGATATGTCACAGTTTGACATCGGGAAAAAATAATATTTCGCGTTAGCAACGTCATTACCTCCCCTGTTACTGTATCATATGCCCTTAAAAAAACTTTTTTCTTAATGTTAAATTGACATAGCTCGGTAAATCTTAGACAAAGGACTGAACTTTAAATCCTTAAGTTTCAAGATCTTTTAACTATGGATTAAAATGAATAAAAAGAATAGGTACTAATATTGCTGCGTATACTTTCTATACATTATGGGGATACTGTAAATTCAGAAATTATTGCGTGCATTTATTATTGCGATTTTTGAAGAAAGAACAAAAATGCGAGATTTATTATTGCGATTTCAGAAAAACCTGCATACAAGTATATGCATCAGATATCAAAATGCAAGTTCTTATTATTGCGATTTTCAATTAGTCGCATTATTCGCAATAATAAAAACCTCGCAATAATTTCTGAATTTACAGTAGTAATATTTTTATTGATAGATTAAAGAAACATGCATGGCACCATGTATACAGACAACATTTTGTAAAGAAGTCCTTGTCACAGGCTCAGGAATGTAGAAAAGGCTTTTATTATTATAAAGAAGGCTTCTCCGATTTTGGGGTGAGTAATGCACAATTAATAAAACAATATAAACTGTTGGGATAATCAAATTTCTTGCATTACAGAAATCGTAACAAATAAGGCAAAACAAAGCAAAAAGGTTAATTGTGAAAAAATACAAATTTCTCTTTAACATGGGAAACGCACTGTTTCATAATAGGTAGAAATGTATTAACCACAACCATGTTTACAATCAACATCAATTATCAGTATATATTCATAACAACACACATTACGATTTATTGTACAAAAATGTGCAAATTTCTGAAGAGAAGAAATAAGGATGTCTATTTTGGTTCTATTGTGTTGTTTATTATAAGGAAGATAGCATACAGCTGTATTATCATTTTTGTCTCGCTTGACAGAGTCAAAAAGTGTAACATAGGTATGCTGTTTCTGGTGTCGTCGTTGGCGGCATCGTCAACAATGTATTAGTTTGTGATTAGGTCTAGTTCATGGTGAACCACTAGTGGTAGGTCAATGATATTTGGTATGCAATTGTATTAGCATTGGCACATCTCATTACCATGGAGATTATTTGGCCCCGCCCCCTCAGTCAAGGTCTATTGACTTTGAAACTTTGCTTAGTTTACATGTATTAGTTTGTGATTAGGTCAGTTTAAGGGGAACTGTTAGTGTCAGGTCAATGATAATTGGTATGTAGTTGTATAAGCATTATCACATCTTCATTTCCATGGAGAATACTTGGTCCTTACCCCTCATTCATGTTCTATTGACTTTGAAACTTTTGCTTAGTTTACATGTATTAGTTTGTGATTAGGTCAGTTTAAGATGAACCACTAATGTTTAGTCAATGATATTCAGTATGCAAAAGTATTGGCATTTGCAAGTTTCATTTCCATGGAGATTATATAACCCCACCCCTTAATTATGGTTCATTGACTTTGAAACTTTTGCATAGTTTACAAGTTAATGTTTGTGTTTAGGTTTGTTTAAAGGGAACGACTTAAGAAAAGTCAATGGTCTTTGGTTTGCAGTTGTATTAGCATTGTCACATCTCATTTCCATGGAGATTGTTTAGCCCTGTACCTTCAGTCATGGTTCATTGATTTTGAATATTTGCATAACTTACATGTTAAAGTATTGCTATTTTAATTTCAGCATTTGCATTATCAAAATAACAAATAGGCGAGACATATCTCTGTGTTAACAGTTTATTTATCTTTTCTTTACAGTTGGATTGTAGTGATGTTGTTTTATTTTGGAGATTACATAGAATGTTACAAGTAACCAGCAATGCTCTGAGACAACAGGTTGTAAATAATGAAGGTATGTACAGATATTTGGATTGTTTTATGTTGTAATACGTACTTTTGATTCAAAATCAATACAATTCTGCAGTTCAGTTGGAACTAGAATGATGTTATCATTGAAACATAAGAAACCTGTCATTATTTTTCTGTTTTTTACTGATGAAGTCGAAATGATATAGTGTGAGGGAGGCTTGTGTCCTTTGGACACATGTTCTTGTTTAATCAATCTATAAGTTTGTAGACGTAAGTCACATCTGCCATTCAAAATTTTAATCCTGGTGTTTATTTACATCAATCTATTTAGGATTTTTGTGATTTTAAAACTCATCTATATTCAAACATTGTATATATTACAGCTAGAAGATTAGAACGAATAATAAAAGAAGTATTAGAAGAATATAGTGAAAATAAAAACACTTTAAAGACATTGTTAACAGGAAGGAGAGTTACGCTTGCTGAAGAATTAAGTAAGTTGTGTATGTTTGTATGGTTGAGTTTAATATATTTTTTATGCCCTCGCCATGGCGGAGGGGGCATTAAGTTTTACCTTTATCGGTCTGTACGTACGTCCCAAAATTGGTTTCTGTTCTCTAACTTTAGTTTACCTCTACCAAATGTTATGAAATTTATACACAATGCTTATTACCATAAAACACAGAGCAAGTTTGAATTCTGGTGGCATCACTTTTACCGTTCTAGAGTTATGCCCCTTTACAAATGAAAAAATTGCTGAATTTTTCGTTTTGTCTCTAACTTTAGTTTACCTCAACCAAATGTTATGAAACTTATAGACAATGCTTATTACCACAAAACACAAATCAAGTTTCAATTTTGGTGGCATCACTTTTACCGTTCTAGAGTTATGCCCTTTACAATTGCTGAATTTTTCGTGTCCGTTCTCTAACTTTAGTTTGCAAATGATATGAAACTTTTAGTCAATGCTTATTAAAACAAAACACAAATCAAGTTTGAATTTTGGTGGCGTCACTTTTACCGTTCTAGAGTTATGCCCCTTTACAAATGGAAAAATTGCTGAATTTTTTGTTTCCGTTCTCTAACTTAAGTTTGTCTCAAACAAATGTTATGAAACTTATAAACAATGCTTATTACCACAAAACTCAGATTAAGTACAAATTTGGGTAGCGTCACTTTTACAGTTCTTGAGTTATGTCCCTTTATAACGTTATATGGAAGCGGGGGCATCATTTGTGTCCCATGGACACATTCCCCATTAATTTATATACTGTGAAAGTTAAAGACAGCCAGGCCAGTTTTTATGCCCCCCTACCCCCTTTAGCCGAGGGGGCATTAAGTTTTATCCTTGTCCGTCTGTACATACGTCCGTCCATATGTCCCAAAGTTGGTTTCCGTTCTCTAACTTTAATTTGCCTTAACCAAATGTTATGAAATTTATATTCAATGCTTATCACCATAAAACACAGATTAAGTTTGAATTTTGGTGGCATCACTTAAACTGTTGTAGAGATATGCCCCTTTACAAATGGAAAAATTGCTGAATTTTTCGTTTTCGATCTCCAACTTTAGTTTGACTCAACCAAATGTTATGAAACTTATACACAATGCTTATTACCACAAAATACAGATCAAGTTTGAATTTTGATGGTGTCATTTTAACCGTTCTCGAGTTATGCCCTTTACAAATGGAAAAATTGCTGAATTTTTCGTTTCCATTCTCTAAATTTAGTTTGCCTCTACCAAATGATATGAAACTTATACACAATGCTTATTACCACAAAGTACAGATCAATAACAATTTTGGTGGTGTCATTTTAACCGTTCTAGAGTTATGTCCCTTTACAAAAGGAAAAATTGCTAAATATTTTGTTTCCGTTCTCTAACTTAAGTTTGCCTCAACCGAATGTTATGACAATTATACACAATGCTTATTACTACAAAATACAGATCAAGTTTGATTTTTGGTGGTGTCACTTTTACTGTTCTAGAGTTATGCCCCTTTACAAAAGGAAAAATTGCTGAATTTTTTGTTTCCGTTCTCAAACTTAAGTTTGCCTCAACCAAATGTTATGAAACTTATACACAATACTTATTACTACAAACCTCAGATCCATAACAAATTTGGATAGCGTCACTTTTACCGTTTTTCGGTTATGTCCCTTTATAACTTTATATGATATGCAAGTGGGGGCATCATCTTTGTCCCATGGACACATTCCCCATTTATTTTTTATTTGTTAAAATAAGCCAAAACACCAAGATAAACTTTGGTATGTGACCTTTTGCAAGGTCAAATCTCTGACTCTATCCAACAACTGATACTTTTTTCTATATGACAGTTCGAATTTTCATCCTATTGACCCAATTTGCTGAACCTCTCTGATTGGTTTGTTATTCAATGTATTCTTCTGAAATATTTTCCCCTAAACATTGAAGAAACAACAATGAATTAATCAGTCAAGGTCATCTTTAGGAAGAACATTTTTTACAAGTCTTGAGTGGAACAACCAATGAAAGTTGACACAAGCTCTTTTAACTACTTGAAATTATGAATGTATGTCACTTGTCAACCTGATGTTGATATCTGTTAGATTTGCATGGTCAGAAATGTAGTGTTTTAATGGTAATAAGCAACAATGCTAATATAAGCCAGTTGCATTAGAATAGAAAAGAAGGAATATGATTAGAGAACTCTTTTCAGAATGGGAGAATGCTAAAAATTACTCTTCAAAATACACGGGGAACGAATTTGAATTTTGAAATGGTCCATTATGGTAAAGATTCAGTATTGTATATAAGTGACGTAAAAATTTGGCACAACATTCCTGCAGTTTAATCTGTATTTATTATTTTACTTTCAGAAACAGTCGGACAGATTCAAGAAAAGTTAGAAGAATTCATTCAAGCTCTAAATAAAGAAAAATAAAACCATTAAAAGACATAAGAATATCTGTGATCATATTATAACTGGTGTAACTAGTCCATGCTGTTGATATAAGAACTCTTATAAATGTGCAGTTGGTTGTTTGTTTCTCCACCAATCGATGCATGATATTTACTTATCAAATCAATTTTGGTATACATTTTAATACATGGACATTTTATTTGATCATATTATAACTGGTATAACTAGTCCATGCTATAGATATAACATCTCTGATAAATGTGCAGTTGTTTGTTTCTCCACCAATCAATGCATGATATTTACTTGTCAGATCAATTTTTATACCCCACGCAACGAGTTGCGGAGGGTATAATGTTTTTGACTCATCCGTCCGTCCGTCTGTTTGTCCGTCCGTCAGTCCGTCAGTCCTATTTCTTGTCATCGCAACTCCTCTCAAACCACACAACAGAATTTCACGAAACCTTTTTAGATAATAAGGACATACTATGTAGTTGTGCATATCGACAGGAAATTACGATTCAATTTGTTTTCTAGGAGTTACGCCCCTTTGAACTTATTTACTTTAATGTACTACTGCAACCTTTTGTCATCGCAACTCCTCTCAAACCACACAACAGAATTTCATGAAACCTTTTCAGATAATAAGGACATACAACGTAGATGTGCATATCGACAGGAAATTACCATTCAATTTTTTTTCCAGGAGTTACGCCCCTTTGAACTTATTTGCCAAATATACTACTGCAACCTTTTGTCATCGCAACTCCTCTCAAACCACACAACAGAATTTCATGAAACCTTTTCAGATGATAAGGACATACAACGTTGATGTGCATATTGACAGGAAATTACGATTCAATTTTTTTTCCAGGAGTTACGCCCCTTTGAACTTATTTGCCCAATATACTACTGCAACCTTTTGTCATCGCAACTCCTCTCAAACCACACAACAGAATTTAATGAAACTGTGTATATAATAAGGACATACTATGTAGATGTGCATATTGACAGGAAATTATGATTCAATTTTTTTTTCTGATTCAATTTTTTTTTCTTACACTTATTTTATTTCTCCAATGACAATGTGGGGACGTGGGGTATGTGAGCGCGCTCACTAAGGTTCTTTAATGGTGTAAATTTTTTCACATGTACATTTTATGGTAAATGTAAATATATTTTTGTTTTTGGCATTCTTACTCATTGATTTGCATGCAATATATAACTTCTGGTCAAATTGATCAATATCTGTGACATAAAAAGTCCTGTGTATATCTTTGTTGAGTACATTCAATGTAAAGACTTTATCAAGATGAAGACCAACAATGGAATACTAATTTCATCTATTTGTTATTGTAAATTCTGAACTCTTTCAATATCTTTTTATTGCATTAATTGTGATGGAATTATTTTCGCCAAAAAAATGGCATTGTAAATTTTTAAAGCATTATTGATATGTAAGATTTCACAGTTATAAATCACAATAAATTTATTTTTAATTTAGTTGTTAAAATTCAGTCTTTTATTATAACATGTGTGTCATTATTTTTTTGTCATTTAGAGTTCCTTCATTCCCGACAATTGATTGATTGTTGGTTGCTAAACGTCCAGTGTCAAATATTTCATGCATATTCAGGACAATTCCCGACAATTAAGCTAGGTACTAACATTACTGTAATGAATGTTCATTCCACAATATATTCAACTGATTTGCATGTGAAAGAATCTTATTTCTCAACTGTTTCCTAATGTTTATTTATTTTCTTCAACTTTTAAATATATTTCTAAATGAGTTATGGAAAGTATAGCGTTAGGTACATGTTCTGCTAAGTGAGGAATCTTTATGCTTTTGCAAATATTCATTGTCTGATTATTCAGAAGTGACAATTGAAATAATGGAATGAAGTGGCATGTCTACAGTAGAAAATTGAAAATGAAAATTTGTCCTAAGAAATTTTTCTGTGAGTTTTTTGGCATTGTTACATGTTAGGGTTTTTGCATATGTTTTTATGTATTATGAGATAAGTGTATATACATTTACATGGTATATTATGCAAAATGGAATGATTTTTTTTTTTAATTTCTAAACCATATGTTGATGGACAACATATTTCTTGAGACAAAATGTAAAATTAGTGTTTGCATGCTACATATGCTGTTGTACAATATATTAGGAAAATGAAACTACTGACTTTAAGCTAATCATGCTGAGCAAAGAATTTGATCCAAGCTAAATAAAGAATTGACAATTTTCAACCTTAACTAATTACAGAAGTGTAAGGGACTTGTTCAGATGATTATTGCCAAATGTATTATGTTTATGTATGATCAATGTTAACTGTTTATTTACTGGTAATTGTGGTGCATTCTGTCTTTCATTTGCAGACATATGTAAAATAAACAAGTAATTATAACCTGCTTTATCTTCTTTCTATCAACTTAGTGTTTATTTGTCTAGAATTCCACAGTTTAAATAGGAATGTCCTTTTTAAATGGATTTGTTACTTCTATGTCATTTGGTCTCTGGTGGAGAGTTGTCTCATTAGCAATCATATCACATCTTTTTATTTTTATATTGTGAGGGTAGGAATGAACTTCTGGGATCCCCCCACCATCAATATTCAGGTTTACATACATCAAATAGATATACAATTATAAATGACCAATGACTGATGTCTTAAGATGAAACTTCCCTTTCCTACTTTCCCATGTTCATTATTAATGGAGGCCAATCATTATGATAAAATCAATTTGTAAACTATTAACCTTCACCTTCAATATCTGACCTCTAAAAACTTTGTTGTGAAGTAAACGTTAGTCAGACAAGGTCATCCAACTTTGACCTAACTTTCACACTTTTGATCACATATTATTTTTGTCATTTATAATTATAAGAACTGGTAATACACAAAAATATATTTGGTTTGAAAATTTATCATGTGGTGTTTCTTGACCTTGATCTCATTTCAATGTTTACACTATTCTTAATTCCTTTAAACCATTGTCAGATTCCCCATTATTATCCATTAAAAAAAGGAACGATACTGACTTTTTTGCCTTCTATAAAAGGTAAAATAACAAAAATACTGAACTCTGAGGAAAAATCTAAACAGAAAGTCCCTAATTTTAAAAATGGCAAAATCAAAAGTTCAAACACTTCAAACAAATGGATAACAACTGTCATATTCCTGACTTGGAACAGGCATTTTCTTATGTAGAAAATGGTGGATTAAACCTGGTTTTATAGCTAGCTAAGCCTCTTACTTGTATGATATTCTGATATTTACTTGTTATTGAAGAGTTTCAAAGTATGTGCTTTTCTAATTGAATTTGTTATCACTCTTGTTCATAGCTGTAATATCAACATGCCAACTTCAAGATGTCTGGTTGTTTGTGTTGTTTGGTTGCTGTCTCATTGATATTTACTCCTTATCTCCTTTTACTTGTTGTTACATTTCTGTAACTCTACATAAAAATTTTAATGAGAAAAGATAAGTGAAGGCGTAGAACCTCAAGTTATGGACCTAGTTAGGAAGAACATACCGGGTACAAGAAAGTTATAGAAAAGAAAGAAAGGGGTATCATTCATGACACAAAATCAGTACATGTATAGCAAAAAATATAAAAAGCACAGGACAACACTTATTGTTGGTCTCCATCTCAAAGTTACAGTGAGGGCTTCAACACAGAGCAAAATCTCTCACCACACTGCAAGTAAGAGACAGTACCTAGCACAAGTTTGAGCGGAATTCTTTGCAAACTGATGATCATGCCACAACTGTGAATAGTAGAACAAAGCCATGGTGTTATACCAATGAAATAAATCTGGCAAAGAAATCAAACATATGCTGCCATAATTAAACCTGACAATCACACTGAAGTGTGCATAAACATAAGCATTTAGACAAGAAGTCACATTGTGATAAATGTTGGATAAATTGTCAGGAAATATTGTATGTATAATACATAGATTTAAAAAAAAAATAGTTTCTATGCAAAACTGGAACTTCCAAAATATGTAAAATAATTTGTTAATTTTGGTTACAAATGAAAGATTTCAAACAGAGAGCCCTTTTTGGATATATGTTTGATGAACAGGTATTGTTTTGAATTTGACATGAAATGAATGCTACTTTATTAAAACTTACCGGTAATTGTTATAGCTGTGTTTGCTTGAAATTGCATATTTAACATAGAAAACAAAGGGGCCATGAATAAGTAATTTTTCTCCTTAAGTTATGAAAATTACATAACATTCCAGCAGCCTCAGTATATGGAGTATATATCTCCCAGTTGATACAATATTCCAGCAGCCTCAGTATATGGAGTATATATCTCCCAGTTGAAATAATATTCCAGAGCTTTCGTTTCCTATCACAATACTTGATAGAGGGTTTTAGTGGAGTTTGTGTTGCTCAGTCTTTAGTTTTCTATATTGTGTTTTGTGAACTGTTGTTTGTCTTTTCATCTTTTTTGTTTTTGCCATGGCATTGACAGTTTGTTTTAGATTTATCAATACAATTTTTTTCTTTGGTATCTTTCATCCTCCGAACAGTATATAAACTAACAATGAATTCATTTTGAAAGATCTTTTGGAAAAAGAACTACGGATCTAAGAAACTGCATGACATTATTTGAGTGTTCACAACTTGGATAGTTTTATAGTTAAAATTCATACCTAAAAAAAAATGCAAGGCATTAAGAGAACTAACTTAAGTGCACAAACCTTTAAAACTTACCAAAGTGTAGTAACAGAAATGGATTAAGAGGGACCATGGGGCCTGCTCCCTCCTTTTATGGAGCTATATGTATGGTTAATGCAGATGGATGATTCAATCCCCCCTGTTTTTGAAATCCTGGATCCCCAACTGAGTAACTCAGTAGGTTTGATGTTAAAATCGAATCTACTTGAACAACAATTATGTTTGAATAACAGGTTCAGTTTTGTCTATATATTGTCCTGATCTAAGGAGCTGTTGGTAAAGGTCAAATGTGATGTCAGGGGACAATTCTTGAATAATATTGAAGGTCTATATTAAAATTTGACACTATGACCCACATTTTGTACATGAATGACTGGTTACATAACTTATACATAAATATTGGACTGTTAGATAGACCTTCGTAACCCAGCCACCATCTTTATAGGTTTCAAGATTATATGCATAATGAATCAAGCTCGGTTAATTTAGTCAACCATCTGACTTTTAGTTTTTTTATGTTGTGCTGTTACACCACTGATTAGTATAAAGTTCTCACAATATACAAATAAGGAGAAATGGTAGAATTGCCCATGAGACAAAGAGTTTATTACTGCCACATTCTTTAGTTGTTTGTCCAAAGCCTTAGTAGATCTTAGTAGTCTATAATTGTTGGTTGCCATAATATTTTTTTAATGTCGATCATTAGCTTCAATCAAGTCATTAGTTTTCTCTGATGTATTTTTTCAAGTTTTTTTTCTCTGGCTGTAAAAATACAGCTTACTATATTTGGTATGAATTTTTTCTCATATTTTAAGGCTGTGAGGTATTGGGGGTGGGGGGGGGGTGGGGGGGAGGGGGGTCTTCCTATATGAAGGTTACATATATGCAGAGACAATGCCGATTGAATTCATTTTTTTGAATGTCAAAAATATCAATGGGGGTGTAATTTCAGATAGGTTAAATATATCAATGGTTAGAAATTTATATGTACATGGTTTATAAATGTGAATTAATGGTTCCATGTGGATAACATCTAAATAACATGTCACAGATTGTATTTAGATAGCTGGGAAATATTACAAATGGGTTGACTTGTCTTATGAAATATATGTATAGGTATATCAATATAATGGGGGATGGTTTTTAAACCCCAGCCAAACGCTGTACCAAAGTTTATATGTTGACAGAGGCGGATTAAGAGGGGGCCCAGGAAGCCCCTCCCCCCCCCCCCCCTTTTTGTGGGAAAATTTGGTTGATTATGTAGGGAATGACTGGAGCAGGCCCCCTCTTTAGCAGTCAGTGGCCCCCCCCCCCCCCTTTTGAAATTTTTTCTGGATCCGCCACTGGTTGAGACATCCCTGTGCTGTATGATATTCTATATTTGCATGCATCCTTTTAACATTGACATTTCCTTTGTTGGATAGTGGTCTCATTGGCTGTCATATACCAAAGGTCTTTATTTTATATTTAAAAGAAAAAAAATTGCAAAAACAGGTCATTTTACCCAGTAATTAAGTTATGGCAATACACTCTTAAACATTCATTTTTAGCCATCATGTTGGCTTACATACATAGTTGACCTATTATTCATTATAATTGAGATACTGACCTATTTGTGTCTTAAAAGGGTTCTGTATCGCTCCAATAGAATTTTTGCATAAAATTGAATATTTTGCAATAAGAATAATTATGATTGTTTCTGGGCAATTAAGTCCTTAATAAAGTTGAATGCTAATTTTGGCCATGTCAACTGATTGGAAAAAAATAATCCTGATTGTATTTTTTGCTGTTTCAATCTACCGTAGTTTCAACAAATAAACTGTTAACACAGAGATATGTCTCGCCTATCTGTTATTTTGATAATGCAAATGTTGAAATTAAAATAGCAATACTTTAACATGTAAGTTATGCAAATATTCAGTCAATGAACCATGACTGAAGGTACAGGGCTAAACAATCTCCATGGAAATGAGATGTGCCAATGCTAATACAGCTGAAAACCAAATACCATTGACTTTTCATAAGTCGTTCCCTTTAAACAAACCTAAACACAAACAGTAACTTGTAAACTAAGCAAAAGTTTAGTCAATAAAACCATGACTGAGGGGTAAAGACCAAATATTCTCCATGGAAATGAGATGTGCTAATGCTTATACAACTGCATACCAATTATCACTGACCTACCACTAACAGTTCCCCTTAAACTGACCTAATCACAAACTAATACATGAAAACTAAGCAAAAGTTTCAAAGTCAATAGACCATGAATGAGGGGGTGGGGCCAAAAATTCTCTATAGAAATGAGATATGCCAATGCTTATACAACTGCATACCAAATATCATTGACCTACCACTAGTGGTTCCCCATAAACTGACCTAATCACAAACTAATACATTTAAACTAAGCAAAGTTTCAAAGTCAATAGACCTTGACTGAGGGGGCGGGGCCAAATTATCTCCATTGTAATGAGATGTGCCAATGCTAATTCAACTGCATACCAAATATCATTGGCCTCCCACTAGTGGTTCCCCATAAACTGACCTAATCACTAACTAATACATGTAAACTGCGAGTACTCTCAGATCTGTACTTAGTGTCTTTTTGTTGTTTGGATGTACAACTACCCGGCCACGTCCATTGTATTTGTATTTTATCCATCTGATGAGTTAAGCCTCTTTCAACTGATTTTTATAATTCGTTCTTATATTGTACAGTTATACCACTGTCCCAGGTTAGGGGGTCGAGGGCTGGGATCCCACTAACATGTTTAACCCCGCCACATTCTGTATGTATGTGCCTGTCCCAAATCAGGAGCCTGTAATTCAGTGGTTGTCGTTTGTTTATATGTTACATATTTGTTATTCGTTCATTTTTTGTACATAAAATAGGCCGTTAGTTTTCTCGTTTGAATTGTTTTACATAAAAACTTTGAGAAAATAACAAGGATTTTACAAGATTTTCAAATATGGCTTTTTAAACTATATGTTATAAAATTATGAAAAGAAAAGTAGGGCTTAGTGGGCAAAATGTTTTAATGGCACTACATGGATAAAACCAGAGGATTCCGAATATGACAAAAATTCATAAACAAGAGGAGCGAACATCTGAAATGTCTGGCCTGCTTTAAAAATACTATTTATAATTTATTTTATGCTGATAGTTTTAGGTCATGTTCAGATAAACCAAGCCAGAAAGACACCTTACAATCATTACAAACATCCGGGGGGGGGGGGGGGGGAGTGTTACTTCCTATATTTTTTAGTGGTACGAGTGTGGATCGAGCAAAACAGGGTCGCTTTTTCATCGATGCCCTGTTGGTTAGAACAGGGTCCCTTTTCATGTCCTGCTGGTTAGAACAGGGTCGCTTTTCATGTCCTGCTGGTTAGATCAGGGTCCCTTTTCATGTCCTGCTGGTTAGAACAGGGTCGCTTTTCATGTCCTGCTGGTTAGAACAGGGTCACTTTTTCATGCCCTCCTGGTGAGAACAGGGTCTTACAGGGCCTTTTTTTAAACAAAGTATTTGACTAGACCAGGATCGCTTATTTAACTGTTTAAGATACAGTCTAGAACCCGGGTCTAGAACAGCATCTATTCTACATTTTCTTGAGCGTGTCTAGAACAGGGTATGTTTTTCAATATTTCTGTTTAGAACAGGGTATATTTTTCAATGTTTTCTGGTTAGAACAGGGTATGATTTGACAAGTGCTGTCGGTACAGTTATACCAGAAAGGATAGTCAGTAACCCCACCCGGGCAAACACCAAATATAGTTGACCTATTGCTTTATTAAATATAGTATACAAGAAACAGACCAATTAATATATATAATTAAATCATGAATACTAGACATCGATAAAAGAACCACGAAAATGAGGAAATCTGCCAGATATGTACACCTTACAATCATTCCATACATAATTTACACCGATGCATAGGAACTATTTTGTTTTAAATATGTACTACTTTCCACTTTCCAGTATGTTCATTTTTTTAATCGGGCCCGATTGGAATGCATCTTGCAATGTATTCCACTCAAACCGCTGCTAGGTGTTATCTTAAACTTGCAGTGCAAGTGAGGCAATTTGTGTTTGCTCTGTGTTGAAGTCCTCACTGTGACAGATAACGAAAAACAATTTAAGCTCTCTTCCTTAGACTTTCCCAGGTTAGGGGAGGGTTGAGCCCTTGTTAAACCCTGCCACATTCTTTTAAGTGCCTGTGACGGTCAGGAACCTGTAGTTCTATTGCTGTTGTTGGTTCATGTCTCATATTTGTTTTTCACAAATAGTTTTGTTATAAATTAGGTCGTTTGAATTGTTTCATATTTTTCATGTCAGGGCCTTTTAAAGCAGACTACACGGTCTGGGTTTTTCTCACTGCTGAAGGCTGTACTATTGCCTATAATGCTTACACCCAATTCATTTGAACTTTAGTTGATAGTTGTCTCATTGACAATCATACCATATCTCCTTATTTTCATATTAACCAGGAAAACTTAACATTCAGACAAAGAAAATGAAGTCAAGGTCAGATAAAACCTGCCAGACTGACATGTACACCTTACAATCATTCCATACACCAAATAAAGTTGAACTTCTGCTTACAGTATCTGGGAAGCAGATCAAAACATGTGACTTTCACCTTGATCAATGAGGTTGATGTCAGGTGAACCCTGTCTGAAGAACATATAGACATTGCCATGACCCATATCAAATCCTATTACTCATCATTGAGAAATTCAAATAAAAAAAATCTTTTTTTAAGCAGTTGCTGAACCATGAAAATAAAATCAAGGACAAGACATGTGACAGACGGAAACTTCCAAACATATGGCATCTGTCTGTATTAATGGTATGATTAAATCCTCCAAGCCTATCAATTTCTGAAATATAAAGCTTAATACAAATAGTTTCTGCCACCGCCAGATCCCAATGTCTTGCATTCTGAAGTTTTCGTGGCAGGTGAGACAAAAACATTTTATACAAACATCCTTAATAACAGAGAATAACCAGAAAAATTTGCATCACATATTATTTTAATACTGAATGGAATTCAAATGTTAAAAGTTAGAGTTAACAAAGACATTCAAAATCACAATATTGCAGAATTTAAGACACTGTTATACACAGTATAAATATATACCGAGATGATTGAGGTTTTATCTCAAAACATCTAAAATTGAAAGAATTCTTCTTCCATTTAAACATTCAAACTTGAAGGGCATTTAACAATTCAAAATATACCCACTTTTTACACCACCCTTAATGTTTATTATCTAGAACTCTGCAATTTTGTTTTCATATTATTTTTTTTTTTTTTTTTTTTACAGAGCTCTAGATAATAAAAATATTGGATGTCTAAGGTTAGAGGTATAAGCAAAGACATTGCAAATCTAAGACACTGTTAAGGTGAAATATACAGAGAAGATAGGTTTTGTCTCCAATATCTAATAATAAAAAAATTCTGCTTCCAATTAAACATATTAACTTCAAAGCCATTTTCAATACCCAAGAAAAATGTACAGCTTGAAAAAAACATTTTTTAAAATACACTAATGAAAGGATAAAACTTATCCAACACAAATCATTTACCAATAAATATCTCTTGTATTTAATTTCGTAAATATATTGGGGAGGGAGAGAATTCAAAATATAAAAAATATAACCACTTTTTACACCACCCTTAATGTTTATTATCTAGAACTCTATTTACAATTTTGTCATTTTTTTTTACAGAGCTCTAGATAATAAAAATATTGGATGTCTAAGGTTAGAGGTATAAGCAAAGACAATCAAAATAAGAATATTGCAAATTAATGACACTTTTAGAGTAATAAATGGAGAAGAATAGGTTTTGTCTCCAAATATCTAAAATCAAAACAATTGTACGTCCAATTAAACATTCTGACTTTAAAGTTTTAAATTTCATAAATACATTGGTGTAAAAAAGAAAATTTAAAATATGCCCACTTTTTACACCACCCTTAATGTTTATTATCTAGAACTGTTTAAAATTTGTTTTCATATTATTTTTTACATTTTTTTTTTTAAACAGAGCTCTAGATAATAAAAATATCAGATGTCTAAGGTTAGACACATCAACACAAGCCATGAGTTTGGTTGAAGACAAATTTATCAGTTGCAATAATTGTTCTTTATTTCTCCCCACTCATCATCATAAGTGTTCTCCCTCTCCCACTCTGACCATTCTACATCTTTCTCTCTCTCCCACTGACCATAAACAATTATGAAATTTCAGTCATATATTTTCATTGCCAAGAATATTTTGTCTCTGAAGTGTTCATTGTTCAACTATGCTGATGATCTGTTAAGCTTGTTATAAGTTCATCAATTGAGTCAGTTAGAGACCTAACCTCTGAGATGGTGATGAAGCAGCTGTTATGTTGATTATTGCTCTTGTTAATTTCAAAGTGTTGATAGTTTCGTCTACCCTTTACTCTATGAGTTAATCTTTCTCTTTCCTTATTCTATGTGGTCTGTTTTTACCCTTTACTCTATGAGTTAACTCTTTCTCTTTTCTTATTCTAGGTGGTCTGTTTTTCTTATGTATTATTACCTTTCAGATGTTTCCAAGTTCATCAGTTCAACTGTTCCTCCTCACTACAAACAACAATTTAATTAGTTAATTCAATTGGATAACAAAAATTTCAAAAGAATATAGGAACCAGCACTTGAATTTTGAACAAAAAGGTTTTACAGCAATAATGGAGAGCAGTTCAGTACTATTCTGAAAACTATGTCACTCACCATAGAAATATTTTCCCCGATTTAGGTCCCAAGCAGGCTTAGATTAAAAATTCTCAAAACAGCGTAGTTTTGTTCTAATTTCAGATATGAATACAAAAAAGTGAGGTATACGGACAAAAACTAAAAATAACCAAAATACATCGACAATTATTTCATTCTTTTGACGTCTAATAATCTTTTCATAAAATTTTCCTATTTGGTCTCTTTATTAAAAAATACAGTTGATACCTCCAGTTGGAGTCATGTTACCATTATTGCACATATAATGTTCAAGTTGACCATAGGGGGCATCTTGACATTGTTATTAAGTATAAACATTTCAGTTCATAGGTGAATACTCTACAGCAACTGTAATGATGAAGAACAACAATAAAAGTAGTTACTTTAATCAACTGGTTATTTCCAGTACATCATGTTCATAAGTTGACTGAGTGAAACAGTTTTTAAGCAGCTCTATCACATTGCCAACCGAGAAAGATATATTTGTAAACTTCCACATCATTTGGTCTCTGGTGGAGAGTTGTCTCATCGGCAATCAAACCACATCTTCTTTTTATTAGAACATTGTGACATCAGATGGACAGATATTTAATTCGTTAAGGAAGTAAGAGTACCAACCTTGTATGAGGTGAGATCCTGCTCCTATGTTTTACTCCCATCAAATAATTCTGCTGGTATGATACTTGTAGCACGATTTGTCGTACATCTGAAACACAGAAAATATGTCTTAGTATTTTGGATCATCTGCATGAACAATATTTATTTATACTTTAAATTATACCTTTAAGAATTTTACAGTATTCTGAAAACATTGAGAATACCCTTACAATATTAGAAACAACTTGAGCTTATTATTTGGTCCAATACATCTCACATTTACCCCAGTAGTACTTTTTTATCAATCCGATCAAATTTGCAAAACAGAATGACAGAATTACAAGAAACTACTAGGTATTTTGAAAATTGACTCTTTTTTGTTTTGAATATTATTATTAATCCGATCAAATTTGTAAAACAGATTGACACAATTTCAAGAAATTACTAGGTATTTTGAAAATATTTTGTTTTTGTTTTGAATATTAAAAGCATATGCTGGCTTCTATTGGAGTGCTGTTACTACTGCTGTACAATGGTTCCAATTCCATATTAATTCATATCAGGTGATTGTATGCATCACAATCAACCCACCAGATTCCTTAAGGTAAACACTTACCATTAATTTATCAGAAAATTCTTCATAAGTCTAATATCAATATTGTGATGGATCCTTGATATGAGATGTCCAGCATAAATTTTAAGAATTTCTCCTTTCAGGTTGAACATTGAAATCTGGAATATAAAAATAATTCATATTTATGAATTGGCAGTCACATACTTCACATGAAATAATCATTTAAATTAAAACTATTTAATTAAGATTTTTGTATGTTTTTTTTTTAAATTTTATAAGAAGATAATCAAACTAATTGATTTCATTTGGTCACTGCTATATAGATTTCTCCATTGTCAATCCTACCACATCATCTTAATGTCATAGCTAATATGACATTATTGTTAAATACATTTTTTTTCCTTTTCTATCAATATATCTATGGCTGTTATTACCCTCCATCAGTGTTATTCAATAAATGATTGTAAGAAGATTCTCATTTTGCAAAGAATTCTCTCAGTTGTATGCTTGGTACAGTTGTTACTTTTAAGCTTTTTTCAAGTGCTCACTTGTATTTTTCTTTCACAATTTGATAAATTATTTCCCCTTGTTAGCATTCAATTATTATTTTTTTACTTTGTAAAAAGTTCTGGCTGATTTTACAAATAACCAACAAATCAAAATAACATGCTGCCTTACAATAGATTCTAATGAAATATTAAGCTATTATTTTTATAGGCATTTTCAATGTTTTCAACTGAGGAAATATCAATGTCTTCATCTAAGGAAATGAATTGTCAAAAAGTATTTATTGGCAGTTTTGATATAACTTTTCTTTTTGATACTAAGTATCTATATCAAGTCATATAAATTTCATAATTCTTCATGTTCAACAATAAAAAAGAAAACCAGAAAAAATTACAAAACATTATCAAAAATATATTAGCCACGAAAAATTTACCTTCCATAAATTTAAATATTCAAGAAGCATCATAAATCAGGAACAAGAAAATCATAAAATAAATACACACTAACAGGTTTGGCCATTAAAATTCAAAATTTAAATTCTGTGCAAATAATACACTTTTTACAGACTTGAACTATATCAATACCTTGCGTTTTTCTTGAGAAAATGTCAGAATATGTAATGAACTGGAAATCTAATCAACTATGTGTTCTGGATAATTTCATTGCAAAAGGAAACTCTGTCTGTCTGTCTTCTGAACACTTCATTGCAACTTAGGAACATCTGTTTGTGCTATAGAACATCTGTCTTCACTATAGAACATTATGTAGGAACATGTCTGCACTATAAGACATTATGTAGGAACATGTCTTCACTATAGAACAATATGTAGGAATACGTCTTCACTATAAGACATTATGTAGGAACATGTCTTCACTATAGAACAATATGTAGGAATATGTCTTCACTATACAACAATATGTATGAATATGTCTTCACTATAGAACATTATGTAGGAACATGTCTTCACTATAGAACATTATGTAGGAACATGTCTTCACTATAGAACATTATGTAGGAACATGTCTTCACTATAGAACATTATGTAGGAACATGTCTTCACTATAGAACATTATGTAGGAACATGTCTTCACTATAGAACATTATGTAGGAACATGTCTTCACTATAGAACATTATGAAGGAACATGTCTTCACTTTAGAACATCTGTCTTCATTAATGTTATTATACAAGTCCATAATTTTATTTTAATAGCTATTTAACTTTTAGCTTGAGTGTGCCAGTTGTCTGACTGTACATAATCCACCAATCTCATAGAAAACCTTTTAGTATTTCTGTCTTTTGTCTCTTTAGATATCATTGAAAACTTTTGTTGGATCTTTCTTGATATAAAAAAGTCAGTTTCTACACAGAGCTATATTTTATTGTCCTCAATTGCCATGACAATCATTGAAGACTGAATATAGACTTCTCAAATAAACACAGTTCTAAAGTTTCACAATTTTCCAAGACTTCACAATACACATTTTTAAAAATTATACAGTGCACTATTCATAATAATAAACAAAATTTTAAATATGCCTACTTTTTACAACATCCTCAATGTTTATTATCTAGAACTCTGTTTACAAACGATTTTGTTTTCATATTTTTTGGTATTTTCTTTTTTTATTCATATTTTTTTACAGAGCTCTAAATAATAAAAATATCAGATTTTAAAGGTTAGGGGCAAAGTCATTCTAAAATCAGAATATTGCAAAATTTTAATGTTAGTTGATTTTCTCATTGTTGAAGTCCATACAGTAACATGCAACTTCATTTGGTCTCTGTAGGATAGTTGTCTCGCATCTCTTCATTTCATAACAAATCAATTTGTAGGTTCTATAAAGTGGGCCGATGAAGGTAAGGAAAATTTTGACTGTCAACTGAGAGGAGGATATGTTGGGCAGAAATTAAGCCTTGCAACAGGCCACCTACTGACCCCACAAAGAGTTGTGGCAAGGGTTCTTTAACATGCAGAGTGGCACTGTCCCTACACATAGGAACTATACTTTTTAAATTGCCATTCCAATTTTTGTTTGCTTTAAATATGATAACATAAGACGACTTTAAGGTGGGGGTCATAAAAAATATTACAATAATCCCACCTTTTACACCACCCTCAATGTTTATTATCTAGAACTCTGTTTACAAACAATTTTGTTTTCATATATTATTTTTTGGTATTTTCTTTTTTGATATTTTTTTGATATTTTTTTTTACAGAGCTCTAGATAATAAAAATATCAGATGTTAAAGGTTAGAGGTTTTAACAAAGTCATTCTAATTCAGAATATTGCAAAATTTTAATGTTAGTTGATTTTCTCATTGTTGAAGTCCATACAGTAACATGCAACTTCATTTGGTCTCTGTAGGATAGTTGTCTCGCATCTCTTCATTTCATAACAAATCAATTTGTAGGTTCTATAAAGTGGGCCGATGACGAAGGTAAGGTAAATTTTTACTGCCAACTGAGAGGAGGATATGTTGGGACAGAAATTAAGCCTTGCAACAGGCCACCTACTGACCCCTCAAAGACTTGTGGCAAGGGTTCTTTAACGTGCAGAGTGGCACTGTCCCTACACATAGGAACTATACTTTTTAAATTGCCATTCCAATTTTTGTTTGTTTTAAACATGATAACTTTAGAAGACTTTAAAACGGGGGTCATAAAAAATATTACAATAATCCCACCTTTTACACCACCCTCAATGTTTATTATCTAGAACTCTGTTTACAAACAATTTTGTTTTCATATTATTTTTTGGTATTTTCATTTTTTATATATTTTTTTTCAACAGAGCTCTAGATAATAAAAATATCAGATGTTAAAGGTTAGAGGTATTAATAAAGTCATTCTAATTCAGAATATTGCAAAATTTTAATGTTAGTTGATTTTCTCATTGTTGAAGTCCATACAGTAACATGCAACTTCATTTGGTCTCTGTAGGATAGTTGTCTCAAATCTCTTCTTTTCATAACAATTCAATTTGTAGGTTCTATAAAGTGGGCCGATGATGAAGGTAAGGTAATTTTGACTGCCAACTGAGAGGAGGATATGTGATATCTTGAAAAGACTTTAAGGTGGGGGGTCATAAAAAATATTACAATAATCCCACCTTTTACACCACCCTCAATGTTTATTATCTAGAACTCTGTTTACCAACAATTTTGTTTTCATATTATTTTTTGGTATTTTCATTTTTTATATATTTTTTTAATATTTTTTTTACAGAGCTCTAGATAATAAAAATATCGGATATTAAAAGTTAGAGGTATTAACAAAGTCATTCTAATTTAGAATATTGCAAAATTTTAATGTTGGTTGATTTTCTCATTGTTGAAGTCCATACAGTAACATGCAATTTCATTTGGTCTCTGTAGGATAGTTGTCTCGCATCTTTTCATTTCATAACAAATCAATGTGTAGGTTCTATAAAGTGGGCCTATGACGAAGGTAAGGGAAATTTTGACTGCCAACTGAGAGGAGGATATGTTGGACAGAAATTAAGCCTTGCAACAGGCCACCTACTGACCAGGCCTCAAAGACTTGTGGCAAGGGTTCTTTAACGTGCAGAGTGGCACTGTCCCTACACATAGAAACTATATACTTTTTAAATTGCCATTCCAATTTTTGTTTGTTTTAAAAATGATAACTTTAGAAGACTTTAAGGCGGGGGTCATAAAAAATATTACAATAATCCCACCTTTTACACCACCCTCAATGTTTATTATCTAGAACTCTGTTTACAAACGATTTTGTTTTCATATATTTTTTTTTGGTATTTTCATTTTTTATATTTTTTTTGATATTTTTTTTTACAGAGCTCTAGATAATAAAAATATCAGATGTTAAAGGTTAGAGGTATTAACAAAGTCATTCTAATTCAGAATATTGCAAAATTTTAATGTTAGTTGATTTTCTCATTGTTGAAGTCCATACAGTAACATGCAACTTCATTTGGTCTCTGTAGGATAGTTGTCTCGCATCTCTTCATTTCATAACAAATCAATTTGTAGGTTCTATAAAGTGGTCCGATGATGAATTTAAGGGAAATTTTGACTGCCAACTGAGAGGAGGATATGTTGGACAGAAATTAAGCCTTGCAACAGGCCACCTACTGACCAGGCCTCAGACTTGTAGCAAGGGTTCTTTAACGTGCAGAGTGGCACTGTCCCTACACATAGGAACTATACTTTTTAAATTGACATTCCAATTTTTGTTTGTTTTAAACATGATAACTTTAGAAGACTTTAAAGCGGGGGTCATAAAAAATATTACAATAATCCCATCTTTTACACCACCCTCAATGTTTATTATCTAGAACTCTGTTTACCAACAATTTTGTTTTCATATAGTTTTTGGGTATTTTCATTTTATATATTTTTTTTTTATATTTTTTTACAGAGCTCTAGATAATAAAAATATCGGATATTAAAGGTTAGAGGTATTATCAAAGTCATTCTAATTCAGAATATTGCAAAATTTTAATATTGGTTGATTTTCTTATTGTTGAAGTCCATACAGTAACATGCAACTTCATTTGGTCTCTGTAGGATAGTTGTCTTGCATCTTTTCATTTCATAACAAATCAATTTGTAGGTTCTATAAAGTGGGCCTATGATGAAGGTAAGGGAAATTTTGACTGCCAACTGAGAGGAGGATATGTTGGGACAGAAATTAAGCCTTGCAACAGGCCACCTACTGACCCCTCAAAGACTTGTGGCAAGGGTTCTTTAACGTGCAGAGTGGCACTGTCCCTACATAGGAACTATATACTTTTTAAATTGCCATTCCAATTTTTGTTTTTTTAAAAAATGATAACTTTAGAAGACTTTAAGGCGGGGGTCATAAAAAATATTACAATAATCCCACCTTTTACACCACCCTCAATGTTTATTATCTAGAACTCTGTTTACAAACAATTTTGTTATCATATTATTTTTTGGTATTTTCATTTTTTATATTTTTTTCTGTATATTTTTTTACAGAGCTCTAGATAATAAAACTATCGGATGTTAAAGGTTAGAGGTATTAACAAAGTCATTCTAATTCAGAATATTGCAAAATTTTAATGTTGGATGATTTTCTCATTGTTGAAATCCATACAGTAACCTATTTTACAGCAACATCATTTGGTCTCTGTAGGATAGTAATGTCTCACATCTCTTCATTTCATAACAAATCAATTTGTAGGTTCTATAAAGTGGGCCTATGATGAAGGTAAGGGAAATTTTGACTGCCCACTGAGAGGAGGATATGTTGGACAGAAATTAAGCCTTGCCACAGGCCACCTACTGACCAGGCCTCAAAGACTTGTGGCAAGGGTTCTTTAACGTGCAGAGTGGCACTGTCCCTACACATAGAAACTATATACTTTTTAAATTGCCATTCCAATTTTTGTTTGTTTTAAAAATGATAACTTTAGAAGACTTTAAGGCGGGGATCATAAAAAATATTACAATAATCCCACCTTTTACACCACCCTCAATGTTTATTATCTAGAACTCTGTTTACAAACGATTTTGTTTTCATATATTATTTTTTGGTATTTTCATTTTTTATATTTTTTTTGATATTTTTTTTTTACAGAGCTCTAGATAATAAAAATATCAGATGTTAAAGGTTAGAGGTATTAACAAAGTCATTCAAATTCAGAATATTGCAAAATTTTAATGTTAGTATATTTTCTCATTGTTGAAGTCCATACAGTAACATGCAATTTCATTTGGTCTCTGTAGGATAGTTGTCTCGCATCTTTTCATTTCATAACAAATCAATGTGTAGGTTCTATAAAGTGGGCCTATGACGAAGGTAAGGGAAATTTTGACTGCCAACTGAGAGGAGGATATGTTGGGACAGAAATTAAGCCTTGCAACAGGCCACCTACTGACCCCTCAAAGACTTGTGGCAAGGGTTCTTTAACGTGCAGAGTGGCACTGTCCCTACACATAGGAACTATACTTTTTAAATTGCCATTCCAATTTTTGTTTGTTTTAAACATGATAACTTTAGAAGACTTTAAAGCGGGGGTCATAAAAAATATTACAATAATCCCACCTTTTACACCACCCTCAATGTTTATTATCTAGAACTCTGTTTACCAACAATTTTGTTTTCATATAGTTTTTGGGTATTTTCATTTTATATATTTTTTTTTTATATTTTTTTACAGAGCTCTAGATAATAAAAATATCGGATATTAAAGGTTAGAGGTATTATCAAAGTCATTCTAATTCAGAATATTGCAAAATTTTAATATTGGTTGATTTTCTTATTGTTGAAGTCCATACAGTAACATGCAACTTCATTTGGTCTCTGTAGGATAGTTGTCTTGCATCTTTTCATTTCATAACAAATCAATTTGTAGGTTCTATAAAGTGGGCCTATAATGAAGGTAAGGGAAATTTTGACTGCCAACTGAGAGGAGGATATGTTGGGACAGAAATTAAGCCTTGCAACAGGCCACCTACTGACCCCTCAAAGACTTGTGGCAAGGGTTCTTTAACGTGCAGAGTGGCACTGTCCCTACATAGGAACTATATACTTTTTAAATTGCCATTCCAATTTTTGTTTTTTTTAAAAATGATAACTTTAGAAGACTTTAAGGCGGGGGTCATAAAAAATATTACAATAATCCCACCTTTTACACCACCCTCAATGTTTATTATCTAGAACTCTGTTTACAAACAATTTTGTTTTCATATTATTTTTTGGTATTTTCATTTTTGATATTTTTTTTGTATATATTTTTTGTTATTTTCATTTTTTATATTTTTTTGTATATTTTTTTACAGAGCTCAATATAATAAAACTATCGGATGTTAAAGGTTAGAGGTATTAACAAAGTCATTCTAATTCAGAATCTTGTAAAATTTTAATGTGGGATGATTTTCTCATTGTTGAAGTCCATACAGTAACCTATTTTACATCAACATCATTTGGTCTCTGTAGGATAGTAATGTCTCGCATCTCTTCATTTCATAACAAATCAATTTGTAGGTTCTATAAAGTGGGCCTATGATGAAGGTAAGGGAAATTTTGACTACCAACTGAGAGGAGGATATGTTGGACAGAAATTAAGCCTTGCAACAGGCCACCTACTGACCCCTCAAAGACTTGTGGCAAGGGTTCTTTAACGTGCAGAGTGGCACTGTCCCTACACATAGGAACTATATACTTTTTAAATTGCCATTCCAATTTTTGTTTGTTTTAAAAATGAAAACTTTAGAAGACTTTAAGGCGGGGGTCATAAAAAATATTACAATAATCCCACCTTTTACACCACCCTCAATGTTTATTATCTAGAACTCTGTTTACAAACAGTTTTGTTATCATATTATTTTTTGGTATTTTCATTTTTTATAATTTTTTTTGTATATTTTTTTACAGAGCTCTAGATAATAAAACTATCGGATGTTAAAGGTTAGAGGTATTAACAAAGTCATTCTAATTCAGAATATTGCAAAATTTTAATGTTGGTTGATTTTCTCATTGTTGAAGTCCATACAGTAACCTATTTTACATCAACATCATTTGGTCTCTGTAGGATAGTAATGTCTCACATCTCTTCATTTCATAACAAATCAATTTGTAGGTTCTATAAAGTGGGCCTATGATGAAGGTAGGGGAAATTTTGACTGCCAACAGAGAGGAGGATATGTTGGACAGAAATTAAGCCTTGCAACAGGCCACCTACTGACCAGGCCTCAAAGACTTGTGGCAAGGGTTCTTTAACGTGCAGAGTGGCACTGTCCCTACACATAGAAACTATATACTTTTTAAATTGCCATTCCAATTTTTGTTTGTTTTAAAAATGATAACTTTAGAAGACTTTAAGGCGGGGGTCATAAAAAATATTACAATAATCCCACCTTTTACACCACCCTCAATGTTAATTATCTAGAACTCTGTTTACAAACAATTTTGTTTTCATATATTATTTTTTGGTATTTTCTTTTTTTATATTTTTTTTTATATTTTTTTTTACAGAGCTCTAGATAATAAAAATATCGGATGTTAAAGGTTAGAGGTATTAACAAAGTCATTCTTATTCAGAATATTGCAAAATTTTAATGTTAGTTGATTTTCTCATTGTTGAAGTCCATACAGTAACATGCAACTTCATTTGGTCTCTGTAGGATAGTTGTCTCGCATCTCTTCATTTCATAACAAATCAATTTGTAGGTTCTATAAAGTGGGCCTATGATGAAGGTAAGGGAAATTTTGACTGCTAACTGAGAGGAGGATATGTTGGACAGAAATTAAGCCTTGCAACAGGCCACCTACTGACCCCTCAAAGACTTGTGGCAAGGGTTCTTTAACGTGCAGAGTGGCACTGTCCCTACATAGGAACTATATACTTTTTAAATTGCCATTCCAATTTTTGTTTGTTTTGAAAATAATAACTTTAGAAGACTTTAAGGCGGGGGTCATAAAAATTATTACAATAATCCCACCTTTTACACCACCCTCAATGTTTATTATCTAGAACTCTGTTTACAAACGATTTTGTTTTCATATATTATTTTTTGGTATTTTCTTTTTTTATATTTTTTTTGATATTTTTTTTTACAGAGCTCTAGATAATAAAAATATCAGATGTTAGAGGTTAGAGGTATTAACAAAGTCATTCTAATTCAGAATATTGCAAAATTTTAATGTTGGATGATTTTCTCATTGTTGAAGTCCATACAGTAACCTATTTTACATCAACATCATTTGGTCTCTGTAGGATAGTTGTCTCGCATCTCTTCATTTCATAACAAATCAATTTGTAGGTTCTATAAAGTGAACCTATGATGAAGGTAAGGGAAATTTTGACCGCCAACTGAGAGGAGGATATGTTGGACAGAAATTAAGCCTTGCCACAGGCCACCTACTGACCAGGCCTCAAAGACTTGTGGCAAGGGTTCTTTAACGTGCAGAGTGGCACTGTCCCTACACATAGAAACTATATACTTTTTAAATTGCCATTCCAATTTTTGTTTGTTTTAAAAATGACAACTTTGTAGAAGACTTTAAGGCGGGGGTCATAAAAAATATTACAATAATCCCACCTTTTACACCACCCTCAATGTTTATTATCTAGAACTCTGTTTACAAACGATTTTGTTTTCATATATTATTTTTTGGTATTTTCATTTTTTATATTTTTTTTGATATTTTTTTTTACAGAGCTCTAGATAATAAAAATATCAGATGTTAAAGGTTAGAGGTATTAACAAAGTCATTCTAATTCAGAATATTTCAAAATTTTAATGTTAGTTGATTTTATGCAACTTCATTTGGTCTCTGTAGGATAGTTGTCTCGCATCTCTTCATTTCATAACAAATCAATTTGTAGGTTCTATAAAGTGGGCCTATGATGAAGGTAAGGGAAATTTTGACCGCCAACTGAGAGGAGGATATGTTGGACAGAAATTAAGCCTTGCAACAGGCCACCTACTGACCAGGCCTCAAAGACTTGTGGCAAGGGTTCTTTAACGTGCAGAGTGGCACTGTCCCTACACATAGGAACTATATACTTTTTAAATTGCCATTCCAATTTTTGTTTGTTTTAAAAATGATAACTTTAGAAGACTTTAAGGCGGGGGTCATAAAAAATATTACAATAATCCCACCTTTTACACCACCCTCAATGTTTATTATCTAGAACTCTGTTTACAAACGATTTTGTTTTCATATATTATTTTTTGGTATTTTCATTTTTTATATTTTTTTGTATATTTTTTTACAGAGCTCTAGATAATAAAAATATCAGATGTTAAAGGTTAGAGGTATTAACAAAGTCATTCTTATTCAGAATATTGCAAAATTTTAATGTTGGATGATTTTCTCATTGTTGAAGTCCATACAGTAACCTATTTTACATCAACATCATTTGGTCTCTGTAGGATAGTTGTCTCACATCTCTTCATTTCATAACAAATCAATTTGTAGGTTCTATAAAGTGGGCCTATGATGAAGGTAAGGGAAATTTTGACTGCCAACTGAGAGGAGGATATGTTGGACAGAAATTAAGCCTTGCAACAGGCCACCTACTGACCCCTCAAAGACTTGTGGCAAGGGTTCTTTAACGTGCAGAGTGGCACTGTCCCTACACATAGGAACTATATACTTTTTAAATTGCCATTCCAATTTTTGTTTGTTTTAAAAATGATAACTTTAGAAGACTTCAAGGCGGGGGTCATAAAAAATATTACAATAATCCCACCTTTTACACCACCCTCAATGTTTAATATCTAGAACTCTGTTTACAAACAGTTTTGTTATCATATTATTTTTTGGTATTTTCATTTTTTATATTTTTTTTTGTATATTTTTTTACAGAGCTTTAGATAATAAAACTATTGGATGTTAAAGGTTAGAGGTATTAACAAATCATTCTAATTCAGAATATTGCAAAATTTTAATGTTGGATGATTTTCTCATTGTTGAAGTCCATACAGTAACCTATTTTACATCAACATCATTTGGTCTCTGTATGTAGGATAGTAATGTCTCACATCTCTTCATTTCATAACAAATCAATTTGTAGGTTCAATAAAGTGGGCCTATGATGAAGGTAAAGGAAATTTTGACTGCCAACTGAGAAGAGGATATGTTGGACAGAAATTAAGCCTTGCAACAGGCCACCTACTGACCCCTCAAAGACTTGTGGCAAGGTTCTTTAACGTGCAGAGTGGCACTGTCCCTACACATAGAAACTATATACTTTTTAAATTGCCATTCCAATTTTTGTTTGTTTTAAAAATGATAACTTTAGAAGACTTTAAGGCGGGGGTCATAAAAAATATTACAATAATCCCACCTTTTACACCACCCTCAATGTTTATTATCTAGAACTCTGTTTACAAACAATTTTGTTTTCATATTATTTTTTGGTATTTTCATTTTTATATTTTTTTTGTATATATTTTTTTGTATTTTCATTTTTTATATTTTTTTTTATATTTTTTTACAGAGCTCTAGATAATAACAATATCGGATGATAAAGGTAAGAGGTATTAACAAAGTCATTCTAATTCAGAATATTGCAAAATTTTAATGTTGGTTGATTTTCTCATTATTGAAGTCCATACAGTAACCTATTTTACATCAACATCATTTGGTCTCTGTATGTAGGATAGTAATGCCTCCCATCTCTTCATTTCATAACAAATCAATTTGTAGGTTCTATAAAGTGGGCCGATGATGAAGGTAAGGGAAATTTTGACTGCCAACTGAGAGGAGGATATGTTGGACAGAAATTAAGCCTTGCAACAGGCAACCTACTGACCCCTCAAAGACTTGTGGCAAGGGTTTTTTAATGTGCAGAGTGGCACCGTCCCTACACATAGAAACTATACTTCTTAAATTGCCATTCCAATTTTTGTTTGTTTTAAACATGATAACTTAAGAAGATTTTAATTGATTGTTTTTGATGGTTGGTTGCTTAACGTCCAGTGGCAAATATTTCATACATATTCAGGACGAGAACAAGTTAACAATAAATACAATAGGTAGGTTCTGTAATAGGGGCTTCCTGGATTAAGGTCGGAGAAATTTAGACTCAACGGACGCCCCACTTTAGCAAGGGTTTTACTGCCGGTCGGAGGAAGACCAATGGTGACCATACTTCTATTCCCAAGTCACCCTTGGGGGTTAGAAGACTAAGGCGGGGGTCATAAAAAATGTTACAATAATCCCACCTTTTACACCACCCTCAATGTTTATTATCTAGAACTCTGTTTACAAACAATTTTGCTTTCATATTATTTTTTGGTATTTTCTTTTTTTATATTTTTTTACAGAGCTCTAGATAATAAAAATATCAGACGTTAAAGGTTAGAGGCAAATGCATTCTAATTCAGAATATTGCAAAATTTTAATGTTAGTGGATTTTCTCATTGTTGAAGTTCATACAGTAAAGTGCAACTTCATTTGGTCTCTGTAGGATAGTTGTCTCGCATCTCTTCATTTCATAACAAATCAATTTGTAGGTTCTATAAAGTGGGCCTATGATGAAGGTAAGGGAAATTTTGACCGCCAACTGAGAGGAGGATATGTTGGACAGAAATTAAGCCTTGCAACAGGCCACCTACTGACCAGGCCTCAAAGACTTGTGGCAAGGGTTCTTTAACGTGCAGAGTGGCACTGTCCCTACACATAGGAACTATATACTTTTTAAATTGCCATTCCAATTTTTGTTTGTTTTAAAAATGATAACTTTAGAAGACTTTAAGGTGGGGGTCATAAAAAATATTACAATAATCCCACCTTTTACACCACCCTCAATGTTTATTATCTAGAACTCTGTTTACAAACAGTTTTGTCATCATATTATTTTTTGGTATTTTCATTTTTTATATTTTTTTTTGTATATTTTTTTACAGAGCTCTAGATAATAAAACTATCGGATGTTAAAGGTTAGAGGTATTAACAAAGTCATTCTAATTCAGAATATTGCAAAATTTTAATGTTGGATGATTTTCTCATTGTTGAAGTCCATACAGTAACCTATTTTACATCAACATCATTTGGTCTCTGTAGGATAGTTGTCTCACATCTCTTCATTTCATAACAAATCAATTTGTAGGTTCTATAAAGTGGGCCTATGATGAAGGTAAGGGAAATTTTCACCGCCAACTGAGAGGAGGATATGTTGGACAGAAATTAAGCCTTGCAACAGGCCACCTACTGACCAGGCCTCAGACTTGTGGCAAGGGTTCTTTAACGTGCAGAGTGGCACTGTCCCTACACATAGAAACTATATACTTTTTAAATTGCCATTCCAATTTTGGTTTGTTTTAAAAATGATAACTTTAGAAGACTTTAAGGCGGGGGTCATAAAAAATATTACAATAATCCCACCTTTTACACCACCCTCAATGTTTATTATCTAGAACTCTGTTTACAAACGATTTTGTTTTCATATATTATTTTTTGGTATTTTCATTTTTTATATTTTTTTGTATATTTTTTTACAGAGCTCTAGATAATAAAAATATCAGATGTTAAAGGTTAGAGGTATTAACAAAGTCATTCTTATTCAGAATATTGCAAAATTTTAATGTTGGATGATTTTCTCATTGTTGAAGTCCATACAGTAACCTATTTTACATCAACATCATTTGGTCTCTGTAGGATAGTTGTCTCACATCTCTTCATTTCATAACAAATCAATTTGTAGGTTCTATAAAGTGGGCCTATGATGAAGGTAAGGGAAATTTTGACTGCCAACTGAGAGGAGGATATGTTGGACAGAAATTAAGCCTTGCAACAGGCCACCTACTGACCCCTCAAAGACTTGTGGCAAGGGTTCTTTAACGTGCAGAGTGGCACTGTCCCTACACATAGGAACTATATACTTTTTAAATTGCCATTCCAATTTTTGTTTGTTTTAAAAATGATAACTTTAGAAGACTTCAAGGCGGGGGTCATAAAAAATATTACAATAATCCCACCTTTTACACCACCCTCAATGTTTAATATCTAGAACTCTGTTTACAAACAGTTTTGTTATCATATTATTTTTTGGTATTTTCATTTTTTATATTTTTTTTTGTATATTTTTTTACAGAGCTTTAGATAATAAAACTATTGGATGTTAAAGGTTAGAGGTATTAACAAATCATTCTAATTCAGAATATTGCAAAATTTTAATGTTGGATGATTTTCTCATTGTTGAAGTCCATACAGTAACCTATTTTACATCAACATCATTTGGTCTCTGTATGTAGGATAGTAATGTCTCACATCTCTTCATTTCATAACAAATCAATTTGTAGGTTCAATAAAGTGGGCCTATGATGAAGGTAAAGGAAATTTTGACTGCCAACTGAGAAGAGGATATGTTGGACAGAAATTAAGCCTTGCAACAGGCCACCTACTGACCCCTCAAAGACTTGTGGCAAGGTTCTTTAACGTGCAGAGTGGCACTGTCCCTACACATAGAAACTATATACTTTTTAAATTGCCATTCCAATTTTTGTTTGTTTTAAAAATGATAACTTTAGAAGACTTTAAGGCGGGGGTCATAAAAAATATTACAATAATCCCACCTTTTACACCACCCTCAATGTTTATTATCTAGAACTCTGTTTACAAACAATTTTGTTTTCATATTATTTTTTGGTATTTTCATTTTTTATATTTTTTTTGTATATATTTTTTTGTATTTTCATTTTTTATATTTTTTTTTATATTTTTTTACAGAGCTCTAGATAATAACAATATCGGATGATAAAGGTAAGAGGTATTAACAAAGTCATTCTAATTCAGAATATTGCAAAATTTTAATGTTGGTTGATTTTCTCATTATTGAAGTCCATACAGTAACCTATTTTACATCAACATCATTTGGTCTCTGTATGTAGGATAGTAATGCCTCCCATCTCTTCATTTCATAACAAATCAATTTGTAGGTTCTATAAAGTGGGCCGATGATGAAGGTAAGGGAAATTTTGACTGCCAACTGAGAGGAGGATATGTTGGACAGAAATTAAGCCTTGCAACAGGCAACCTACTGACCCCTCAAAGACTTGTGGCAAGGGTTTTTTAATGTGCAGAGTGGCACCGTCCCTACACATAGAAACTATACTTTTTAAATTGCCATTCCAATTTTTGTTTGTTTTAAACATGATAACTTTAGAAGATTTTAATTGATTGTTTTTGATGGTTGGTTGCTTAACGTCCAGTGGCAAATATTTCATACATATTCAGGACGAGAACAAGTTAACAATAAATACAATAGGTAGGTTCTGTAATAGGGGCTTCCTGGATTAAGGTCGGAGAAATTTAGACTCAACGGACGCCCCACTTTAGCAAGGGTTTTACTGCCGGTCGGAGGAAGACCAATGGTGACCATACTTCTATTCCCCAGTCACCCTTGGGGGTTAGAAGACTAAGGCGGGGGTCATAAAAAATGTTACAATAATCCCACCTTTTACACCACCCTCAATGTTTATTATCTAGAACTCTGTTTACAAACAATTTTGCTTTCATATTATTTTTTGGTATTTTCTTTTTTTATATTTTTTTACAGAGCTCTAGATAATAAAAATATCAGACGTTAAAGGTTAGAGGCAAATGCATTCTAATTCAGAATATTGCAAAATTTTAATGTTAGTGGATTTTCTCATTGTTGAAGTTCATACAGTAAAGTGCAACTTCATTTGGTCTCTGTAGGATAGTTGTCTCGCATCTCTTCATTTCATAACAAATCAATTTGTAGGTTCTATAAAGTGGGCCGATGATGAAGGTAGGGGAAATTTTGACTGCCAACTGAGAGGAGGATATGTTGGGCAGAAATTAAGCCTTGCAACAGGCCACCTACTGACCCCTCAAAGACTTGTGGCAAGGGTTCTTTCACATGCAGAGTGGCACTGTCCCTACACATAGACACTATACCGTAGTGCATAGTTCTGAATCTCGGTCAAGGTTTTACTATATTTTTGGTTTAAAGTTCTTAAATGATTGTATTGGGTTCTTGACTTTCCAATACTTTAGCCTCAAATATCACTGTCTGGAGAGATTTTGTTGAAATAATTTCAAAATGATTTCTCAAACGTTTTCTGATCATTTTTGGTTAAAAAATATTCATATTTCCTTAAATAACAGTTTTGTTGACTGAGTGCTCACATCAATAGATATAAACAATTCACCAAAGTTTCATGCAATTTGATGAAAGTGTTTTTGAATTAATGTCGACGATGGACGGACAGACAGACAGACGGATGGACAGACGGTCAATGGTATACCATAATATGTCCCGTAAACGGGCGTATAAAAAGTCAAAAAGAAACAATGAACAATGCCTTGATTCCCCAAAAAAGTAAAACATTTGTATAAATTTTAGACTAGACACCATCAAATTAAATCTTGAGAATATGGCCTCTGAAGTCTGCACACATAAATATAAAAAAAAAAGTCTGCAGATGATCATATCACATGATGTACACATAAATACAGACAAAAACATGCAATGGTATAGTACCATTTGAAATAGTCGGTTTGATTTCATGTCAAGGATTAAAAATTTCTTAAGGGGTTTTGTGGAACCTTAAATGTATTGCCTGCTATAGCTGCTGTCAGTGTAATATAGAATTTAAGAATAGAGAGAGTCTATTTATCAGTAAAATACAGAAATTAAAAAAAGATCAAACTTTTGTCTTAGATGCTGTTTAATTTCTAAATAATTTACAAACTTATATTTGTATCTATCATACACCATTATAAGGATTTAATATTTGAATAATTTTTATTTCTAGAATTTTGGTTAATCATGAATAAATCATACAAAGAAATGAACATGCACAACAAGGTCATGGTTTTCTCCAACTGTTAATGATGTCTTTACACTAAATCCATTGGTTTGGATGTGTACTGATTGATATTTTAGTCTTAGATGCATAATTTTTTTATTAGTTTTTATTGTCTTTGAACTAACTGTCAGCAACTACTTAAAGCTTGTACTCTTTATCAGATCTGTACACGGTAGTGTTTTTTTGTTGTTGCGAGAATGTATAAGTACCCTTCTCCTTCCGGTCAGTTTTGTGTATTAATAATGTTAGATGTATTTCTGCTTTGTATCAATCTGATGAGTTATTAGCCATCTTCCAACTGATTTTAATAGTTTGTTATGTTGTACTGTTACACAACTGTCTCAGGTAAGGGGAGGGAGGGTACTGGAACCTTCAAACTAGTTTAACCCCAAACCCCTTGTTCTGTATATGGCTGTCCCACGTCAGGAGCCTGCAAATCAGCAATTGTCATTTGTTCATGCTATATATCATGTTTGTTTTTCGTTCATTATTTTGCTTTCTCGTTTTTATTGTTTTATAGCTGTAATTTCAGGGCCTTTCATAGCCGACTATGCTCATTGTTGAAAAATTTCACATTTACAAAGGTAAAAGTGACGACAACCAAATTTAAACTTGATCTACGTTTTGTAGTAAATTAATCGTTGTGTACACATTTTATAACATAAGGTCCAGTCAAGCTAAAGTTAGGAGAATGGAGACCAATTTTGGAATGAATGTACAGCGGGTGAATAAATAATATTTAAAATAATCCCACTTTTTTGTGGAGAGTTGTCTCATTGGCAATCATACCACATGTTCTTGTAATTATGTTTACAACTTTTATCATTAAGAACCCTTGGTTCAGTGATATCCTTTAAAAACAGCAAACATTTTATTAAGGAAAAATGTCCTACAGCACATGCAAAGAGTGGAATAATCAACATGGTGATACAAAATCCATATATACAAGTATACCTGGATCCATGCTACATAGTAATAGAAGGTTCACAATCAGAAAAAAGAAGTCTCCTTTGTTGTAATTTTTTATAGTTCCCAACTGACCTCACCAACAACCCCCAGGCTAAGGTCAAGATATGAGCCAGTTCCTGTATCGGATGCTCCTTATAACTAGCTATGTAGGAATTACAGAAGGATCGAATCAATAATGTCAACAAACTTTGAAAAAAGAAATGCCGAAAATTGGGAAATGTGAAGTAAAAGTACAATGCAAGTTCCTCTGTCTTCCCCAAGAAGCCCCTGAATCAAGTCTACTTCATATGTAAAAATGAAAGATAGGGTGGATATCTAAAACCAGCAGCATACTTGTCCCAATGGCAATCATACCACATCTGATGTTTATATGTAAATGTGATTTGAATATGAAATATTAGGTCATTGCTCCATTGTTAAAGACCCTGTATCAATCTCTGTCATTTGGTCTTGATGAAGAGTTTGTCTATTGGCAATCATATCACATCTCCATATTTGTATTCTAGAACAGCATTTTATTGTTGAAGACAGTATGTTAACCTAATTATTATGTGTCTTGGCCATATATTGTTGTTGGTAAGTAAATGCTGTCTCATTGACGTTAATTATCCCACATATCCTTTTATACATATGCTGAGTCATTTTTAGAACAATTACTAGATAAGATAAAGACTCCTTAAGAAAAAGATCTAGTTTTTCTTCAAAGCCAACTTGTCTTTGCTCTTTCTCTTTAGGTTTTTTTGGGTAGTGAAGGAATATAGCAATACCAGTTTTGAAGTCTCTACCTTTGACTCAGCTGGGGCGGGGAATAAAGGATTATTGAGACTGCTACAGGGGGATGACCAAGACTAGAAGAGGAGCATACTGTGAACCAACTCATTTTTTGGACAATTTATTTAATAGACTTCAAAGAAAAGAAGTAATTAAGCCGAATATAAATCACGAGAATTTCAAAATAGAATTGTCTGTTGTATGAAATAACCCGGAAAATTAGATAATCACGAAACATATCCATGTGAAATATGCTAAAAATGGCTATATGGTCGTTAAGTCTTTTCGTTTGAATTGTTTTACATTTGTGATTTCTGGGCCTTTTATAGCTGACTATGTGGTTTAGGCTTAGCTCATCGTTGAGGGCCGTACAGTTATCTATAGCTGTTAATTTCTGTGTCATTTAGTCTCTTGTGGAGAGTTGTCTCATTGGCAATCATACCACATCTTCTTTTTTTATATATACATGCAAGCAGAAAAAATCCTATGTGAAATATGAGAGAAATGGCGATACGCGAAAAAAAATATCAGCTGCAAATTATGATAGAAATGTCTATATGGTCGTTACTTTTTTCGTTTGAATTGTTTTACATATGTGATTTCTGGGCATTTTAAAACTGACTATGTGGTTGGGGCTTTGCTCATCGTTTAGGGCCGTACATTTACCTACAATGTATAGCTGTTAATAACTGTGTCATTTAGTCTCTTGTGGAGAGTTGTCTCATTGGCAATCATACCACATCTTCTTTTTTATACATACATGTAAGCAGAAAAAATCCTATGTGAAATATGAGAGAAATGGCGATACGCGAAAAAAAAATATCAGCTGCAAATTATGATAGAAATGTCTATATGGTCGTCAGTTTTTTCGTTTGAATTGTTTTACATATGTGATTTCTGGGCATTTTAAAACTGACTATGTGGTTGGGGCTTTGCTCATCGTTGAGGGCCGTACAGTTACCTTCAATGTATAGCTGTTAATTTCTGTGTCATTTAGTCTCTTGTGGAGAGTTGTCTCATTGGCAATCATACCACATCTTCTTTTTTATATATACGTGGAAAAATTCCTATGTGAAATATGATAGAAATGGCGATACGCGAAAAAAAATATCAGCTGCGAAATATGCAAGAAATGTTGCTACGCAAAAAAAATATCAGCTGCGAAATATAATAGGCGCAACACAAATAAAATGTCCATAAAATAAGTTGGTTTACAGTAGTTGGTTCCTATAGAAATGTCAACTGTGTTACAAAAATAGGACATTAAATTGGTGATAAACTGAGTTTAAAAGAAAGGTGGTCATTAACTGTTCCCCATTAAATTGAAATTTGAATATTATAATAATGGTCAATCGAAATGCAAAGAACAAATGAATTTTACATTTCATCACCCCAAAGAGATTCCTTATTTAATTGTCCCATTCTGAATTATAGGTATTAGGTACATATTTATCAGTAGTTAAATCATGTTAGACTAAATTTATGGCACTTTTTCTTTATTTGAAAGTTATTTACTAATGACAGTTAGTCTCAGCCCAATAAATTCTATTGTGCACACATACTTAATAAATACAAAGCAACCATATCCCTCCATCTTGTTAGTACCCCAAACCCTTATTAGAATGTCATACATCAATCTCTCTCTCCCTTGCGCCATCTATCATGCCACTAATACCTAACAACCTATTTAGGAAGTATCATGTTAGTAAACCCCCCAGGTTAGTGTTGATACTTCAAAAAATAAAAAGATTTTTAAATGAAGTACTAGACATGGAGGGACAAGTATAATTTTTTAAAGAAATTAAAATATTTCATAAACTTAAATGAATGGATGTTACAATTTTCAGTGTAGCCAACTGGTTAGTGGAATTACCTTCATTAAGATTGCCAGAGACCAAAACTTTGTGAAGCCAAAAACAAAGTTTTTCATGATCATTAAAAAGCCAACCAAAAGAGATAATATTTCATTATCTCATAATTAATAAACTGGAAATTTAGAGGAATAAAAATAATAATTTAAATTTCTAAAAGCATTACTGCAGACCTTAATACTGATTCAGAATGAGAAAAAGGTTATAATTAATTAAATAATGAAATAATGTTGAAGAAGGAGAATAATTTTTTCATCTGAAAAAAAGGAAAAAATGGCATAAGAAAACTATTGAAAAATTTAAAAAAAGAACTAAAACAAACTAGAGGCTCTCAAGAGCCTGTGTTGCTCACCTGATTCTACTTTGGTTTTGGAAATCATAACGGATACCCTAATGATGATTGAGTCCAAATTTGGTTTAATATTAGCCCCGTAATTAAATAAAAAATCTTGGGGTATGACTATTTCCCATAGGGTCTTATGTTAAACTAAGTCCCCTGCTGGCAGCCATCTTGAAGGATGGTTCGGCTACAAAGTAACAACACTTAGTCAGCACCTCATTAGGAACATTCATGCCATGTTTGGTTTCATTCTATTCAGTGGTTCTCTAGAAGAAAACATTTGTATGTATTTCCCATAGGGTCCTATGTTAAACTTACTCCCCCTGCTGGCAGCCATCTTAGGAGACAAATCAGCTACAAAGTAACAACACTTGGTCAGCACCTCTAAAGAAACATTCATACCATGTTTGGTTTCAATCCATTAAGAAATTTTCTACAAGAAGACATTTGTATATATTTCCCATAGGGTCCTTTGTTAAACTAAGTTCCCCTGCTGGCATCCATCTTGGTTGATGGATTTTCTACAAAGTAACAACAGATGGATGGATTTTCTACAAAGTAACAACACTTGGTCAGCACCTCATAAGGAACATTCATGCCATGTTTGGTTTAATTCCATTCAGTGGTTCTTCAAAAGAAGACTTTTGTATGTATTTCATATAGCTAGGGTCCTTTGTTAAACTAAGTTCCCCTCTGGTAGCCATCTTGGATGATTGCATGGCTACAAAGTAACAACACTTGGTCAGCACCTCATAAGGAAAATTCATGCCATGTTTGGTTTCATTCCATTCAGTGGTTCTCTAAAAGAAGACATTTGTATGTATTGTCAATAGGGTCCTATGTTAAACTAAGTCCCTCTCTGGTGGCCATCTCGGATGATGGATAGTCTTCAAAGTATCAACAATTGGTCAGCAGATCATAAGGAACATTTATTCCATGTTTGGTTTCATTCCATTCAGTGGTTCTTTAAAAGAAGACATTTGCATGTATTTCCCATAGGGTCCTATGTTAAACTAAGTCCCTCTCTGGCGGCCATCTTGGATGACTGATCGGCTTCAAAGTAACAACACTTGGTCAACACCTCATAAGGAGCATTCATGCCATGGTTTGGTTTAATTCCATTTAGTGGTTCTCTAAAAGAAGACATTTGTATATATTGTCCATTATGGTCCAATGTTAAACGAAGTCCCCCACTGGCGGCCATCTTGGATGATGGATCAGCTACAAAGTAACAATACTTGGTCAGCACCTCATAAGGAACAATCATGCCATGTTTGGTTTCATTCCATTTACTAGTTCTCTAGAAGTTCAAAATGTAAAAAGTTAACGACGACGACGGACAACGACAACGGACGCCAAGTGATGAGAAAAGCTCACTTGGCCCTTTGGGCCAGGTGAGCTAAAAATGTTGACATTGCCATGGGAACCCTGCCCCTTTTAAGACAGACTTCATACAGGCACTTATCAAGGATAAAAAGAATCAAGCATTATCCCTTAATTTCACATTCCACAATGTAGGCGATCTCTTTTAATATAGATAACTCAAAAGTTGATCACACCTAACCCACTGAACCAGAAGAAGGATACAACAGATACGGCATACTGTGCATCAACACTTGCCGTCGCCCAGAAACTATCAGCAAGGACCAGCTGAGAGCTAATAATTTGACAAAAGAGACTTCAACTTCCTGATTGTGAACTTTTCTTATGTAGCAGCAATCCAATTATACCTGAAAATGAATTTCATGTCTCCTTGCTGATTATTCCACTCTTTGCATCTCATTCATGTAGGTATTTCCTTTAAAAAAAAACAGTTGCTGCTTATGCTTAAAAAGAAACTTCTAAAACAATGGTTGTTAATGATCAAGTTGATTGAAAGTCACTCTTTACATGATTTATTGATTACAAAAATTCTAGATGTGAAAAAAATAATCATATACAGTCAAACCTGCCTTAAGGTCACCCACCACCTTGTTTAAGAGGTCAACTATCTCTTAACGGTCTCTTGGTGACCCTCTCAAGCATTTTCTCTATATATTTACTCATTTCAGTGGTCACCTGTCCGATGCGGTCACCTTATTTTATGCACGAAATCATCATTTTACTGTTTTTAATTACAATTATAATCATGATGAAAAATATATGTGTTCAGTATCAAAATCAAAATGAGAATCAGAACCTGTTTCACGGTTTGCAACATAGATCTTGCAATAGGAAGTAAATTTGTGAATCCTTGTATTCCACTCCCTTCAATAAATACCATTGAAAAGCATTTCACAGACTTGTTTATCCAATTATATCAACACCTTTAAATCAATAAATGTCTTCTTCAAATTGACAGTGCAAGAGTCCACCCTTTAATATTTGTCTGCTCACACAAACGAACGAACGAACGATAAATCTTCCAACTAAAACACTAAACCAAGTTGCATTCCCAGCCACAGAAACTCTTTTTAAAGGTCACTTTTCTCGAGCCGTCCCTTTTGATACTTCCCATGAGTGACATGCTTAAAACAGGTTTGACTGTACAAGATCCTTAATACTTATATCTTTAATTTCAAATTTTCAGCAGTATCATATTTTTTCTCCATCTTTTTTTTTTCTTTCATTTTTCTTAAATATATACTGCCGTCCCAACAAAAGATGTGTAATATAAAGACTAGATTCATGGGAAATTCTAAAATTTCATATTTTATCAAAATTTTTACCTTAATTGCAATGGGCCTGTTTAAAAAGAATCTACTGAATAAATAAATTATAATTAGGGTTTAAAAGATAAAGTTGAAAGTCAATTCCTCCCATGATTCTAAACTAAAATTCTGTATGTGGTTAAACTGTAATGAGTCATCTGCAGACTTCCTTTCTGGAAGCATGTGTATTAAAAAATAAAGGAAATAGATCTTCAGCCTTATAAAACATATCATAAAGGTCTTATTTAACAAATCTCATTACCAATTTCTTTGAACTCAAATTTAGAGAAACTCAAACCTCTATATCACACAGGTTTTCAGCAGTATCATATTTTTTTCTTCAGTTCACATTTTTTTTTTTAATTTTTTAATTTTTCTTAAATATACTGCCGCGCCAACAAAAGATGTGTAATATAAAGGCTAGAGTTTTTTGGGGAAATTCTAATATTTTGATATTTCAGCATAATTTCACCTAAATTTTGGTGGCTACTTAAAAAGAAAAATAACTCAATAATTAGGGACTTTTTAACGGTAAAGTAGAAAGTTGATTCTTCACAGGATTCTGGATGTAGTTAAACTGCAATAAGTCATCTGCAGACTTCATTTCTGGGAACATGTATATTTAGAAAATAAAGGAAATGGATCATCGGCCCTTAAAAACTTCCTTTTTTTTTTAAATGTCTAATTTAACCAATCTCATTACCAATATCTTTAAGTCAAATTTAGAGAATCTCAAACCTCGCTACATCACAAAACTCTCAGCAGAACTGTCTTCTCAGTACAACATTAGATCTTCTATCTCAAAAGTTTCATCTACGGCTGTCCCCTCCATTATAGGTCCGCTCTATACCAAAAACATCATCTACAATATAAAAATAATTCAATTATTGAAAACTTTAGATTTGTAAACTTCTGATATAATTGTAATAGGTGCCATATCCAACTTTGGATAAGCATACGATTATCATATAAAGTAAACAATATGTTTAAGCCTATCCATGTTAATAATGACTACACATTTTATAAAAACTTAATTGATCAATTTAAACAGAGTTAAAAGTATATGTCAAGTTTGAAATGATCTCAACACTTACAGATATTTAAACTGTGCTATGATATGAAGAGCCTTCGATATACCAAAGTCAATAAGGGAAATAACACAGGTATTTTTTTTATTTTTAAGGTACGTTATGCTGGTTTCTGCAGTTGGGCCAAGTTTTGCTAAAATATTTGAGAAACTCATGTGCAATGCTCAGAACCAAAACTCGTAAAAAGTGTTCGAATTTGAGCTGTGAGTCACTTATTGTTCTAGAATTATGTCCCTTTATAACCTGGAAAATTGCACACTAATAGTGACATCAAATGCTCTCAAAAAGTATAATTTTGCTTAATCATAAACACGAAATATGTGAAAGTTTTGATTGATAAATACTCTTCATTAGCCACAGACAAGCATAAGTCAGTTTTAGACAAGCGTAATAAGAATAAATATGAAAATCAGAAGAAGTGGTATATTGCCAATGAAACCATTCTCCACTAGAGACCAAAAGACGTAGAAGTTAACAATAATAGCTATTGGTCACCAAATAGCCTTCAACATTATGACAAATGTAAAACAAAAAAATTCAGATGAGAAAACTTACAGCCTGATTTATATGTACAAATTTAACAATAGATGATAAAACAAATATGATATACAGCAAAAAACAACCACCCCTATATTACAGGCTCCTGACTTAGGACAAGCACATTAAAATGTAGTGGGGTTAAACATGTTTGCTGGCATCCAATCCTCCCACTTACTTAATTGGGACAGTGGTTTAACAGCATAACATTATTATATTAAGAACAAGCTATTAAAGTGGTTTAACAGCATAACAAGAACAAACTATAACTAGAGGCTCTTTGTCGCTCACCTTGGGTCTATATACATATTCAACAAAGGATACTCTCCAACATTGTAGATGAGAATAGAGTTAATGACAAAAATCTTGGGTTTTTTTTTTATCTTATATTGCTTATCATTGAAGTCTGTTTAATTTCTCTCTATCTAATTTAGCTTTTGCTCCAAACAAATAAGAGGGTAAAAAAAAATTTCCAAATTTAAGGGCAACAACTCCTGTAAAGATTTATAGTCTACTAATTATATCAGCAAAATTTGACTTGTTAGTAGGTCTTGTCTTGCTAATCGTTTTTGATTATTTAAGTTTCCATCTATCTATTATAATTTTTATCATATAATGCAAAATTCGTCATTTAAGGGCAATCACTCCAATAAGGAGTATTTGGACAACTTCCGCCATTCGTCATAATTGTAGATCTTGTCTTGCTGATCATTTTTTGTTTATATAAGTTTCTTTTTATCTATCATAAGTTATTAGATATGAAACAAAAATGCAAAAAAAATTGTACATATCGTCATGAAAGGGCATTAACTCTAATCAGAAGTCAAACGACTATTTCATACTACCCTTCTGATCATTTTTGCAGTTTAAAGTTTCTCTCTTGTCTATATAGTTTTCAATATAATAGGCAAATATGAAAAAATTCAAAAACAAGAGGCTCTCAAGAGCCTGAATCGCTCATCTGTAATTTTTTGCTTAAATCTTTCATCAATGATTATTTTTGCTTTTCAATATATATTAATGAATGGCTTAAAACTTCCATTGAAATGTTCTAAGTTATAATCTGTCATATTTTCTTCAAAATCAAAGAAATACATTTTCGCAGATGTTTCATTTTAGCCACAGTGGCAATGTTTCTTGACGTACAAGAAAATAAAATACAAAATTTATACTAGATACTCTGAAACTCATTCATCCCAAGTTTGGTTTCAAAGGAGATTTTTTAAAGTATGCAAACATTATCACTGAACTAGAATACATATTTGTTGGCCAGCTGAAGGATGCCTCCAGGTGAGGGAGTTTCTCACTGCATTGAAGACCTATTGGTGGCCTTCAGCTGTTGTCTGCTCTATGGTCGGGTTGTTGTCTCTGACACATTCCCCATTTCCATTCTCAATTTTAAACTCAAAAAATAAATAGTGAAAAATTTATTTTAAAGGGCAATAACTCCTTAAGGGGACAATTGACAATTTTGGTCATATGAACTTATTTATAGATCTTACTTTGCTGAATATTTTTTGCTGTTTACAGTTTATCTTTATCATTAATAATATTCAAGAAAATAACCAAAATCTGCAAAATTTCCTTAAAATTACCAATTAAATGGCAGCAATCCAACAATGGGTTGTTAGATTCATCTGAAAATTTCAGGGCTGACAGAGCTTGGCCTAATAAACATTTTTACCTCTCGTCAGATTAGCTCTAAATGCTTTGGTTTTTGAGATATAAGCCAAAAATTGCATGTTACCCCTACATTCTATTTTTAGCCATGGTGGCCATGTTTTTTTATGAAACAGAAAATAAAACAAACTTTCTTCTAGACATCCTTAGTATCATTCAGCTTAAGTTTGGTTGGAATTGGTTCAGTATTTTAAGAGGAGAAGATGTTTGAATAGTTTTCACCAGACGGACGACGACAGATGACGACGGACGCCAAGTGATGACAAAAGCTCACCGTTCTGAGCTAAAAACTGCAAAATATGTTACACTATTCATACTTACTCCATCAAGTATTTTATAGTTAGACTAAAATAGAAGTAACATAGAGACCTAAAGAGTAACTTTTTTGATTATTGGCCCAAAATTATAATATTCGATCATAGTCAAGAGTTTGTATATATCATACATTAACATACATCAAAAAAAAAGTATTTGCAAAAATGAATTTTTAAGAATTATTTTCTGAAGATTTATAGATTAGTCAAACGGATAATATTCATTCCATTTTGGTGTTTCATACAGACGAATATGTTTTGTATTAGCTTAAGACCCTTCAAACATTAATGTGATAGATATATTAAACATTGTTTTACACAAGGATATGCATGCATGGAACTGTTTTACTTTCAAAGTTGTATTATAGTGATATCTGTTAAGTACGGATTTCGACTCTCACTGTTTTTAATTTCTTTTACATGTGCTATTCAAACTTCCGGTTTAAACATACACAGGTTTCTAAATTGTTTATTGTGTGATTTTGACTTACTTTAACAATCGTGAAGTGTACTAGAATGAATCATTTACAAGCAGTTTCAACTTCTGTTTGATGATGGCAAACGGGTTTTTCCATGAAAATACTGCAAACGACCACACACAATTTGTGAAATTATATACCGCAGTTTCATTAAACATTTTCCAACAGTTACAAATAGTTTTTTTTACCTGAAATTTAGTGGGGAGAAGGGGGTGCGGACAATGTACCAGTGCAAACATGACTGCCAAATATAAACCTCCATAGAAAAGAGAAATGCTAATGCTTATATTAACTGTTGACACAGAGACATGTCTTGCCTTTTCAGCATAAAATTCAGAAAAAGACAATTTGATGGACAGCAAGATTGCTTATTAAATCAGTCACTAGACCAAGATCAAGTGGGCAGGGCCTGGAAATGGTCGACAAACACAGAGATGGACAGACGTTATGTAAATTTATAGAAAATATCGTTGTTTATTGTAACTTTGAATTATTTAGCAATTTTCAATGTTACGATTTTCTGCTTAAGTTACATATATAAATTGATAGGAACTGATAGAAATGCGACTTCATACAAAATATCATTGATCTATCACAAATAGATCCTATATCAAACTGACTTAAGCAGAACTTAACATTGAAAATTGCTAATTAATTCAAAGCCCCTAGGACCTAGGGACAGGGCCTCAAAATAGTCGTCAAACTGATATATGTACTGATAGTAAAGCGACTTCATACAAAATATCATTAATCTAGAACAGTTAGTTCCTTTCAAACTAACTTGAGCAGAAAACTTAACAATTGTTGACGCCAGAGCTGAAACTGTCATTGTCGCCAGAAAAACAATCCCTGTTTTACTTTCCATGACTTTCGTCACAAGAGAGGCTTTAATGCACATTTACAGATAAGACAAATCAACTGTGCAAAATTTGGTTTGGTTTGGTTTGTGCGTTTACAAAAAATTGTGGACAAAAAACACAGATGGACAAATTGAAAAATAAAGGGATCCCTTGTCCTATTGGAAGGCCCTAATAATAGTTTACACTTCTCTGTATTGCATGCTCAATTGAAGCTTGATACTGTCTAAATTTCAGAATTAAATTTGGTATTCCAAAGACTGATGAAAACGAGGACTCAGATGAACTGACATATTTAACCAACAAACCCTCCTTCCTTCCATTGGACGTGGAAATAAATTCATATTTAACTCTTTAATAATATACCATAATTGACTAAATAGAGAGATTGTTACTCATTTAAAGTATTATATACCCTAATTGGCAGGTTGTCCCTATTATTGACCAACCTGGAAGACTTTGCATTTAAAGTTAGGAGACAATGAGTGAATTAATTACAAAAGATGCTTACCATGAAACAACCTGCCATTTCCATCATCTTGTCTAGTGTTGCCTGCCAGCGTTTTGTCTTATTGTGGCTCATTACAAACACTGCACTGGAAGCCTGAAAACAATGATTCAAACAGTCAGTAAATATTGACACAAATAATGAAATTATTCTATTATTATACAATTGGAGACAATTCTTTAATTTCCCACACTCTGTAAAAGGTTGGGACCAAACCCCATATATATGGTGACAATATTTGTATAGTGATTTCCTTAACCTCCTACAGCTGATTAAAATTATCCCTCTGTAATGAGATATATTTGTTGAGCCTGTCTTTAAGCAGAAAATGGCAAAACAAGAGCATTTTCTACTTAATATGGCAATAACCTGCAACATTCGATGCACCAATTGATGTATACCTACTTTATTTAATATGCACATGTCTACTTTACAGTGCTAAAGTGACTGAAAATACAACTTATTTTTCACCACTTAGCACATACTTACTTCTCGTCCAATCAAATTGCTTATATTTGCCTTCTAATTTTCATAGTACATACTTTTCCTGTGTACTAAGTAACTACGCATGAATGACCACAAGGGTAAGATTTCATTGTGTCGTAATCAAGATATTTAAAACAAAAATTGCCACTGGCTATTTTGAAATAAAATGCTGTGTTCCAAATTAAATTAAATAGTTTGTAATTAGTTTTCACATTGATTTTTAAATATCCTGCTATTAAAATCTTTGGATCTAAAAAATGTTTTTGACAATTGCAAATTTTATCATTTAAATAAAGGGTAATACATATGGTTCTTTATACCTTGATTACAACGATATCTTAAAATTATGATAATGTATCATCCATGCAATTACTTTGTACACAGAAAAGTGTGTACTATGAAACCTTGTGAAGGAAAATTAAAGCAACTTGGTGATAATTTTTTAAACTTTCTTAAGGAAAGTGATCTATTTCGTCATGAATTGATTGATTTTTTTATTATTGGTTGCTTAATGTCCAGTGGCAAATATTTCATGCATGTTCAGGACGATGTCATGAATTGAAAAACTGTGATGATGTCTGAAGATAATGTGCCACCTATATATATATATATATAAACATATTCTGATAAATCTTTTAGTTTTTACTTTGAACTAATAAAAAAAAAAACACACAAAACCTATAATCTCTGATCTATTTGTAGTTGCTTTTTAATGCCTATCTGCTAGACTATATCTTTGGGGACAAACTATCTAAATGTTTCAAATTTATTATAGCTTTAGTTTTACTGTGAAATTAAAAAATGTTTTCAAAACATGTAAAGCTTCCACTGCAATTTAATTATTGCCTGCTTTTGGTCAATTTATTTTGTCATCTTACCTTGTAAGAAGAACATGTATAGTAAAACACCGCTTTATATCAGTATACATACTTACACCAGCAGCTACCATCTTTTCATTCTGGAGTCAAGGGCCTTTTGAAATCACATATATTACAATGATACTAGTGAGTAGATTTACAAAATTCGTTAATGAGCTCCGTTTTACAAACACCTGTGATACAAGTAGTCAGCCAAAATAAACTATCAATAGACCAATTAAAAGATTACTCGAGTTGTAAATATGTGCTAAATTGGATAGTCTATGGAAAGGTATATACTATGAAATTAAGAGCTTGGGGCAAGCCCCTCGCTCTAAATTTCATAGTATATACCTTTCCATAGACTAACCTAGACATATCTGTTATGATCAGGTAAATTCTACTCAGTTATGCCTCAATGAACAAATTTCTATTGTTAGATTTAACATAAAATTCAATGGTCAACTTTATATTTCCCTATATTGTTGTTGGTCAGGTGTTCAGGTACAATAGATTGCAAGTTAATGTTTTCACTTTAGCTGAAAACTAGTGGTCCAAATTTGTAGTAACCTGCAAATTGACCGGTCAATAATTGATACCTTTTTATAGACTAACTGATACAGACAGAGATTGTAGCTAGAAAAGCACTTTAGCCATTTTCCTGCTTTAAATCAACTTTAAACAAATATAGGTGTAATACCACCATTGAATTGCATATCCCCTATTAGTCTTTGTTAAATTTGCACTTTTCAAAAAATTGTGCAGAACTTTAATATCTTTATTTCAAATAAAAAGATACTTGGCATGAGTAGAGTTTTATCCTGTCCAATACTATAGAAAAAATTTCAAATAACATTTCAATGCGTATAAGAAAATAACTATCACTCTGGAAGTTAAACAATCAAATTTTCACCTCTTTTTTTCCTGTGTACAAGCTTTAGTAACCATGTAACAGCCAGTTTCTAAAATATTCAATAGAAACACCAAATAAAAAAAATAATGGTGCTTTGAAACAGCCAAGATATATGTTTATGACTCAGACATTTTTTTTTTGCAATGAGATGTAGGATTAATTGACTTCAACTGTCAAATTAAAGGGATTATTTTTTTTTTCATATATGCAACCAGATGATGTACCATGATTTGATGGTTTTAAACCTTTATACCTCCAGCCCTCTAAAGAAGGATAATTTTATTCACTTATGCAAGTATTCATCACCATATAAGTTGTTTGGTCCCAACATGTGCAAGACAAAAAGAAGCTAAGTGTTTATTTCACTTAGTCCCTTAGGGAAGATAGATACTAGACGAACTGATGACTATATATATTATAATGCTTTTCATTGTGAAAATCAAATAATCCTGGAGTAACATTCTTTACTCACAAAAGATTAACTATGATCTAGTCTTTATATTTCCGCAGTGTCACATCACTCAAATGACACTACTGCATGACCAGATTTTTAAACAAAATTAATTCTAGGATTTCTAAATAAATATATTTGATTCTTTTCGTAAGCATAGATAATGTAATTTTAGATCATATATGTTTTCAACAATGTCGAACAAAGTAAACTTTTCAATTTTAAATCATTATTTAACTGTTAATCATCCAAAGTCTATAAAAGTTATGAATATTAACAGAAAAAAAACAGCTGGGCCATAAGCGCATGAAAGGGCTGTCGTCTTGTGTGTGAATTTTTATGCAATAATCATAAATAGTTTCTGACATACATTGTACGGCGCCACATGCGAAAACTCCCCTCTTTTTTACAAAAAACTCAATATCTCTAAAACAAAATTTTAAATCAAAACCAAAAAGTATACAGATCTTTAGATTAATATAACTAAGAAGTGTGTAAAGTTTTAAGCAATAATCATAAATTGTTTTTGAGATATGGCGCGACATGTGAAAACCCCCTTTTTTTTTTTTACAAAAAACTCAATATCTCTTAAATAAAATTTTGAATCAAAACCAAAAAGTATACAGATCTTTAGATTAATATAACTAAGAAGTGTGTAAAATTTTAAGCAATAGTCAGAAATCGTTTTTAAGATACGGCGCGACCTGTGAAAACCCCCCTTCCTTTTACAAAAAAATCAATATCTCTAAAATTAAAATTTTGAATCAAAACCAAAAAAGTATACAGATCATTAGATTAATATAACTAAGAAGTGTGTAAAATTTTAAGGAATAAAGATAAACCGCTTTTGAGATACGGCGCAACATGTGAAAAACCCCTCCCCTTTTTTTACAAATACTCAATAACTCAAAAATAAAATTTTGAATCATCACAAAAAAGTATACAGATCTTAAGATTAATATAACTAAGAGGTGTGTAAAGTTTTAAGCAATAATCATAAATTGTTTTTGAGATACGGCGCGACATGTGAAAAAAAACACACACCTGTTTTAGTTATTAAGTCCTGTAACTCAAAAAGTTTTAATCTTATTTTCACAAAAAAGTATACAGATCGTTTGACCATCATAAGAAACAACTATGTTAAGTTTCATGAAATTTAAATAAGTCGTTCTCAATTAAGTTACTGTGCGACATGTTTACGCTGGACAGACAGACGACATTTGTATACCATAATACGTCCCGTCAAAATTTTGACATGGGGACTTTTCAAAAGAATCAAATGATCGCTCTGCCATAAAAATCCAATTTTCCAAATTGAGAGAGAAAAATTAAGATAGGACATAGGACCAAAGAGGCTCCCGTCTTGGGACAGGCACATTAAAATAATATAAGAGTTACCACACTATTATCATAGCACACTGTAGACAGTAAGCTAGCAAATGCCCTTAAAGTGCTATGAGATGCACCAACATTGTACTTGAAGAATGAAAATATGATGAGTACAGTACACAAAACAAAATGTACATGAAAGGAGAAGGCCCGGGCATTAAGACCCGGTTTTACCCAAAAATAAAATGCTTCGCTGGGGCGCAGCTTGATACGACCGCAGAGGTCGAACCCTGAACAGTTGGGGCAAGTATGGACACAACATTCAAGCTTGATACAGCTCTGAATTTGGATTGTTATTAAATATTTGAAACAGCATAGGTTTCTGACACAGAAAGAATGTGGTCTAAGAACTTGAATTTTTTTAATTTAGCTATTATGGTCCAATGTCCAAAATCAAAATACATGGTTAGATTCAGCATATCAAAGAACCCCATATATTCAATTTTTGTTAAAATCAAACAAAGTTTAATTTTGGACCCTTTTGACCTCAATATGAACCAATTTGATAGCGGGGCCCACAAATAAAAAATCTAAATACATGGTTAGATTCAGTATATCAAAGAACCTCATATATTCAATTTTTGTTGAAATCAAACAAAGTTTAATTTTGGACCCCAATTTGGACCAACTTGAAAACTGGGCCCATAATCAAAAATCTAAATACATGTTTAGATTCAGCATATCAAAGAACCCCATATATTCAATTTTTGTTGAAATCAAACAAAGTTTAAATACTGGACCCTATCTTGGACCAACTTGAAAACTGGGCCCATAATCAAAAATCTAAACACATGTATAGATTCAGCATATCAAAGAACCCCAGGAATTCAATTTTTGTTAAAATCAAACTAAGTTTAATTTTGGACCCTTTGGACCTTAATGTAGACCAATTTAAAAAACAGGACCCAAAATTAAAAATCTAAATACACGGTTAGATTTGGAATATCAAAGAGCCCCAATAATTCAATTTTAGATGAAATCAAACAAAGTTTAATTTTGGACCCTTTTGACCTCAATATGAACCAATTTGATAACGGGGTCCACAAATAAATTTCTAAATACATGGTTAGATTCAGCATTTCAAAGAACCCCATATATTCAATTTTTGTTGAAATCAAACAAAGTTTAATTTTGGATCCCAATTTGGACCAACTTGAAAACTGGGCCCATAATCAAAAATCTAAATACATGTTTAGATTCAGCATATCAAAGAACCCCATATATTCAATTTTTGTTGAAATCAAACAAAGTTTAAATACTGGACCCTATCTTGGACCAACTTGAAAACTGGGCCCATAATCAAAAATCTAAACACATGTATAGATTCAGCATATCAAAGAACCCCAAGAATTCAATTTTTGTTAAAATCAAACTAAGTTTAATTTTGGACCCTTTGGACCTTAATGTAGACCAATTTAAAAAACAGGACCCAAAATTAAAAATCTAAATACACGGTTAGATTTGGAATATCAAAGAGCCCCAATAATTCAATTTTAGATGAAATCAAACAAAGTTTAATTTTGGACCCTTTTGATCTCAATATGAACCAATTTGATAACGGGGTCCACAAATAAATTTCTAAATACATGGTTAGATTCAGCATTTCAAAGAACCCCATATATTCAATTTTTGTTGAAATCAAACAAAGTTTAATTTTGGACCCCAATTTGGACCAACTTGAAAACTGGGCCAAAAATCAAAAATCTAAATACATGTTTAGATTCAGCATATCAAAGAACCTCATATATTCAATTTTTGCTAAAATCAAACAAAGTTTAATTTTGGACCCTTTGGACCTTAATGTAGACTATTTTGAAAACTGGACCCAAAATTAAAAATCTAAATACACTGTTAGATTCGGCATAACAAATAAATAAATGTGATCAAAGATTTAACAAATCTAATGCGCCATACTGTGCAATTAAAGATTACTTCTTGAAATTTTTCAATATTTGAAATTTGAAAAAAAAGTAATATTTGAAGAATAATTCTTTTTAATTTCTGAAATCTGAAATGAGAAAAAATTGACCCCCACAATTTCTTTTTATCCCCCCCCCCTTTTTTCCCCAAAAAAATTCTTTCCCTCAAGATATGGTGATAATCTCAATTCAAATTTCCAATGGAGTTGGCAACCATAATTACCCATTTAAATTTACCATAGTGCTAACTTAATCTATTTTATAATAGAATTAAAAATATAGTGTCAAATCTTTCATATGGATTTTTTTGTAAAAAAAATGATGCAACATTTGCAGATATTTTTACTGGTCTTCCTTTATAAATATGCATTTCTTTAAACATAATTTAAAAGCAGTGTAAGGGAAGTAACCAAAACGTTGTATTTGGATTACCTCCCTTACACTGTTTTAAATTATCTTTATTGTTCATTAACCATTACTTTATACATAATTTAAAAGCAGTGTAAGGGAGATAATTTCAATGATGTATTTGATTTATCTCCCTTACACTGCTTTAAATTATGTTTTGTACTAAAGTGTTTGTCCATTAACCAGGACAACCTTGTTTTTCCCCCTTTTATGCCCCTAAATCCTAAACAGTTTGAGCCATAACCCCCCAAAGCAAATCCTAACCATCCCTTTGTGGTATGGAAACTTGTAGTATAATTTCAGAGAGATCCATACACCGTTCCACAGTTATTGTCTGGAAACTAGAAAATGCTTATTTTTGGCCCCTAATTCCTTAACTGTTGGTACCATAACCCCCAAAATCAATCCCAACCTTCCTTTTGTGGTATTTAACCTTACGGTAAAATTTCAAAAAGATCCATTCACTTAAACTAAAGTTAGAGTGCGAAAACCAATGTGTCTTCGGACGTCGACGCCGGACGACGACGACGACGACGCCAACGTCATACCAATATACGACCACAAAATTTTTTTGCGGTCGTATAAAAACTATTCAAATTTGCACATGTTTGGGAAAGTATAAAATCAAAAAATATAAATGAATTATATACACAAGATTTTTGATGTTATGACGTCACATTTTATGAAAACAAAGAAAACTAACTGCTAACTTTGTGCAGTTTTCCGTCAATATTTCCTTTAAAGAAACATCATACACAGGCAAGAAACAATAAAATAATTTGAGAGAAGCTCTATCATAACCATTGATATATATTCTAACCAAATATAAAGTTGCTTCTTGGATAGATACAAGATATGTGGTACGAGTTCAAATGAGATGCACACAATTATCATGCATATACTTTCCCTATCTTATATTGACTTAAAAGTTGATGTAAAACAAGGAAAATCAAGAAATTGTACAAAATATATACATTTAGTCGAGGTCTACTATAACACGTGTGTCACAGTAGGTCTTTTCACCACTGAACACCACCGAACACATTAAAATACCATCTAACACACATAAATATATTGTTTTCATCTTTATTTATATATTTGATGAATTCTGAATGAAAATGAATATGTTTATACATATATACACACAAATTAAAAAGAAATGATAACAAGAGAACCAAAAAGAACAGTCTTGAAGGGCTGTTGTCAGAACAGTATACTTTCAAGTCTAACAGTTTTTTAAATATAATTATTGTGATAATTTCACATTAAATAAAATGTTTTAACTTATTTGAACAATTTATTTCTAATTATTGAAAAGTAAAGACCATAAGATAATAAATTACAAGGAAATACAGACAATGTAAATCCGTAAAAAAATATTGCTGGATCCGGAAGCGTTTTTTTTTTTTTATTTGTTTTGATTCTCAACTTAAAACAACACTAATGCACATAAAAATGTGAAAAACATGCCCGTAGGATTGATTTTCATGTGTAACATTACTATTTTTCTTAAGGGTTAGTGGTCTTTTTGGGTGTTTGGTGGTGTTCGGTGGTGTTCGGCGGTGTTCGGTGGTGAAAAGACCGACCCCATGTGTTATAGTATTCTCAGATGTAGTTTGTTGGCATGGTAACTCGTTAAATGTTGAATTTGTTATTTTCACTTTTAAATTTGTACACCTTAACAAATGATTAAGTTTCCTGCATTTTGAGTTGCAGAATAGCTGAAATTTTTATCTCGTCTTGTGCAAGATTATTTGCTTTCAGCTTTAGGATGAAATTTGAAAAAAATAGGCAGGACAGGAGTTTTGAGTAAAAAAAAAAGCAGGATGAGACACTTTGCAAAAAAAAAAAGGCAGGATGACAATTTATGAAAAAAAAGAAAAAAGGTCAGGATAGACTAAAAAAAAAGTCAGGACCGAATAGAGTGAAAAGTAAAAAGGCAGGACAGAGATTACAACTAAAAAAAAATGCAGGACAAAATTTTTCATCCTAGCCCCCCATAAAAATCAAATGGCAGCTCCCTTAGAACTTTTAGCTGATCTATAAACTTTTAAGATGAACATTAAAAATAAACAAAGTTGTCAAAACATTGGATGTTGCAATGGTAAAATGTTCCCTTTCATTTAATAAACTCACTGTAACTATGTATTTGTCACTGAATCTTCGTCATAACCCTTTTTATCTAGGAGCAAAAGGTATAACATCTTTCTCGTATGTCATGAAATACAATATGGACGACGTTTAAAGCGCGCGAAACAGGCAGCCCGGGGCTAGATTTGACCAAAAATTTTATTAATTATCATTCATTGATTTTAACCAATAATGAAAAATACAAAATCGATCATTTTTGCTCACACACATTTTTTTATATTTTTTAAATCGTTTCTTTCTTCTTTTTTTCATCGTAAAAAAATATAATTTAGATTTGACCTTGAACTGTGCACACAGCTCACCTGTGCTATGTTGTCGTTGATACGAAATCGCAATTTATCCAGGGACAACCTTCTTTGGTCTATGGACATTGGTTAATTGTTCCTTCAGCCATGAGGGACAAGCTAGGCGAGCGTAAAATGGGGGTAACCGACTATTTATCTTTTTAAGGGCATGGGTTTGTTTTGAATAATTATTTCTTGACGGAGAAAAAAAAATCAGAAGGGATGCATTTCCATCGAAAACTACGGAAATAATGAATTCAACATCGAGCTTAGATAAATTTGTTCCTGTGTTCATGAAAAAATATCGAAAAAAATGTGTGTACCAAGATACAAAACCATGCACCCCATATATAAAAGATAAGGGGACGACCATTTGATATTCTGGGGGGGGGGGGGGGGGGGGCAGGAGGATTTGTTTTGGATCGGTTATTTATTTTTGTAAACTAAGAGGACAGATTATTTATTTTCTGCACTGTTGAAGCAAGGTTTTTCATTTTCATTAAAACAAGGGACTGATTATTTATTTTCATAACTATATTAATAATATTTGAAAACATACAATTTTAAATTAATTTTTTATTATAAATAATACATGTACAGTCAAGTCATTAATGTACCATTTAATCAGAATTAATCATCATCCTCTGCGGAAATGAATCTTCTGAATTCCAAACTGCATATATATGTATTGCATACATACACGGTATTAGACTTGGGCTGTGACTAGCCTCTTTTAAAAGTATTGCCAAATGTATTGACGCCGAGCGGAGCGAGGCAAAAAAATTTTGAAGGGTTTTGAAGCCGCTGAAGGCCCAAAGAAACTATAGAACAAATGATGCAAAATCGTGCTTTCTGGGCGTTCCCAGACCCTTTCTTATTCTGAAAACGCAAGTTCTGTTTTAATAATTTTTTGACAATATTTTGGTCTCAAAGTAAAATGTATAGATTCAGCGTAAGACTTAAGTTTATATGGACAACATCAAAAGACCAATATTAATGTGGCTGCTGGTTTTTTGTTTTTTTTGTTTTTTTGTTTTGTTTTTTGTTTTGTTTTTTTGTTGTTTCGGCATGCAGAATTTAAATCTTTTATACCTGTAAATTATATGGGGTTTTATTCAAATTAAGTTAAGAGGGGGCTGATTATCAGTGATATAACTATGTCAAGTAATTTTTAATAACACATTTCAATTACAACTTGATGTAGCTCTTAACTGGGATACAATTTAAAGTAACCAAGTTGTAAAATTAGCTAAAAAGTACTAAATAAAATAAAAATCATGATCAAGTTGAAAACAAAATTACTAAATCATAAAAGGAATGCAACACTAAGAGAATACAGAAGGGTAATCAATGAACAAAAGACAAATTTAAAGAAACATTGATCCCGAAAAAACAGGTGCTACGTCCAAGGGAGAATAGAATTTGCTTCTTGCAAACACTCGCTGTGAAAACAATTTGATATGAAGACAAGCTTTTGGTTTTAAAATTTGCTACATAAAGGCATTTGCCTCAATGTAGTTACAGCCCTGTAATAAAAGTGAGGTAAGTGTTCCTGAGCCAATATACCTCAAGTTAAATGAAACCCATTTTCAGACATTTCAAGTATATTTAAATAATATTTATACCTTTATTATTAAAAGATTTGGGAAGTGTTTCCCGAATTTTTTTTTGAAAAAAAGATGAATTTTATGAAGAATCTGGTGCCACCTCATACTTTCGAATAGCATTTATAAAATGGCTTAAAGACCTGCTCATGCTGCTGAGTTATTCATTTTCAATACATTGTAAGTCAGGTTATTTATTTTCGGACTACCACAGAACAAACCATTTATTTTTGTGATTATCAAGGCCGAGTTATTTATTTTCAAAATCCTCCTGCCCAACCCCCAACCCCCCCCCCCCCCCCCCCCCCCCCAGAATATCAAATGGTCGTCCCCTAAATGGTCGTTGCCTAAAGAAGATGCTTCACGGTTTTCTGTGAAACTAGTTTTATTTTAGAGAAATGATAAATGTTATATAATTATCTAGACAGACTACAAAGTATATGATCGTATATATGTGCATGAACAGAGACGGAATTTTTAATGATCTTTAATGAATCACAAAAAAGTCATCAACATCAGAAAAAAATTACCCAGTGTGCAATATTTGTCGTTGGGTGGACTTGCAGTGATAGCTAGAATGAGGGGGGACAAGGGGGTTACAATAACAGCAAAACAGTAAATTGATTTGGCTTAAAACAGATAACAAGGAATTGAAAAGGGATAATAACAGATAACAGTAAATGAAATCTTAAAATCAGTCCGGTCCAGGATCAATACAGTAGATCTTATTATTTAACTGGTTGTATGGACCTAGCTAGGCCTTAACAGAGACATGTATATATATATATATATATATATATATATATATATATATATATATATAGGGAAAAAAATAAGGCTGAAAATGCAGCAACCATATCCTTGAAGATCTGTTGCTGTAAACAGTGAAACCGGAAGAATACTATGGAGGATACTATAGAGTCCATTATGAACATTTTGATATTGTAATAGACAAAATGTAAATATTCATATTGAATATAAATATTTGGTGCATTTTCAGCCTTATTTTTATGCCCCCGCCGTAGCGGTGGGGGCATTAAGTTTTACCCTTGTCCGTCCGTCCGTACGTCCTAAAATTGGTTTCCGTTCTCTAACTTGAGATTGCCTCAACCAAATGTTATGAAACTTATACACAATGCTTACTACCACAAAACACAGATCAAGTTTGAATTTTGGTGGCGTCACTTTAACCGTTTTAGAGTTATGCCCCTTTATAAATGGAAAAATTGCAAAATTTTTAGTTTCCGTTCTCTAACTTAAGTTTGCCTCAACCAAATGATATGAAACTTATACACTATGCTTATTACCACAAAACACAGATCATGTTTGAATTTTGGTGGCGTCACTGTAACCGTTCTAGAGTTATGCCCCTTTATAAATTGAAAAAATGCAAATTTTTTAGTTTCCGTTCTCTAACTTGGGATTGCCTCAACCAAATTTTATGAAACTTATACACAATGCTTATTACCAAAAAACACAGATCAAGTTTGAATTTTGGTGGCGTCACTTTAACCGTTCTAGAGTTATGCCCCTTTATAAATGGAAAAATTGCAAAATTTTTATTTTCTTCTAAATATCAAGTAATTTTTAAAATTGGAGTTATCTTCCTTTGTCCATGATTATAGTTGAATCAACTACAATCATGCTTTATACAATGCAATGTTTAATTTTGACTTCCACTGATAAAACACAGATCAAGTTGAATTTGGGTAGTGTCACTTTAACCATTATTGAGTTATGCCCCTTTATAAATCGAAAGATTGCAAAATTTTTAGTTTCCATTCTGTAACTAAAGTTTGCCCCAACCAAACATTATGAAACCTATACACAATATTCATTACCAGAAAACTAAGATCAAGTACAAATTTTTTGTTTCCGTTTTCTAACTTTAGTTTGCCTCAACCAAATGTTATGAAACTTATACACAATGCTTATTACTACATAATACAGATTAAGTATGAAATTTGGTGGCGACCCTTTTACCATTCTTGAGTTATGTCCCTTTATAAACATAAAAATTACTGAATTTTTCGTTTCCGTTCTCTAACTTTAGTTTGTCTCAACCAAATGTTATAAAACTTATACACAACCGTTCTAGAGTTATGCGTATTTACAAATAGAAAAATTGCTGAAATTTTAGTTTCTGTTCTCTACTTAAGTTATCCTCAACCAAATGTTATGAGACTTACACACAATGCTCATTACCTCAAAACACAGATCAAGTTCAAATTTGGGTAGCGTCACTTTTACCGTTCTTCAGTTATGTCCCTTTATAACTATATGATATGCAAGCGGGGGCATCATCTGTGTCCACATGTGGACACTAACCACATTTATGTTTCCTATTTTGTGCACTGCTATATGTATTTAGACCCCTCTACCAAGAAATTTGTTTTGCATGCACACGTATAAAAATTGCGGTTTTTATCCAACGCAATCATAGGTTTGAACGTTGTTTTCAATTTAGACTTGTATATATATGTGCATGCAAAACAAATTTCTTGGTAGAGGGGTCTAAATACAGCACAAACAACATTTTCCAAAAGACCAAATGAGTGAAAAGGTATATTTTAACAAAACGCATTTGACTAGCAGGTCGAACAACTGATGTCCTTAAACCCTGCTGACTGCCATTGACGATTGCCCAATAAACAGATCATATATATATATACATTTTGATTATGATCATCATCAGGAATCCCTTGTCATATGTTTTCCTTTTTGTTATTTTGATAATTGATTTGAATTTGATATACATGTACGCATGGGGGTACAAGGAATATTATCCCCATATATACGTAAAATTCAAATTCGAACAATTCTTAATATCACAAAAACATATGGCTAGGGACACCTGATGAGGATAGGCCTAGGTCCATACGACCTTAACAGAAACACCTTTAATATATGTTGTGTACAATTTTGATTTTGTACAAATTTGTACCAAAAAATGTACAAATTATAATTTGTATTTTGACTTTGTACAAATTGTAGTAATTTGTACAAAAAATCCAATGCATGTACAAATTACAAATTCACTTAAAACTTGTACAATAATTTATAGAATGGATGTTGATTTTTTTTCTGAACAAAATTGCTAGTTTCTGTTTTTGTTAAAGGAATATTAAAAAATCAAGGGCATTTTATAGATCAATTTTTGTCGTTTCGTTTTTAATTTTTCAAGACACCTTA